TTGGCAGATATACCCAGCTGAGCTCTTTCTATCAGAATGATCCCCGTACGAAGCATCACTTGCGAATTGCACCGAGTCTATCCCCGAACCTACACCGTATTCAATGGCAAGACACCGGGTGGAATGTAGGTAGGATATCACCCGATCAGCTGCTTGCTGGTGCTGGGGACCTGGGTTTGTTAGGTATTGCGCTAGGCGTGCGGTGGCCTTTGCGGCGTCGGGCCTCGTGATAGTGGTGGCATACCCAGCAGATCCCACCTTTTGCTGGTAAAGAAGGGTCTCTTTCGGGGTGGCCACCCCCTGAAATGGGGTCAAATCGACGACTGGTAGTGGGGTATAAACCGGTGGTCTATCTATCAGATTGTACCGAGTCGCGATGCTTGTCACATAGCTATCTTGGCATAGCCATAGCTTCTTCTGCTCCCTATCCCTGATGATTCGGATATTTAGGAACCAAGCTGCTTCTCCATGATCAGTCAATTCCCAGTGGGATTCTAGATCTCGTTCAAGCTGCTTTGCTTTCTCCCGTACAGATCTGTGGCTGGCGATCAAGATATCGTCCACATAGAAGAAGACTAGTAGTCCTTCTCCTATAAAAACACATGGGTCTTCAGGTGCTTGCTGTAACCCTAATTTACGGAGTACGCTGGCTGCTTCTTGTTGCCATAGCCTAGGCGAGACTCGTAGACCGTACAAAGCTCGGCGGAGCTTCCAACACTTGCCTGGAATCTGGAAACCTTCAGGCATATAAGTGTATATATCCTTGTCCAATTTGCTGTTCAGGAACGCCGTCACAGCATCTCTTTGTCTTAAATCGAGGTCAAAGGCAGCGACTAAGGCGAAGATCATCCTTGCTGTCCTTGCTGCTAGGGTGGCAGCCCTCTTTTCTTCATGAGAAATGGTTTCTAAATCTCCTCGTACACAGATACGAGCCTTTAGCTTGATAAGATAGCCATCTTCATCAAATTTGTACGTAAAGACCCATAGCAAGGGGAGTATCTGCTTGCCTCTATCCTTTGGCCTTTCTGCAACCTCGTAGGTATCCTTCTCGGTTAAGGAATTGATCTCCTTTCTCATTGCTGCGAGGAAGCCTTCTTGGAAAGGATGATTCATAACATCCTTCCAGTGCTTAGGGACTGGTGGAAGATCATCTCGATGACGCCGGATCTCTGGCTTCTCAGCGTATAAGCCTGCTGCAAAGGCGTGTCGTACTCCTGGCGGGTCTTCTTCTGTAGCCACAGTGGAGTAGGCGAAATCCTGGTCTCGTCTCGCCTGACGTCTTCGCTTGCCGCTGATAATATTGCTTGCGTCAATTCCACCGGTGATCTCCCTGCTTGGTGCTAGCAATTCTGCCTGTAGCTGCCTTTCTAGCTCATCTTCCACGTCGGAAATAGCTTCAGAAATAGCTTCGTGGTGGGTCAGGTCTCCGTCTGGTATATCCACCCCCTGACCTGGGCCAGCATCGGCTTCGGATTCTCGTTCTTGGGGCGGGGTAATCGGCAGCGGAGGAAGGTCTTCGTCGCTTGGAAAAGCACCTGGCGGTGCTTGAGGTTTCTGGATTTTGGGGACTCGGTGAATCGCTTGTGAGACTATCGGTGAGGGTATTGATATATCTCGATTCACCCCCTGAAGTGGGGTAGTCTCCCTATTTATCCCTTCTTGCTGGGGATTTTGCTGCTGATTCCGCTGGGTATCTGGTTGCTGGGAGTCATCTAGATCCCGTGGATCCCTTTCCTCTTGCTCCCTAGTCTCCTGACTAGTAAGCAGTTGATTTATCACCTTGACAACCTCGTCGGCGGTGAGTTCCTGTGGTTCTTGTACAATTGGCATAGGAATTGGCTGATATCTCTCATAATCAGGGGTGTATCTCCGTGTTTCGTCGATGACTGCGTCCCTAATAGGCTTCACTTTTCCACTATGTGGAAACCAGATATTCCAGATATTTGATGCCACATATCCCACCAAGAAACCAATCTCCGCCCGTGGATTCATCTTGTCGGTTCTCACTTGCTTCTCAATCCTACAATAGGCCAAGCTCCCGTACAATCTAACATTGGATAGGTTGATTTTAGGTGCTTGCGGTGCAAACTCCTTTCGTACCTCATCCCACGGCACGACCCAGCGATTCTCGGCGGTGATATACGACGGCGTACGGTTCAAAATCCATACTGCGGCTCTCGCAAACTCCGGCCATAGGTCCTTTGGCAGCTTCCCTTCTAGCGCAAGCATCCTCATTTTGCTTATAATCATCCCGCCAGATCTCTCAGCATACCCATTCATCTCAGCGTGCCCAGGGGGAGTGTGATATATCAGGATACCATCTGAGCTGAGGCTATACTCGGCGGTGTTTCCGGCGGAGGACTCATTGTCATAGTGGAATGCCTTGATTGGCAGCTTCCACTGGTTCCTTGCTAGTTCCACAAAGCGATTGATTGCTAGCTGGCACTCAGGCTTTAGTTCGTGGGTCATAATCCAGTGAAACCTCGGTCCTTCTAGATAGAAGTGGGATATCCAGCGGTGCTTATTGTATGCTGGTTGTATCTGGATTAGATCAAAATGGACCCTTCCAAAACGGCCAAAGGTGCGTCCAACTGGTCGTCTTGATATCTGCTTAGGTGCTCGCCCTAAGTGGCAGGTTTGACATAGGGATTCTTGCTCGGTGGACTTCTTCTCTTCATCATCGAGGACAACCCCTTCCACCATAGTGGTGAGTTTCTTCATCCTCTTACGATCAATATGGCCCAATCGCCGGTGCCATAGCTCGCTTGATGCCTTTGTTTCTAGGGGTTCCACTGACTTCCTCTGTGTGAAATAGGCTTGCTGAGGCGGTGCTTCCCGGGGTTCGTCGAATATCCAAAGGTTGAATTGATCCCATAGGTTCACACAGACGACTGGCCTATCGTTGGGGTCCCGGATACAGTTTGTACGTTGGCACCATATCCCCCCTTTCTTCATCAGCATCGAGTACGATACTAGGTTTGTGTGGAATCCTGGCGAATACAGGGCATCGCTTAGGGTGATCTCCATTCTTCCTTTCACTGGGTGTCTTCCAATCAATTTAACCGTACCCTTCCCTAGCACTTCGGTGGTGCTGTCTCCAGTGGTGAGGTAGGTGGTTTTTGGGGTATATTGGACGAAGAGATCTCGATTATTGCACACATGGGAGCTAGAACCGGTGTCTAAAATCCAGCGGTTCTTTAGGATAGGATCGCTTTCCTTAGCAAGGGATAGGGCACGCTGGCTAATCACTTCTTGCTTCTTCTGATCCGCACCTTGCTGCTTATCCTTTTGGTGCTGGACGGTGGTCGCAAAGCTGACTTGGTTGGCGGCTTCGGCTTGCCTTAGCTGATTTGACTCTGCTATGGTTTTCTCCACCCATTTCTTCCAGGCCTGGTTCTTTGCTAACACCTGGGTTGCTTTCTCTAGCTTCCTCTCGCTGATTTTCAGCCCTTCCGGTCGAATTTCCTCGTTTAAAACCCAGCATTCGGTGACCCTATGCTTAGGATGGGTGTTACCACAGGGGCATTTCCTCTTTTCGAAGGGTAGGTTCTCTTGTGAAGCCTGTGAAGCCTGGGGTTTGGCTTCAGGCTTAGCTTCTGGGTGCCCTTGCCAGGTGGAAAAGGCGCTCTTCGGGGGCGAGGTTGATGATACCTTTAGCACCCCTATTTCTCTATTCATTGCGCGAAAAGATTCGATGAGATCTCGGGTATCGTACACCTTCTTGTCGATGACAATCTCTTGGTATTTACCCTGCCACCAGATAGGAAGCACTTCTTTCACTGCGTGTAGGAAGTCCCTATTGGCATCTCCAACGTTGATACCAAGGCTGATCGCTTGCTCTCTTAGGGAATTCCACTGCTGTAGCCACAGCTCAATATCCCCCGTCGGTTTTTGCATAGCGAAGACCTTCCATTTCATTCGAACCTCCTCCTCATACGCCGTCGACCGAGCAAAGCGAGATTTCAGGTATACCAATCTGTCATACGGTGTATGATGTCCTATCAGATTGAGATGGTGCATTGAATCCAGGTAGGTGAGGATATATTCATTTACATCGCTCAGTCCTTTCGCCTGTTTCTCCCATCGAGCATATCTCAATTTGTATATATCCATACGATCTCTCCAATATCTCCGATCAGTTTCACTCCCATCCTCTGGGTATTCCGGTTCAATTGGCTCTTTCAGAGCTTCCGGTCTCTCAGTAGGGGAGGTATTGGGATCACAGTGGTCCCAAACATTCTTCTGTGTCGCATATAGCTGCACCCGAGCATACCAAGTGAGCCACTGCGGCGAGTCCTTCAGTTTATCGCCCTTCATGGCGGAGAGAATTGATGCTGCTTCCATTGATGGATTCAGGGTTGCCATACAGCGCTGGGTGCTATAGGGATAGCTTCAGGGGTTGCTGTACCGCTTCAGGGGCTATTGGGGATAGCTTTGGGGGGTGTTCGGCCCTATACTTTGGTGATCGTGGCCTTACTGGGTGCGAACCGGGCTCATAACTGTCGAATACACTGGTATCCTGAAATGTATGGGTCCAATCAATGGTGTTAAAATCTCTGTATTTCAGTATCCCTTTTCCTAGCAATTTATATGGATTACGGATTACTAATTCAAAATTACTGCACAACCTGGATTAATTAAATCCCCGGTATGCCGGTCTGTATGCTCCGACACTTTTCCGAGCTTCCAATCTCGTGTTTGGAAGGTATACTCAGTTATCCTTATAATGTGATGTTTATCTTTGACCTAATCACGTTGCATTTGTGTGCTGGCGCTGAAGATAAATTATGTGACTTTGCAATAGCAGATATGAACGCCGTATATGACTATATCAAGTCAATAATCCATTGTCATCACGCCCCGTACTATGCTTAACTAATTGGGCTGAGCGCTGCGCCATTCTGGTGAGGCTACGCCCCGCATATCGAATTCCGCACAAACCTGTAAAGACAGAGCCTTTCCAATTTGAAGCTCTAACTAATAAAAAAAGACCAGAGAGTATGACTGAGGTAGCGGGGCTTCTCGTCAGCGTTGGTGGTCTTACCGAGATTGTGGGACAAATCACCAGACTCAGTTATACCTACGTATCCGACATCAAATCTGCTCCCAAAACACAAAAGCTATATCTCCAAGAGCTGTTAGCGCTCACAGATGTGCTTTTTCGGGTAGAAAGGGCTATCCGAGAGGCAGAAACTACCGGTTTAAAACTGTTCTCGTTCCCAAATTCGCTCAATGATGAGGCTCTTCGAGAGTGCCGCCGCCACTTGTCGGTCCTTCATCTCGATCTCGACAAGCGACTGCACCGCCTCTTATGGCCATTCCAAGAAGACGAGTTCCAAAAATATATTGATCTTTTGCATCGCTACACAGCTCTCTTTGTCGATTTTCTTTCAATAAATATGATGTTCGAAGACCCATCTCCTCTCCGAGGCAATCACTTGCAAAGTCAACTAATTTGTAGCAGGTCCGTTGCCAAAAACATTACAGCGATCGACCAAGGTAGTGTCTTCTGAATGGCATGAATCCTCACGATAGATCTAATCTGAACTTTAGAGCAAATCAGGCAGCATCTTTACTCGCTTTTCCCGGCATCCGATAACCTTTTACGCTCCAAACCAGATGTTTGTCCTGGAACCGGCGAATGGTTTTCGAACTCACAAGATGTGGAGAGCTGGCGTATTGGAGCCCCATCGCTGCTCTGGTGTTACGGAGCCCGTATGGAGCAACCCTTTCGAACTTATCTGTAACGAGTCAAGAGCTTGCTAACCGCTAATAGCTGGTGTCGGGAAAACGCTACTTTCGTACGTGCTGCTTGAAACCTACTCATAGCTTTGCAATGTCTAACACAGCCAGATCAATCACGATTGGCCGCCTATGTGATACGAGATTAGAGACTACAAGCTCCGTGGTATACGTATTTTGTCAGTTTTCATCGCGGGAGCAACAAACCCTGACAGCAATTTTGCAATGCATGATCCGACAAGTAATCGAGCAAGCAGATGAAAAGGTGCTTGTCACAATGAAACATCTTTTCGCGGACCCAATGAAGCAGCGCGACCATGCAGGACTCGCTGAAGCATTTGCAGCAGCATCTGAGCTGAAGTCGACCTACCTTCTAATTGATGGCCCCGATGAAATGATTGGAGCAGATGGTTTACTCCCTTATCTGCCTTGCTTTGTTGAAAGTGGGTGCAAGGCAATGGTCACAAGCCGAGACATTAGCCATATCAGGAAGGCGATGAATTCTGCAACCAAGATGGAGATATGTTCGCGATCTGAAGATCTAGAGATCTACATCGGCTCTCGCTTTCAAAAGAACGAACTTCCTCAGGGGGCACAAAAATTGATCAGACAAATCACGGAAAAGTCGGGAAATGTGTACGAACTACGTAACACTGTGAAATGAGTACAGCGCTGACAGACATTAGGTTTTTACATACCAAGCTTATTCTGGATGAGATCTTGGATCTCACAACTGTTGGTCATATGCAAGACGCCCTCGAAAAACAGTCAACGGGGCTGAACCAAGTGTATAAATCAATACTAGAGCGAATTGACATGCAACCAAGGGCAAGAAGGGAACTTGCTCGGCGATTTATCGGATGGGTTGTCTTTGCGAAGAGACGTTTGAAAATCGATGAAGTAATTCATGCCTTCGCCGTTGAAGATATGGATTATATTGAGGAAGCCAAGTTCGTCAGTCCTGACCTTCTTCTTCGATCGTGTGTTGGTCTAGTGGTGTTACACGATGACAAGACTGTTGCAATGGTGCATGCGACGGCTTACGAATTTTTCGCATCCACGGTGTTGTTACCGCGTGACATGGAGACCGACATCGCAGAGACATGTCTACGGTACATGTGTCTCAGTCTGTTCAAGGAAGGGCCATGCACAAGTCGCGTGAAGATGGCTCGCCGCTTGCGTGAAATGCTGTTTCTAAACTATGCCTCGCAGAATTGGGCAAGACATCTCAAAAAGATAGAAAATGTGGAGGAAGATCTAAAGTCACTTGTTCAGTCTTTCATTTGCAACGAGAGACTCCTGAATGCCGCCCTTCAAGCATTACATTTCAGTATTGAGCTTGAAGATGATCTCCCGGAGTCTCTTTTCGATTCAATCCCTCAAAATCAAACGGCATTGCATGTCGCAGCTTATTGGAATCTTACGGGAACCCTCAGCACATTGATCGACGCAGGACCCAGTGCATCTCTAGCAGATAGTCATGGCTGGACACCTCTCCACTACTCTTGTGCGAACCGTCATTTTTCCTCGGCCGAAATACTCGTGAGAAGCGGAGCGGATATCGATGCCGCAGACCATCAAGGGTGGACCCCTCTTTTCTGGGCGTCATTCACTGGAAGTTTGGAGATTGTTCGTCTTCTTCTCTCCAAGCACGCAGACTATAGGAAGCGTAGCATATACGGTTGGACTGCACTACACTGGGCTATATCCCGCGGCGAAACCGACGTGGTTTTGGAGCTTGCGCGTCATCATAAAACGCAGCTGTCGCGTGTTACCAAGGCTGATATTCGGGCCATCAGTGTCGATGATGTGAGACGATTCAACACGCCGGAGAACACTTCACCACTACAAATAGCAGCTGAGGGCAAGAATTATTTGATATTCGACTTGCTTGTGTCTCACTTTGAAGCGCCAGCTTCTACCGAACAGAAAGATTTCGAGGAAATCTGGTCCAGAGAGAGCCTCAAAGTCCATGTTTCTGAGAGCACTTGGCAAAACTCGATCTATACAATACTAAGCGGAGAGCCAATGCCTCCGGCGGATTTAATTGCCGGGGAGATATACGTAGAAGAGAACCCGTACACCTACTTCAGGCATGAACTTGTGAAGGAAGATACATCAGCATGGAAGTCAATTCTACTTGGCTCTGCCATCCAAGATGCAGATCTCCAGGCAGCGAAGCTGTACCTCGAGCTTGGTGCAGATTCGACTTACGTTTCTGAACAGGGATCGATGTTGGTCGTCGCTGCGCACCAGAAAGACCCACGTTTTATACAACTCCTGCTGGAAAGGGGTGCCAAAGGACTACAGAACGAAACAGGCGAGTCTGCACTGAACACCGCTATATCCTGCGGAAACTTGGAAACAGCGAAAGTCATCCTCGAAAGTGACCTTGTTCGGGGAAATGAGGTTTATCAGAGCGAAGGGCCTTTGCACACAGCCGCGGATCAACAAGATCCCCAGTTCGCATTGCTTTTGTTATCTAAAGGGGCACAGGTTGAGCTCCAAAATTTCCGTCAGGTGACTGCCCTGGACATCGCAGTGGCGAAGGGATTCGTCGAGACAGCACAAGCTTTGATCGATGGTGGTGCGGACGTCAACCATTTGTCGCAGGTCTCGTACACGGGTGAATTGCAAACCTGTCTGATGAGCGCCATTTCGCTTGCCGGTGGGAACAATAAGGAGCCGGAAAAGAGGGCCTTGGGAATTGTAATGGCTCGCATGTTGCTTTCAAACGGGGCGGATCCCAGCTTCCAAGATGAAGAAGGCAAGACTGCTTTGCATGTGGCGGCAACGTGTCGCAGTGTGGAATGCATCGAACTTTTGAGGGCGGCTGGGTCTAGCGTCGAGACTGTCGACAAGAGTGGGCGGACTCCAATTCATACCATGATAGAATCTGCGGAGATGAGCTGGAATGTGGAAAAGGTGGAAGAGGTGGAAGCAGTTCTTCGCCTGCTGCTCCGAGGGTTATCAGAAGATTTGGTCATCACATTACTGGCCCAAGAAACGTGTCAATCCATTGGTTCTGACTCTTCGGGCGCCAAAATCGTTGAACTAGACACGCCGTTGACCAGTGTGTTGAGGCGGAAATATTGGAATATAGCTCATCTGTTGATGACCTTTGGAGCGCAGCCCCCCACCGGCCCTTGTTTTCGGTCTATTTTAATGGATGCGGTCGGCGCCCTTGAACATCAGATTGTGGAAAGCCTTATAGGGAATGGGGTGTCACCAGGTGATGATGCTGTTTTGGAATTGGCAAAGGATGTTGCCGACCGACTTGGCAACCATTACTCTCTGCTTTCTTCACCGCGCAGGGACAAGGGTAGGGGAATTATATCTATGGCTGCACTGAGGCGTATGACAGAAAAGGCAAGATTTCCAACCCTTCGAGTCCTTTCGTCCGAGGAAATTACGCAGGCCTTCCAGCGGATTCTGGTCAGTTTGGCGTCGGCGGGCGCAGACGTGAACTTCTGTGACCCAGAAGAAAACAAAACTTCTCTTCTCCTTGCAGTTGAAAGGGCTCCACTTGCTCTGGTTACGACCGCTCTATTAGAGATTGGTGCTGATTGCTTCCATTCTGAAAATGCATTTGATCCTATTTTGACGGCTGCGGCAGTCAACAATATAGAGTCACTGCGTTGCCTATTAGCTCATACCTCAACCTCGCCAAAGCCGGAGCATTGGACCCAACATCTGGAGTGTCAGAGCCAGCTGAGCGACAAAGAGATCTTCAACTGTATATGTCTGGCTTTGAAACGCGCCGAGAAGCTAGACTACCAGTACTCAAATGGTCAAACATTGCTGCACCTCGCCGCAGAAATAGGGAACCTCGATTTAGTCCTCAGCTTGACCTACCATGGTGCTCGTGCAGATATACCAGATGAAGATGGCTTCTTTCCCATCCATCGTGCTGCGTATGAAATTTCGTTATATGCCTTGGATGAGGATGGCGAACAGCACCGGCATTCTCATCATGATATAGTACAGCACCTTCTTCCGATGAATATGGTGAAACACAATTCCGATCATCATTGGGGCACGATACTTTGGCGCGCTTTGGAATATCGCGACGAGATCATGTTTCTGTATCTTCTTGAACTCGAGAACGATTTCAACTCGTGTGCCGCACTTTCTCCAGGTCACCCGTCACTTCTTTACCATGCATCTGTTCGTGGGTTGGAAAAAGTAGTATCTTTCTTACTGGAAAGCAACGTTGATATTGAAATGGCTGACAACTGTGGATGGCGTCCACTGCATGGCGCATCACACCGTGGTCAAACCGCAATAGTTGAGAGACTGATTACTGCCGGAGCTAGCGTCTGCGCTTCCACAACAAAGTTCCACGAGGATTCCTTTACGGGTGCCGATCATGGCGGGGAATTATGGAATGGCCATCCTCTCCATTTGGCCGTAATAGAGGGCAATGTCGAAATGGTTGAGCTTCTTTTGAAGCACGGTGCAGATGTGGGTGCAAACACACGATGCTTCAAAAGCCTCGATGGAAGCATACGTGGACCGACTGCACTTCATATAGCACTAGACCCACGAGCATGGCATTTAGAAGATTTAGAAGACGAGGAAGATCGTCACGAAAACTATTTGAAGATTGCTAGAATGCTGATTGAAAAGGGGGCTTCTGTGGAAGGTGTCTTGGATCAATTGCATGTGAACGATGTTCCAAAGTTCGAGGGGTATGAAGATGTCTGGGATAAGATTCGAGGCTATACATAAGACTGAGAACTTGCAACGTGATACACCCCATTCCAGCCAATTCTTCCATCCTTGAGAGGTTTCAATTCCATCGATTCACAAACTTGATAACTTTTCCCGCGGTAGCACTCCGTTCGAACCCTTCAAGACCATCCAGAAACACGATTCGGAACAGATGTTCGTTCTCAGGGAACAAAAGGAAGAAAGCCTCCAAGCGCTTGATAAGATCGTCATTCGATACAATTCCATCCCGCGGCGGGGACCGAAGCAGCCGAATTTCTAACGTCGCCTGCGGTGTACTCTCCAACCGGTCCAAAGTGAGCTGCCACTGCAGGATACCACAGTCCTCCGCCTGCATGAAGGCGTCAATCCTCTCAAACTCAAAATAAGAGGCATACCACTTGAAGCTGAAGCGATGATCACGGCCACGCATGCGTAACACACGTAGATGCTCCTGATCAGCCTCTGAAATCACAGCACAGGCTGCGCTCGGGAGGGTGTGAATGGAACCAATATCACCAGTGATGTAGCGCACCAGTGGGTTACGCAGTCTTTGAAGAGATGTCTGCACGATGAGGCCTTGTTCTCCGTCTGGAAGCACGATCGAATCAGACGAAGATACACCATCGACGGCAGAGGGGGAAACGATCTCGACTAGCATGCTGCGCGTATCGATGATGAAGTCCGTGCTGTTGCTGGTCAGACTTTGCTCCCCTGTTAACTCAGGGCTACTGATTGCCCAGGGTCCTGCCTCGGCACTTCCCATGACAGAGACGATCATGACGTCGCCCAGAATCGACTTGATGAACGCTCGCTGAGAACCAGTTAAGGGCTCGGAGGTGTAGATGATCTTGTCGAGATTGATCCGATTACGGTCCTCCTCTGCCATGAGGGAGATGTGATAGACAGTCTGGACGACCTGGCTGCCGTCGCCGGTTAGAATGTTGACATGGTAGTCGGCCAGAGATTTGGCAACATCTGTAGGTGACATGTAGCTTCCAGCGCTGAGAACGGTTGCTCCTGCGTTTTCCATGATCTCTGTCATGAGATCGAGGGACCTTGGTTCTTGGTTAGGATCTTTGCGCCATTTCATGTCAAGTCGGATCCAAGTACCTGTAAAATCCTCCTGCCAAGTGAGTGGATAGGACCCAATCTCCGCGCTTAATGACACCGCATAGTTTGAGAAATTTCCCCATTTGCAATCTCTGCTGACGGTTCTCGTGAACATCCACGGCGAACATCATGGGCACTCCGCCAGAGCCACCGCCAGTGATACTCATGTAGGAACTTTCGCGATAGGTATTTCGCGGGTCCACATCATGTGTGAGTCGTTCAATGGCCTTGTATCTGAAATAAATTAGCCTAGCTACATCGAAAGGTCTGCGAAGATTGTAAATTGTCTTACAGTGTTTTCTTCCCAAGAAGTGGCTGCTCTTGAAGTTCAGGCTTCACGTTTTGGTCAGCGATCAACTCCCGAAGTTTCTGAATTGTTTCTTCATTGGCGGGGTATGGAATGTCTGTGTTATAGAATGGGTGTTTCTTAGCGACAGCTAGCACCTCTGCCAATGAGTAACTTTCAGCTGTCATTGCGCGAATCTACAAGAAATCTCAATCGAAGGTAGGAAAATGCTGTGGGGGTAAATTGGGGCAGTATTTTCAATTGAGAAAATCCCCGAATAGTTGAATTTGATGGGTTATAAGATACAGAAAAATGAAAAGAAATATGAAATTGCGACGTATCCATCGGGCAAATATTAGTGTTTAGTATGGGGTAGCTGAACTTCGTGCTATTTCCTGCATGCAGATCAGCTCTGTGTTCTCCACAATGGGGGGGCGACTATTAGATCTGTCAAAGCTGAATTTAGGTGAAAAGAGATAGTTATTTAAAATATTCCAAGGGTATACGGAGAACGGAATACTCCGTACTTCTCAAGTTGAGTTATTATTTATTACCAATGAACCTGTATGCTACCTACATGTATACAACGCCAATTCCAAATTAATACAAGCCAACAATTCCTCCCCTAAAAGACAAAGATACCTTAGACTATGCCTCTTCCTCAAAGAGTGGCGCTTTCTCAGTATCCTCTGATCCAAAGAAGCACATTGCAAGCGTAGCGAGGAGGAGATATACAAGACCTATTACTATTAGCAAAGCATACCACTGAGATGGAATGACTTACTCCAAGTCCAGCTCATGTATTTATAACCGAGCAATTCCTTCAGCGAGCCACCGATGATAGGGCCAATTATCATCCCGAGGGAAGCAGCAACATCCATCATAGAGAACACGCGTGACATGCCTCCTTTGGGCCCGAAAATGCCTGGGGACCTTTCCTGCATTGCCTTTGTAGTAGCTGGAATATATCGTTCAGTACCATCATAGTTCATATCCTGGGGAGGTACAACTTACCCGTCAGTTCGACAGGCGCAATACCAGACACAAATGGCCGCAATGTGCCTATAGCAACGATACAGCCAGCGTAAAGTGGTTTACCCATATTCTGAGCGCTCGCCCAGGGAATATCCCCACCAGCAATACCCATTAGACCAAGCACTGTCGCCTGAAGAATGGCACAGACAGCGGTAGGTATTTGTGCACCGATTCGATCACGCAGACAACCAGCAACGGGACCAATCAAAACACCTGGAACGACAAGGCCAGCAAAAAGGAGTCCAGTAGTGCTAGGGCCCCATCCGAATTTCTCTTCGACGTGGAGAGGAAGCGTCGCATCGAAACTTGTGCTCATGGTTGTGCCCATGACAATAGTCAGCAGACAAGTCATGGCACGGCCGTTGCATAGAATCACACGCCAGAGATTTCGGGGTTGGGATGGGATTTGCTGTTCATCGCAAGAAGGAAGCAGACTCTCAGTCTCTGTTGGGCTATCATTGGGCGTAGAGGGAGGACTGGCCGGACTCTCGATCATACACACGCGTGCAATAAAGTCTATAGTTAGAACGACGAGCGGAACCGACCACGTTAGCCAGTAACCAGCAACCTCTAAAAGCAACCCAGCAATTGCAGGCCCGCCGATTGTCCCGGTGTTTGCACAGGACATCATTATACTCAATGCAAATCCTATATGGTTCGGACTGATAGTGTCTGCGACTGTTGCGAAGCCGATAATCCACACCGCGGACCCCGCGATACCTTGCATCACGCGGCCTAATAGTAGCATGGGGACTGAACAAGCGCCGGCGACTGTACCCGTGCCGATAATACACCATCCAAGCGACAGTAATAGTGCGGTCTTGCGGCTTTGATTCTTGTCGGCGAAATGACCGATGATAGGGGCCGAGAGCACGGCGAGCGTACCATGGAGGGCAAGAACGGCAGAGGTTAACTCTTGGGCTTTCGATGGGTGGACATGGAGGCGATTCTGGAGCATTTCTCCCAGAATAGGGACTAGGAAGCCATAGAGGAAGGTTTCTACTCGGTATTAGAATGTTGTTTTTAATTTGTAGAGGGGCATAGAGACCAGCAAACAGCGCGATTGCGACGGTTGAGAGAATGAACCATTTCGAGGACCGCCAACTGTAGCCTATTGGTAAAGCCTTCTCCATGTTCATATTTGGTGGTATGGTTGAAACTTGGAAGCAAAATGTCCAACGCCTTATGAGAACCTATCTGATTCAAAATTCAGATCTCCTGAAGGAGACTCCAATTTGAGCCCGGGAGATCGGCCCTTACATGAGATGATAGTCAATCAAGTATTTCCCGATTTAGCTTGTTCTTTTTTTATATTTATATTTCTTTTATTTTTTGTACACAAATTCATATTACTCCACAAAATGAACTTACAAGGTCCCCGAATCCCCGAGCTCAGCTCTCTATATGGGCCTCTGGTGGGATCGTCACAATTAGTTCGATTTTTTTGCCGACAAAACAATACAATGGTTTTGAGATTCAGACGCCAATGGAACAAAGGCGAAATTTCTTTGCAGATTGAATAATCTGCATGTCTGTCACACAGTAATGTACAATTACATGCGTGTCTCATTTCCTATATGATCAATCATAAGTGCCAAATCTAGATCTTTCGTTCTATGGTGCATATGTATTTGCCTCATATTTTCTTTTCTTGGTATATTTGAAGCTGTTGATATATGTAGTTGAGTCGCAGACTACTATCCGATATCCTCATAACTTTGCTATATCTGGTTGCGCAAAATGAATCGACTTTTCCGTGCTGTTCCTACAGCAAGAGTGACAGCTGCTAGATATTCTACCCAGCCTATCCGTACGTCTCGTCTGAATTTTCTTCTTTCTAATACTGACTATGACCAGGAGATCAAAGAATATCTAGTCTCGTCCCCCTGATCAACATTGCAAAACCAGCATTTGCCTCTGATGCCTCCCACTTGAGGGAAGTACATGAGAACCTCGACGCCCACGGTGTGGTTCAAGTACAATTGGGGTTTAGCGATGAGGATAGCACATATCTTCAGAGATTGATATCCAATCTTCACAAAAATCACAACCACGGTCTCCCTATAACCCACAGCGCCGAGCGTGGCTGGTTTTGGGATGTTCGGCCCTCTCCAGCGAGCTTCCAAAGCCATGGACACCAAGCTCGATCAGAGACAATGTCTCAGTTTGAATGGCACACCGACTGCAGCTATGAGGAGCAACCTCCACGATTCTTCGCCCTGCAAGTCCTTCAGCCAGATCGTTGTGGCGGTGGGACGTTGTCCGTTTTGAACGTCGACCGACTCCTTACCTTGCTTTCACCTTTCGCGCAACAATGGCTCTCCAGCCGTAACTACAAAATTACCGTCCCTCCTGAGTTTACGAAAACCGTGGGGAAACAGCACATCGTGGGCAATCTGCTCGCTGTGAAACCCGGTAATTCTGGCAGTCAATTGCGATTTAGGGAAGATATCACGGTTCCCTTGACGCCGAATGCTGCCAAGGCTCTGGATGAGTTGAAAGAAATTTTGTACGGTGGCGCACGGGAAGAAACTCTCCATCTGACACCACAGAGTCTCCCCCAAGGATCAATCATCATGATGGATAACCGACGGTGGTTACATTCACGGAATGAAGTCAAAGATCCTAACCGACATCTTCGGCGAGTCCGATGGGCAGCGTCGCCATTTGGACCTAACAGTTCATAACCCTTGGTCATTATTGTATGTAATTACGATCTCAAATTGTATGTAATTATGTGAATACAGGTTTCCACCTGACCCACTTACATGCATATGTCGATCTTCTAATTTCTCAGCCGATGCATCTGCAATACATATTGGCACATTCCATGTAAGAAAATAGGGATCTATGAAATCTGACTTGTCTTCCTCAGCTCGAGGCTAGCTATCATTAGCTATTTTGCCTCCAAGGACTTATATACGGAGTATACTCCGTGTTTTTTTTTTATCTTCTGTTACCAACGAAAATTTTCCACTCCATAAAAAAAAATGAGAAACAAAAGCTTAGACCCCCTTCATCTGATCAGCTTTCCCGATGACGTGGACTACTCACCCGTGTCGTCAGAAGGACTGGATGTGAACCTCCTGAGCCAAAACCGCACCAGTTATATCTCAAGATTGAACAACTGCTCCTCTTCTTGGCCAGCCGGATCTGTGGATGCATCATGTCCTTGTCCCGTGTTGACCACTCAACGGCACGACGATGAGTTGAGGAACTTGCACCTCGCTCTGAAGTTGGCAATTGAGGATATCATTGAACGATGGTGGACGGATGAAGAAGCCCGATTCCCTCTGCGCATGCCATTGGAGCAGGAGGAGGAAGACTTATTACGCGTGAGCCACCATCCCTTCTATTGTAGCATTATGGTATACTGAAAAAATTTTCATTAAATAGTGGATGCACTCGAACAGAGACCTGTTCCCATCATGGAATGAGCGACAAGGATCCTGGAGACCAGACTTTTTGGTAGAGAAGGATGAAGCTGGCATGGAGGTTTTTCGCATTTGCGAGATCAACGCGAGATTCTGCTGGAATGGCTACATGCATGCCGGTTTTGGTCAAGAAGCGCTTTCGGCATTCAATATTGAATCGCGGGGTCTAACTCATGCCGTGGAAGCTGAAACGGTAAGCAGGTGAAAACCTGGCGGCCGATTTGAAGCACATTGCTAATAATTCTGAACTGAAGATTCTCGGTGGATTGTTAGAACTCTTCGACATCAATACTCCCCTGCACCTTGTTAAAGGCGAAGAGCACGGGATTGATATCTCGATGTTTATCGAATTTGCACAGAAGAGACTTGGGATAAAATTGCGACTCATAACTCCAGACACTCTCCGACTCATCCCAGATTCCTCTCCGTCTGGGAAAGACGGATACAAGCTATGCTGTCTCGCTGAGGCAGATGCCGTTGATACAATCACAACCGAGTCCGGCGAAATAGTGGAAGAGATCCATCAAATTGGTCTCGAGCTTCACCAGCGGGAGATCAATGCTCTTGATCAGGAAATGAAACGTCAGATCAGCTTGCGGTGCTTTAACGACATGCAAACTATCCTCCTTGCTCACGACAAGAGAATGCTGGGACTCATTCTTGAAGAGCTCGACTCTTTGATTACCAGGAGCATCATTACCCCTCAACAGGCCGAATGGCTTGAGCGAGGCTTGGCTCACACGGTTCTACCCGGCTCGACTGGGTTGAACAAATTTATTGAAAATTGCAAAGCCTCGGATGTGTTCCAGAACGAGTACCTGCTGAAACCGATCAGGGGTGGAAAGGGAGCTGGTATCTTGTTTGGTGATGAAGTCGGTCATTCCGACTGGCTAGCTCTGCTGGAACCGATGCAGTGTCCGAGACTGAAATCTGGAAAGACTCTCTACGTTGTGCAGCGCAAAGTCCACCAACCATACTACAACGTGCTCTTGGGATCGAACGCCAAGTCAGAGCGCTGTCATATGGTTGGGACTTATCATGCAGTTAATGGTCACTTCCTTGGTCTAGGAATCTGGAGATGTAGTCCTGGGAGATTATGTGCTATCTCTAATGGGGCTACCTGGATGTGTTCAGTAAAGCAATCCTAGTTTTATGCAATCATAATTTTCTGGTCTTTTGTAAGATGGCAGGATTTCGGTTTATTGTAATTTTCCCCTGCTTACTCGGTACATGTACGGAGTATGTACGGAGTATGTACGGAGTACTCCGTGGTGGTCTTGTAGCTCCGTTTATAGACCATTTGTGTTTTTCTTTTTTCTTTCCAATCAATAAGTCCAGCTTAGATGCATCCTAATCAGCCATGTATCACTATACATATTGACTATTTGTCCCCTTATATTTTGGGAAGTTATATGCGAGATTGACAGGTATTACCGTGCCTTATTCCACATATTATAATGTGGCGAGCTAGCGGGGCAAAATTGCTCAAGCTGAACAGTATGGGCTTTAGCTAGTGTACTAGTAGTGTAACCCAATGCGCAATATATTCAGATCACACATAGGGGCAAAGATGGCTTGAGCTGAAGAACTGAATAATCTGATTAAATCTGCAACGAAGTGGATCACGGGAGGACCCTTATATGCATGTACGTAATAGAGGATTTGTCCCGAGGTCTGATATCACAGATTTTCAGGGCTATGGCGGATCTTTTGATGGAGTAGAATCCATGAAATACTCCGTAATACATCAACATTCCCGATCTTGCAGATCTGTGGAGCATGTAAGATTGACTATTGCACGGAGGTACTCCGTAATTAGAAGCTAAGACTAGCAAATTTACCGTGGACGAATCAAAATTACCTCACGGGTTTGGTGCGCATCACTTGGCTTTTATAGGTTCGTTGTCCTTTTTGTCGACACCTCAGGCCACAAGGCAACAAACTGGTGCCCAAGTTTAAAAAAAAAAAAAAAAAAAAAAGGCCGAGCGTGAGACCGAGACCGAGAATATCAAAGGGGCCATTTACCTAGACACTGTCTCCCTCGTTGTTCGACGTCATGTCATCTTCATCCTACCCTACCTACTCGATACACAGCATCAACAACCATGTCTTCTTTGCTTCTATAGTAGCAATTTTCAATGATTGTCTTACTACCGTCGTCAAGATGTCGTAAAATATACATGATACCAGAATTAGTGCAAGTGTGATTTCAATTGTCTCCCTTCTCAAGATCCATCTCAATCCTTATCCTCTCCTCCACGATCTCTCTGAGTGTGTGGTATGTCCTTGTGTGAAGGAATTCCGTATGTCACAGTGGCAAGTGATTGGCCGTGGCTGTTGACGATACATTTGTCAATGTCGATATGGAATCCCTGCTTTGAAAGGTTGGCATTGCTAGCCCTTTTGGTGATCATATTCGATGCTTCACCTATCAGTGCCGAAATCATAAGTCTGTGAACTCAAACCAAGCCAAAATGCTAAACTCTCATCTGGCTTTTATAATAGCTATGGGTCACAATGACCAAATGAACAATGGCATCGTCGATCATGGCAAGAGTCTTGTTGCCATCTTGGTTAAGGCCGTTGCAGGTTTGGAGTGCCTCCCGGATCAGAAGACGGTTGGTGAAATGGTAATTTATCTTCTCCTCGAAGACCTGGAGTTCCTCGTCTGAGGGTTGGCAGGGAATGATGAGACCCATAATGTTTGGGCACAGTGTGTTTCAGAAAGCTTGGTGAAAGGTGAGGGAAAGATTGGATGAAGAGAGAAGCCTGCGGCTAAGGAAATACCAGATAAATGTTGAGAGGGTGCTGGGGCAGCAGAAATTGGGATAACTGCCTGATCAGGTCAGTAGATTAGCAGGTACTGCTCTTCCATAAAACACCTCTCTTCACCTCTCTTTGTCTCTCTCTCTTCATCTCTCACTTTCCTGTTTTGGAAATTCATATAATCGGCCTATCAATACATATTTATAATAAATAATACTGTTGTGGATATGGAGGGTGAGTGAGAGAATGAAGAAAAAATCTCCGACATTCCATCTATGAGAAAATAAGGTATTTATATCCCTGGTGTCTAGCTAACAATCAATCGAGCATCCATGGGATGGTCCAACAAAGAGACGTGCATGAATTACCACTCATAGGAGTACTTGACAGGTTTGACCAGACCCAGTCTTCATAGCTGGAGAAATGACCTTGAAGTTTGAGACAATTCAAGACACTTGTTGCCAGGACAGCAGCGTGAATAACCTTCTGAACTAAACAAACTCGAATTTTGTGGTCTTGGTCTAGTAGAATGACACTACTTGGACCTACTAACCACCGTGGTTGCGAAGACGATCAATTATTACTGACATGCCGTTTCGTTCGGCCTTGTCAAAAGGGAAGGAGCGATACCATATATAGTATGCACATATGTACATGTTTGGGCGCTGGCCCTCTTAAAGAACTTTATATGTGGAATTCCATTAAATATACTTCAAAGCCGAGCTACTTCCTTATGGGAAGTCTCAATATTTATCAAAGCCCGAGATTTCAAGTTCAGCCTCTTCCACATAGCCTTGCGGCGTTCATGTCCCTCAAAAAATGCCCTCGCCCACTCACGGCGGAACTTGGGCAGCTTTCTTCCCTTGCCCTCCTCTCCCTCGCCGGCTAGACGTCTCAGCGTCTCAAAGTAGTCCTCGAAATCTGGGAAGAGCAGCGTAAACTTCACACCATCACCCCGAGCCTTGACCCGATCCGCTTCCCATTTTTGCATCACCTCAACAGACGGTAAAGTAGCTCGACCGGCCAGCAGTCGTGCAGCTAAAACCGATTGCCATTCGAAGACCTTGAACGTCAGACCAGCCGCAACGGCACCGACAAACAATAATGTTGGGTCTTTTTGCCAAACAACGTGTTGGTATAGATCGGGGACTCGGTTATTGCGAACTGGAACTGCCGGTAGGAATGGCAGTGTCCAGCTGTAGCCTGTGCCGAAGACTATGTGGTCGACATCCGTGATGCAATTTCCGTCCGTCAAGTGCACAGTCCTGTTTGAGACTCGTTCTATTGAGGGATGGTTTTGTATCTTGGGATGGTTGAATGCTTCATCGCCAAAGTACCCGTTAGCAGCATGGCCAATTGTGATTGCATGGACCGGCTCCTTTGCCGTTTCCACAAGATCAAATGCGAGGTCGGCTGCTGAGACAGATGCGCCCACAACCACAACTCGCTAGAATAATCACCTTAGCATAATGACCTGAGACAATGCAGCTGTACAATATGAGAGTCCAGCTTACCTTGTCAGCAAATGCCTGTCTCCCGCGGAAGTGTTTGCTGTGAAGTACGCTGCCTGGTCTGGTCTTCTCAAAGGCATCGAGGCCTTCAATTGGGGGTATATATGGGACCCAGAAGTGCCCGCTCGCCACGACGACCGCATCGAACCACTCAACCCACCAGTAATCACTCTTTTCCCCATCTTTTCGCAGTGTTACTTTCCACTCCGTCCCCACCTTCTCGACCCGTTCGACTGTGGTGTTGTACGAAACCCAGTCGCCATAGCCCCGGCGCTCTACGAGACTCCTCACGTATCTCCGTACCACATCCCACTTTCGGAATGGGGTTTCAGGTCCGTGGTGAGATATGGAGAGCTCGCTGCGCTCCTCTGGGAAAGGTTCTTGGGCGAACTGCATAGGCAAAAAGTCGATATTGGTTTCCAGATAAGGGTACACGGACGACTCAGTAAATCGAGGCTGGTCCGACTTTCCAGTCTGCGCAGGCAGACTTTCGGGAATTGGGATTGGAGGATCTGCTGTTCTTGTCGCTAGAGATGCAAAGTTGCGAAGCGTTGGAGGTTGAGTTGAGTCGCCAATCCTGGTGTTTTATGTCAGTCAACATGGAAGAAGCTATAGAAAAATAAACTGACCAACAGCCTCCAGGACCCTCGCGACGTTCAAATACACGGATAATGTCAAAAGTCTTTTCTTGCGCCAGGGCATCTATCGCAATAGCCCCCGCCGGCCCAGCGCCGATGACCGCGACGCGCTTTACAGGTACCATGATGGGAATTAGAAGAATTAAAAGAATAGATTATTGCTATAAAATTACCCCGGGATTTTATTAGATATATGCAATGCAGGTGAGATCCCGTCGCAAATGCCGGTCTGAGGATTTTCGGCCCCAATCTAGGGTTTGCTGTCGTCGTTTATGGGCATTGTCACGCAATTTGGCGTCGCGGGGCGGCCACTACGATCCCAACCACTTACGAAGCCAGAAACTTCACCTGAGATGTTTATCTTCAAAGCCCTTCAAATCCCGTTAAAATAGGAAGCAGTCCTCAAGCGATAAATTGCCGTTTGACAGTATTTCCAAGCTCTGGCGCGCGTCATTTAAGGGATAATCATAGCACGCCATATTATAGATAAATTATGCTAGGGCTAATGAGATAAATCCTCAGCAGTAGTGATAAGACTAAGTAATAAGGTCTCTAGTTTCCTATAGTTTATACTTGAGGGGTTTTTGAAGCCTGGTTTGCTTGCAGTCAATATTCATCGGACTCTCTTTTACCAGTTTACCTGGGCAATGATATAGTATGGATATCAAAATGAATGATGAGAAGCTAGACATCAAGGATAGCCCCTCTGAGCAGTCTATTTTATCGTCACTGTCTATATTGCCCGAATGGGATCCCAGCCATGAGCAAAAGGCTCGCAGAAAGTAATCACCAATGACCCCATAGATAAAGCATCAAGGACTATACGCTGACATTTATTTCTCCCAAGGATTGATATGACGGTGCTGCCTCTACTTTTCCTCGGTCTTCTTGTTTTCCAACTAGACCGCATGAATATTGCAAGCGCCTTGACTGGTGGCTTCGCCACCGATATCAACATTTCACAGTCCACGATCAATTTGGGCAATCAGCTCATGTTCATGGGCATCGTGGTCTTCGAAATACCATGTAACATGGCCTTGCAACGAGTAAGTACAAGACCACCTCTCTAAAGGTCTTATGCTAATATGAACTTTGACAGATTGGCCCTCGCAAGTGGATTTCGGCCCAGGTTTTTCTCTTCGGCTTACTTGCTACCATGCAAGTATTCATTCGCAGTCGAGGGTCTTTCCTGGCTATACGGCTGCTTTTGGGATTTGCTGAGGCAGGGTATATCCCCGGTGCAGTATATACTTTGTCGTCGTGGTATACGAAAAGAGAATTGGCTAAGAGAGTTGCTATCTTCTTCTTTGGGATGTTTGGTGGTAATGCTCTTAGCCCTATCTTGGCCTCCGGTATTCTGATTCTCGATGGTCGACATGGTATTCGAGGATGGCAGTGGCTCTTTCTAAGTATGTGTATTCTAAATACAAGACTTCATTCGCTAACACGTCAACAGTTGAGGGGCTATTCACGATCTTTGTCTCATTCCTCCTATCGCTACTTCTACCTGGATCACCCGATCTTACCAGCCCATTATTAAGCCCTGGAGTTATCAAGTTCTCGGATTCTGAGAGGGAGATTCTTCAAAGACGACTCGAAAAAGACAATGGTGGAAGTACCGAGGGCGGGTATGGCGTGCATATTCCATTAAAAGTCGTGTTTCGCACTGTGGCTTGCTATCGTCGCTGGCCGCACTTTATATCTACATTCGTCGTGTTTTCGACGTGGAGTCCTCTGACCACTTACACGCCATCGATCATCATGTAAGTCTTCACTTCTGTTCATAGACGTATTGATCTAAAGCTCATTTATACAGGTCACTCGGCTTTGACAGAACATCAGCAAACGCTCTGGCTGCAGTCGGTGCATTCCTCTCACTTGGAGTAGTATTCTTCTTCGCCTACTTAAGCGATCGGACCAATCGCCGAGGTGCATCTGTGATCGCTGCTCAAGTCTGCTACCTAGTTGCCCTGATAGTAACTCTCAAGGTCCAGCCCCATGTTGGTAAATGGTCACGTTGGGGACTTTGGACTGCTGTGAACAGTTTTGCTGTGGGATATCATCCCATACATAACTTCTGGGTTCAGATCAACTGTAGGGATCCGAGGGAGCGGAGTATCAGCATCGCGTGAGTTTTTCCTATCTTCTAATGTTGACCTTGAATGGAGCTAATGAGAGAGTCTTAACTGCAGTATGTGGGTTATGTCTGCAATAAGCGGCTTAATGGTCGGGACACAATATTTTCAAGTGGGCGACAAACCATTGTAAGTGAAGATATCCTCCGGAATTCATTGCCGAACACTTTCTAATATCAACAGTTATTCAACGGGCCTACGTACCATGATCATTATGGTATCTGTTGGAATCGCGAGTGCTTTTGCGCAGATTATTATTTATGTCGTTCATAATAGGCGTGTTGCGCAAGGAAAGCATCACCTCGGGGATGGATCAACGCCTATGGTGTATGTCCCTTAAAAGTAGCAAATAATGAAATCTATAGATGACAGACTCGTCCAGATTATATTTTGTGCGTAGTCCTATTATCATCTAGCACCGAAGATATTACTGTCTGGTGCAATTAACGATTCCGCAAGACATGAATTGTATTTGTTACATCGGGATGATATGTGCTAGGACGTTTTGAGTACGACATGAAAGTAGTCTGAACCTTATATGCTGGATGATTCTCTACAGATTCTAGATCTCACGCCTTCGGCTGAACATCCTCATCCTGGATCTGCTCCAGGTCAACATCCTGGGCCATTGACTGTTCCTGGGCTAAAAGTGGGTTAGCAAGGATTGCAGACCGCAATAGGGGGGAAAAATTAACTTACTATTCCAAAGCTCTGCATAAATGCCGTCACGCTCGAGCAACTCGCGGTGTGAACCCATCTCTGCCACATGACCTTCCTTCAGGACCAGAATTTGGTCACTGTCGGCGATCGTGCGTAGGCGATGAGCAACAAACACGCTTGTGCGACTCTTCTCTTTGAGAATGCTGTTAATATTCTGGAGGAGGGCCTGCTCCGTGTAGGTGTCTAGGGCAGATGTCTAAGGAGAGGGTGATTAGTTACCCTAATTAAACGCTCAACTAGCGGACAAAGAGTGAAATGAACACTTACTGCCTCATCGAAGAAGAATAGTTGTGGGTCCTTCAGGATCAACCGAGAAATTGCCAGCCGCTGCTTCTCGCCACCGGAGATCATCATACCACGCTCACCAACTGCAGTTTCGTAGCCATCAGGTAGACCATCGATGAGCTTGTGGATGTGGGCTCGCTCCGCAGCTCGGCGCACTTCTTCGTCCGATGCATCAATCCGTCCATAGCGGATGTTGTGCGCGATGGTGTCATTAAACAGCGGTGTGTCTTGAGGCACCACTCCAATTGCCTTGCGGAGACTGTCGACGGTCACATCGCGAATATCCTGGCCGTCAATCAAGATGCGGCCGGACTGGACGTCATAGAAACGGAACAGCAGACGTAGGATTGTAGACTTGCCACAGCCGCTAGGACCGACAATGGCGAACTTCTGCCCTGCTGGAATAGTGAAGGTGGCATTCTTTAGAATAGGTCGGTCTGGGTGGTAGCCGAAAGTGACGTTCTCAAAGTGAATCTTGCCGCCCTGCGTCAGCTGCAGAGGCTTGGCGTTGGGTCGTTCCTGGATGGTGACATTCACTTTCTGTAGGTTGAAAAGCGTCTCCATGTCCAGCAAGGACTGGCGCAGCTCACGGTAGACAGATCCCAAGAAGTTGAGGGGAACCGAGAGCTGGAAGACCAGCTGGTTGACCATGACTAGGTCACCGACAGTCATGGATCCGTTCGCAACTCCATTGCAAGCCAGGTACATCATTGCGGCCAGCGCAGAGGAGAATATCATGTTTTGGCCAGAGTTGAGGAATGCCAGTGACGTAGTCACCTTGATTGATGCATCTTCATACTTCTTCAAGGCCTTGTCATATCGTGCCACTTCGAATTTCTCGTTATTAAAGTACTTGACGGCTTCATAGTTGATGAGCGAGTCCACGGCAACAGTTGCTCCGCGGTTATCAGCTGCATTGGCCTGTCTCCGGAACTTTGTTCGCCATGCGGTTGTAGTGATGGTAAACGCCGTGTAAGCGACCATTGTTGTTGTTGTGATGGCAGCAAATTGGAGGCCATATTGATAAGTCTACAACACGTTAGTAATGTAGGAACAAAAACATTCGTTGTCTTTCGTTGTCAAATCATACCAGGATACCGCAGACAAGCGAGATTTCAAGTGCTGTCGGGACCACATGGAAAACCATGGAGGTTAGGAGGAAGCTGATGCCCTTAGTACCGCGATCAATTGCGCGGGTCAGACCTCCGGTCTGCCGAGAAAGGTGGAAGTTGAGATCCAGTCGCAACAGATGTTCAAAAACATTTGATGCCACCTTCCGAATTGCCTTCTGCGCAACGCTAGCAAATACTGCGTTGCGGAGCTCTTGAAACAATGTAGCTCCAATTCGAGTTACACCGTCTAAAACATATTAGCGACATGTCACTTCTTCAATATGTTGTCATTCTTACAGGCAATAATCATTGACCCAGCCACGGTGTAGGCAGTTCCGCCGACGGTAGCAAAATCTACATTCATGGAGTCGACAATGTTCTTAAAGTAGAAGGGGATCTCCACATTGAGGATCTGTATTGGATTCATATTAGCATAGTCTAATAATAAAAAATACAATGACAGATGTAACTTACCTTTGCTCCAATAAGTAGCGAAAGTGCTGAGCTGACACGGAGCTTCGTGCCCCAATCATCCTACCAGCTATAGTCAATATCCTGTTACTCTATACCAATAGCACTCGGGAATTACCTTTGGCCACAGATACTTGGCCATTTCTTTCATGATAGCCCAGTCTGCCTTTCTTTGTTCCTTTTTTCCGGCCATGGGTTCGCTCAGCATGTCCTTCTTTGGTGGAGTCTTCACATTGGGGCTATCTTCCGGCTTCTGGACGATATTGGCATGTGCTAGTTGTGATGGAGCGGAGGTAGAGGTAGGATTCGCTTTGACAGATGCATGATCTTTATTGTCTGTGGATTGACTCCATAATGAATTGTTATTTGATGTGAACGCGCGCAGGTGTGTTCCATTGAGTCGCGTTCTTCGTAGCTGACCGGCGAAGCTCGGATATGCGAATTGCGCTGTGCGCCAGCACGGCGATCGTGCGGCCCTGAGCAGCATAGCCGCTTGATATGAGATTCTCTGAGCTCCAAAGTAGTTCGAGTCACTGAGAGGATGTTCAAAGGCGCATAGTGGGAGCGAGTAAGAAAGATTGTCGTGTAGTAGCTATGTCTCCGATATCTCGTGGGGGGTAATCGCCGGCTTCGGAGAAAAACCCGTCGCTCTCGATGGAAAGTCCAGGATAGTCGCAAATAGTCAAGCAAAGGTAAGATGTACAATAAGAATGTAAATAGTTAAAGAACTTATAATAAAACTTCCAAATGTCGCAATTCCGAGGGGCAGTTGTGTACTTCGTAGGCCGCATCGCTCTCGGGCCCACGATTTTCCCGGTTTCCCTTTCGTCACAACTGACGTAAATTCTCCCTTCGGTAGCCTTGGAGTCTTTGCTCATTTTTCATACACAATGCGCTCCGTCCAAGGTGTTCGGACACTGCCCTGGACCCGAGTTGTCCCTCGCGTCCATCGGCAAACGCGATGCGTTCAGATTCGCGCCGCGCCTTCGGGAGTGTCTTCGGTCAATGGCGACAATCTGCCACTCGCTAGCACGCCCAGCTCTGTTGAATCACGAGGTAATTGAAATTCCCCTGGGGTTTTGGCGTTGTGACACTGACAATGAGGTCACATAGATGCGCGATTCGATGTCGTCGGCGCTCCATACTCGCTTCTGTCGGTTTCGCTCTCGGCCTCGCAGAACCTATATACCCGACGCGGAACGTTGGTTGGATTGAGCGGCAAGGCGGATAATGTATGCGACCCCGCGATCAAGTCGTCCTGGGGGAGTGGTAATGCTAATGCATAGTCTGCGCAGGTGGTTTCCACTTTGAGCGTTCTAGAACCCTTCCGGAGGGCTGTCGTCGGAGTGCCCTTTCTTTATCAGAAGGTAAGATGTGCGGTGCAGACAAGGACCTAGAGACAGCAATTGACAATTCCACAGATCTCCTCACCAACACCTGTCACAGCACTCGTTTCCGTTCGATCCCCCAATACCTCCTTCGCCGTCGTGAACGTCAATGGTTCCGTGGACTGGATGGTTGCCCAAAGACGGGCTTTGCTTGCATGGACCGGCCGGTCTCTGTCCATCAAGCCGACTATCAATGCAAACCTGGTTAGTGGGGTTGTGATCGCGTACGAGGGAATACAAAGCTAATTTGCGCAGAGCTTGTCTCATTGGGGTAGCTCCGAAGTGACTGGCAGAGGCTTAATAGCGTTGGTTGGAAACGGACAGCTATACTCGGTCGAATTGAAGGATGGCGAGCAGTACATTGCGCATCCCAGGTAAGACCCTCGGCCGCGATTTCACGTCTGAGGTCGCTAATTTTTTATCGACAGCAATGTGGTCGCTTACACAATGGCCTCCAATCCTCCTCGCCCCTACCGTTTCAAATCCACCACTCTCAACTTTCAGGTGCCGGGCCTGAAGACGCTACCAAGACTCCTACAAAATGCCAAGTTCGTTCGTGATGTGTCTGATTCCAAGGCATACAAAACCACTATGCAGTGGTTCCACAAGCTGCGTACCTGGTCTCGAATGACCATCTGGGGAGATAGAGTATGGCAGTCCCATTTTTGTCCTTCGATTTCACCAACTAACAATGTTGTCTAGCTCTTCCTGCAGTTTGATGGTCCCATGACCATTCTCGTGCAATCCCGCGGTCCTCGTCTCAACGATGTTTTGTCCGCACAGGAAGCCAATGAGATCGCCAATGTCCCTAGTGGCTTTACCTCGCCCGCTCCTCGGTCCACTGAAGGCGAAAAGACACATGAGGAAAAGACAGAAGCCGAAAAGGCCGTCAGCAATATCCCCGGCCTGACGCGCTCTGTCGAGGAACTAGAGCAGGAAATCCAAGGAACCAGCCAAAGCATTGCGAAGATCCGTAAAGATGGAAAGGTCGAGATTGAGGAAGTTGCTCGCACAAACTAAATAGAAAGATTCGCTTCGAAAGGGTTGACTTGGAGGAGTTCTCTTCGCATTGGGTTATGTACGGGCTAGAGCGGTCTCCATTTGGGATTATCACGTTGCATCCTGTACAGTATGGGCATTTCTTTTATCTTGGCAATTGCCGACAAATCTTTTTTCTTTGCTTCTGATACACAGATTCTACTTCTCTTGCCTATTATTTTCACTCTTCAAGTAGAAAGAGCAAACCTCATGACACGGCTCAAGTGATGCACCAAAAATAGCAGGAAGATGCTACATAGCAGTCATTGGAGAAGCGAACGTCTCGTCATGCCACGTCTTGTTGATATAATTAAGTATAAAAAGCTGAAATACTCAAGACTCGGCAAAGCCCGGAAAATGGGCCAGATAGTCACCACCCCAGATCCACGCCTGCTGCTGCGCAAATCTATTGGTTGTGTCCCAAAGCTCAGGGAAGAGCTGTCTCTCGAGGTCATCGGTCACTGCATCAGTTGCTGGAGACATGCGCCCAGAGATCGCTCTATCAAAGTCGCACAAAGCCTGTGATATGGTTAGGTCTTCCCTAAAGTCAAAGTTGGCAAAGTCGTTGATTGACCCATCACTTGGGTTTTGGCTCTCTTCTTCTCTTGGGGTTGATCCAAAGAATCCTCGGTTGTCGTTCTGTGCAAGCATCTGTTTCAGTTCCTTTTCCATCACCAACTTAGTCAACCTCTCAAGAATTGCCAGTCCCTGGGCAGCTAGTTGCGACTTTGGTGCCAGAGTCCGCTGCATACCCAGCAATCGATGCAATCCCATCTTCGACTTGTGGGACTCGAGTGTCAGTGGCTCAATGCTAGCCAGTATACAAAGAGTGACACCGGCAGTGAAGGTGTGGATGCCGATGAATGCGGCTGCATATGTATCTGCTGCCAACGAGAAAATCGACGCTGAACCAATCTCCGATATTTTGATAGCAGCGTCTCGACAAGGGCCCAGTGTTTGGTATAAAGGCACCGATGGATTTCTGGGGATTCGTTTGTATTCCAGAAGAGGGCGATGGACAAGAATCTTTGCATTTTCGTATGCGATTTCAAGGGCAAGGGCTTGGAGTTGATAGATATAATTGTCGAACTTCAGCCCCGATGCTCCAATATCTTGATCCGTTTCCTCTACGGAAGCATATCTGATCGATGTGGTCTCAGGATTATTGAGATGAAGCTGTGGAGGAATCTCCTTTTTCCACTCCTGTAACTGAGTATCTAAGTGGGACGCCATGTGGGCTAGATGATGCTGTGTTGAAACACAGCCTGAAAATTTGCATGGCTGGCCTTGCCCGTGCGGTACATCGGAGTTGGCTCCATACATCTCGTTCAATATGGTTTTGGTGAGCATGGACAGCTTGGACATCAAGTACTTGTACGAAAGAAGGCTGACTTGATCCTGACTCCTTGTATTGACTGGAGCAGGTGAGTGTCCAATGGGCAGAAGCTCCAACAAGTGGACATCGCAGTCGATATCTCTGATGGCTTGAGGGTATCCATATGACATTGAGCAGAACGTCTCAATCTCATAGATAGCCCACCAGCAACGCTTCCGCGTCTCGTATCGGTGGCGCATATCCAATGACATTGATGCAAGACCTGATGTGGTCATGCCTATCCTGCGATGCAGATTCAGAGCTTGCGCAATCCGTAACCCACAGCCACAGATCGGCCAGGCTAGCCCGGGATCCCCATGGTAGAGATAGTATGTGCCAAGCAGAATGCAGGTTTGTGCTGCTTCCAGGGAGCCCAGGGAAACGATGTCCATCATTTTAGCCCGGACTGTGGTGAGGATGCTGTCTTTCAGGGTTGCTGCATCGACGTTGTGCGCTGCCAGGAGTTGCCTTCGATGAGGACCCACGTATTGTAACCCAATCACGATAGCCATCAGCAATGTACTGATGAAGTCAAGATTGAAACCGGTTCTAGTGGACCCTTCCGTAAGATTTTGGTACAGCTGTTGCCATCTCTTTCGGAAGTCCTCTTGGTGGAAGATGAGCATAAACCAATGGGCTCGGTCGAAGTAAGTATCCACAAGCAAAGATGCTACTTCGAATGAAGGTAAAATCGAGATAAGATCAGCCGAAGGGGAATGGGCGGCTGAGTGTCGATCTCGCGGGGGCATTACACCCGCCTGCGCTGGGTCCGTCTGGCCTCCGGGGAAAGCATCAGTCATTGAAGTATCGGGGGTGTTGGTATTGTGGATATGGAATGCCTAGATCAAGTCAGCAGCCATAACTTCCAAGGTTCTTGGATCTAACAAGGCAGAAAGCTCACCCCCGTTATAAGAGACATAGTCGAGCTCGAATTCCATTGCTGTTCACGAGACGGTCCTCCGATGCCCGTGTGAGTCGATTCCGGAATATCGAGATTAGTATCGCTTTCTATATCTCTTATTTCTGTCAAGGGGCTCAGACTTTCACTTTCGCTGCTTGAAAATCGTCTCTTGATAGGAGTGACACTCAGGCTTGGCTGCCGAGAGTGAAGGCGACTAGCATGACGGAGGACTGTTGGCGAGTGATTGTTATCGGTCTGCCCGTTCCCCGTTAACGGGTGATCTTGATCGGGGTGCAGCATGGGAGCCTGGCGCTTGTCGTAGTCTTCCATGACCTTATTATACCATCCTATGGAATTTAGTTACATCCTCAAAACATAGTCATAGTCCACAGGAATGGTTCTTACTTAAAGCATCAACTCGTAGTTCGAGTTTCACTGCTCCACCACGGTTACCAGCGTCATCCAATGCATCATAAATAGCTCGATGACGCTTTCTGTAATGTGCGCGCAGGTTATTTCGAGAGGGGAATACATGTAGGGTCTGGGAGTCGAATCAACGATTTGATTCTCAAAAAGCTAAGTGTTTCGCAAATATCCCAATGCCTATGGCAACCAGTCTTCAATTCCAAGAGGCCCAACCTCATACTAAAAGGGAAATCAGAAACATCACTCACATCGATCAGGCAGCCAGCAACTCGGCAGAACCGCTCGCCAGCATAGAGATGGTACTTTCCATTTGCCTATACATCCAAGTCAGTCATTTAAGGAATAATAGGTAGCTCTGTACTTCTCTCACATCAGCTGTAAGATCGTCTATCTGTAGGTCGGCAGGATTGGTCGCTAGATACCGCTGATAAGAAGGATATTCCTTGAGTTGCCGCATAGCGTAAAATAGATAGATTGTATAATAGTGAAATGTATAGGAAGAAACAAGAACTAGTCTTTGAGTAGTTAAGGTCAGGTGATATGTCATTTCTTCTCCCCTTACGTAATGCGCGCCTTTCTCCAGAGTTTTGCAATGCAATACATAGTTATATTACTCGCAAGGGTATACTGAGGTATCAACCGATACAGAGGATATATAACACTCGTCTCGTGTAGATTCTGGGTCGATCGAAATTTATAACACCACCACGGGCGAGTGTGTCAGGATTCTTGGATGCAGTTATATAAAATTCACGAAAATCGAGTTCGATGAGCAACACCCTTACTATTTGCGCACCAGGTTTGGGACGTTCGACACAGAGCCTATGAGAACAGAAGGCTGGCTCTTTACAACGGACTGAAAGTTTCTCAAATGGTTGGTTATGGGATTAATATTGAAACCTGGATCATGTACCAGGGGGAACGACTTGACAAGATATCGCTTGACTATCGTGGACTTCAAATTCACAGGAAGCAAATTTTCGCTGCGGTTCCTGGCATGTGTTTCTTTGGCTGCAATTCAGGTCATGTTATTAGTCTCGGAGATTCAGGGAATTAGGTCAAGAATTAGAACCAATACGTTTGCAGTACTTTTATACGAGAGTGGTATTTTCTTTTGGTCGGAGTTGCGATAAATATACCTAATTCCCTGATCTAGTTGTGAACTAGTTACGAACTAGTATTCTACTCGAACAACAGGTAGAACTACAACATTATAAAAAGCGACTCCCACTCCAACGTCACACAATTTAAAACATTCTACATCAAGTTCTAACTTCCCAAATCATTATCACTATGGCCCAAGTCAACACACTGGCTGTAAGCCTTCCCCAACTGGCCAAAATGATCGACCACTCCCTCCTCCACCCAACAATGACAGACGAAGACATCATCGCCGGTCTCAAAATTTCCAAGGAATACAACGTCGCCACAGCTTGTGTAAAGCCCTACCACATTCCACTAGCCAAGCAACAACTCCAAGGCACAGACGTCGACATCTGCGCTGTCATCGGCTTCCCGCACGGAAACAGCACCACAGAAATCAAAATACAGGAAGCCATTGCCGCAGTCCAAGCCGGCAGTCATGAGATCGACATGGTCGTCAACATCGGCAAAGTCCTAGGTGGTGACTGGGGATATGTCTCGCAGGAAATCGAACAGATCAACACTGCAGTCGTGCAACAGGGTGCTATTCTCAAGGTCATTTTCGAAAACGATTACCTCCAGCCTGAACATATTGTGCATCTCTGTAAGATCTGTAACCAGTTGCGTGTTGCTTTTGTCAAGACTTCGACTGGGTACGGCTTCGTCAAGCAAGCTGATGGGTCTTACAACTACAAGGGGGCGACTGTGAACCATCTCAAGCTGATGCGCCAGTATTCTGGCCCTGGTGTTCAAATTAAAGCTGCTGGAGGTGTGAGGACTCTTGATGATTTGCTTCATGTTATGAGTCTTGGCGTGACTCGGATTGGGGCTACTGCCACTGTTGCTATCATCGAGGAGGCGAAGAAACGGGGGATCGGTATGGATGAAGTACAAGTCAGATTCAAGCCTATGAAGGAGGATGGTGAGACTGGAGGATATTGAGCCTTTTGCTTAGCCACTTGCCCGAAAGTTGCAACGTAGGACTATGAGAGTTGAGGTTTGCATGTATTTCTTCTATACCTTGTTGTTAGTTCTTGTGTGCCTGGTCCTATAGGAATGGGAATGTAATCATCATCTCAATTCTTATATGTTCGTAGGCTTCTAACAAAATAAACTTGGAGTATGTATAGTATGGATTGGGAATATAAAAGGTTATTTAGATGCTAACAATAACAACTAAAATTTACAATATATTCTTGCTTACTCTCCACTTCAATGCTTCCGGATGTCATCAACAACCAAAACAAAATAGAAATACCAAAAAATACAGGTCAGCTTCGGATTTTAAAAAAACCAGGAGAAAAAAGATTTGTAGACGAATCCGCAGATTAACGTGGGTGATTTATAGCCGGGTAATACCAGAGATTGAATTGTTTCAGCTGCATCTAACCATAATTATATGTTTCATATGTTTCAGGAGTATGTGGTACAAACTCAATCTAAGGAGATCTTAATATGAACACCCACGGAGTTAACCAACAATCTATTCCCAAAGCGAGATCAACGGCATTAACTCACATTTTATCCCCAAGCAGCGATATCCCGGGAATTCGGCTTCGGCCAATTGCATATATGTCCGACCGCTGCAGTTGGCCCTGTGAGCCAGAAGTAGTATTGGCCATTTATGGACTAGGGTCCGCCTTAGTTGGGTTAGTGGCGCCAATCGCGAAATGAAAAGAGTTACTCCGTACGCATCTCGGACTTAACTAGAACGCGACGACCGAAGGTGTGACCGCTTCGTATATTTTTCTTTCTGATATTTTCCCTTCATAATGTGACTTTATCCCTTTAAGTATTGGCCTCGGCATCTTTGAAAGTTACTCGAAGCTCTGGGCATTTTAATCTACAGCCCTAGAACTTTAGGACCAAACGGCCTCGCGACGTTGAGGTGAGTTTTGAATCAAACTGGTCCAATACACTCAATCTTATTTCTTAATTTTATACTTCCCGTTGAGAGCTACAAATTGGTATCTAATATTTTGGCAGATCATAGGTCCAAGTCTATATAACTCGACGCCTTCCTCAAAGATGGCAAATAATCAGATTGAGACTGGTTCCTCTACCGACAGTGCCACCAATATACAACTTTCTAACAGTTCAACTCCCACCGTGAGTATGCATGGAAATGATCCAGAAAAAGGTCTCGCACCATCAGGAAATGCCGAAGTACAACCAACCGAGAAGTCAGTTGCTGCTGGCCCAGCACCCGCAACACCAGTTATCGGTCCACCACCTGATGGAGGTGTGCAAGCATGGCTGGTCGTACTAGGAGCTTTCTGTGGATTATTCGTCAGCTTCGGCTGGATCAATTGTAAGTCATGTCGGAATACATGAACCCAACAAGATACTGATATCATCCAGGCATCGGCGTCTTCCAAGCATACTACGAACGTCACCAACTCAGCGAGTTCTCCACCAGTACAATTACATGGATCACATCGCTAGAGACCTTCACAATGTTCTTCTGCGTGCGTATACCATTGCCCCAGCATCAATTCCTTATATCCCCAAGGCCCATCTAACATCCTCCCAGGGCCCAATATTCGGAACTTTGTTTGACAGCTACGGCCCGCGCTGGATCCTTCTTCTCGGCACAATCCTCCACGTCTTCGGCTTAATGATGGCTTCTCTCTCAACAGAGTACTACCAGTTCATCCTCGCGCAAGGAATCTGCAGCCCAATCGGCGCAAGCGCCATCTTCAACGCCTGCGTCAACTCCGTCACCACCTGGTTCTCCAAGCGTCGTGCTTTCGCCCTCGGCATAACAGCCTCCGGATCCAGTCTGGGTGGAGTCATCTTCCCGATCATGGTCACCCAATTGATTCCCAAAGTCGGGTTTCCCTGGGCGATGAGAATCTGCGCCTTCCTCATTTTGTTCATGTTGGGTATCTCCAATATCACGCTAAAGTCGAGATTAACGCATCGCCCAAAGCCCTTTGATTTCTTGAATTTCCTGAGGCCGTTGGCTGATCTCAAGTTCACACTTACGCTTGCTGCTGCCTTTTGCTTCTTCTGGGGCATGTTTTTGCCATTCACTTTTGTTATTACCCAGGCTGAGAGATATGGAATGTCTACCAATTTGGCCGGGTACCTGATTCCGATTCTGAATGCCTCTAGGTAAGCTTTCCCTTTCCGGTCTATACACCGCATCTCGATAAACTAACAAAATCCAAATAGTATCTTCGGCCGCACGCTCCCCGGCTATCTCGCCGACAAATTCGGCCGCTACAACGTGATGGTTATAACAACGTTCTTCTCATCCATCCTCGTCCTAGCCCTCTGGCTACCGTCGAGAGGAAATGCCCCAGCAATTGTGTTCAGCGCCCTATATGGCTTCGGCTCTGGCGCGTTTGTCTCACTTGCACCAGCTCTTGTAGCGCAGATCTCCGATCTTCGCCAGGTGGGTGTGCGCAACGGCACTTTCTTTGCTGTCATCTCGTTTGCAGCCTTGACCGGTACTCCTATCGGTGGTGCTTTGGTGCCAGATGTTCTCCATAGTGATTATACCCGGTTACAGATATTCGCTGGTGTTGTCATGATTGCTGGATCTACTCTATTTGTTGTTGCCCGGGGGGCTATTGGTGGGTTTAAACTTAGTAGCAAGGTATAATAGACGGGCTTGACAAAAATTTGGGGTCTTTTGAGATGTCTTGGATATTTTTTACATGTGGACCTTTTAGATATTCTTTATTGTTGTTGCAAATAAAACATACTAGACTACTGAGTAGTTAGATAGATTTCTAATTGAGAATTGATTCTTACAATTTTTTTTCCTCTTCTCCTACAACCCAACTTGTCTCTACAAAAGATGAAATAAGTGAAATTCTCCTGAGTTTCAAAGGCAACCGAATTAATGACGTTTCCAACATCTAATGCTGGTACATAAAAGTACCATCCCAATCAAAATATGCTGCCTCAGGCTCTAACCTACCAAGTTAGTTACCCGAATTTCCAGGAAATTACATGTTGTCCTTAATCCTCACGGCAAAGCCCCTATCCTAATATGGCTTCATGGATCTTCTCAACATTAAATGATGTGTTCCAGGCTTTGAAGGGGGCGAACACAACCATCATCACAGACCAAGACGTCCCCGGCGACGATCTGACAGGCAAATGGATCATTATAACCGGATCCAACAACGGCGTCGGCTTTGAAGCTGCAAAATCTTTCGCATCATGGGGCGCAAATATCATCTTCGCCTGCCGCGAGCCACCTACATGGGAATTGCATCCGACAGCAGCTGTGGACGAATGCAGAGAGCTTGCCGCGATTTGCGGCCATGCGTCCACTATTGAATGGTGGCAAATCGACATGTCAGATCTCCGCAGCGTTGATGCTTTCTGTCAAAGATGGTTAAAATGCGACCGTGCTTTGGATATTTTATGCAATAACGCGGGGATTGCAGAGCCTACCCAGCAAACCCGTGTAACGCAAGATGGGTTCCAGATGGTTCATCAGGTCCGTTTCTCTAGTCCTTTTCAAACTTGTGTCGCATACGAACAGATATTGATGAAACCTCCCAGGTCAACTTCTTATCTCATGTACTACTAACCCTTCGACTCCTACCATCTCTAGCCCGCAGTGCCGAGCCACGAGTTATCTGCACAACCTCATGTTTCCACCACATAGGACTCTTCGATATCGACCATGTGAATGGCGAACCAGGCAGCAAAGGCAACGATTACCGGAACAATAAGCTCTACTTCCAAATGTGGGTTGCAGAGATGCAGTCTCGACTCCTCAGGCACCCCGAGTACCTCCACATCACAATCAACGGCGTCCATCCCGGCTTTGTGGCATCCGGTATATGGGACGGTCTTGAAAATGCGGGCAAAGCCCCGAGCGGACTGAACTTGCTTTTGCGCTATGTTGCTATCACGTCGCAACAGGGTGCATTGGCTATTACTCATGCAGCTACTAGTTTGGAGCTTGGGCCAGATCCTAGGAAGCAGGGTGTTGGTGCGGAAAATGGACGTGGTGGAGGGAAATATATCAATCGAATATGGGAGGGGCCTATGAAATCATATTGTAATGACCAAGAGGCTAGATCTAGATTGTGGATCAAACTAGATGAGGAGCTTGGTTTACAAGAGAAGGGTCTTCTGGATGTTTTGGGTCTTTAATTCATTGAATTCTATGACAAGAAGCGGTCCAGGGTTATACTAAAAAGAGTTAGAAAGGATGTTAGAGAAGATACTGGATCGATGGTTATGGTTGAAAGTTTACAAAAGGGTACAATGAAGAAGGATATTCCCAAAATAGTTAGATGGATTCAAAAGACCAGAATACCAGACAAGAGTATAGACATGAAAACGCCGTAGCACCGTCGCTGAAGGGTGATGCATGAAAAGAAAAGAGAAAACACAATTATGCTCCGGTATATGCCGCCCAAAAATGCAGCAATCAAGCAAATATTCCTTGTCTCATATTCTGGACCGTTTTGACCCCAACACCTTTCAGCTGGCTCAGTTGTGACAGGCTGTTGACCTGGAATTGGGACTGGTCTGAGATTCCACTGTTTGTATCCAATGATGCCTGGTCCATCTCGCAGAGGCAGTCAACAAGAGCCTCTGCCTTCTTGGCGCCCACTCCCTTGAGCAATTTGATCTGGCTCACGTCCCGCGAGTTGATAATGGAAAGAATATGCATAGTTCGGGGAGAGATGGACGGGTCCTCAATATCAAGGAGCTCGGGGGCTTCCTCGATCTGACCGAGCTTGGCTGCAGCACGCTTCTTATGTTTTGGGCGAGGGACGTCCTCGTCGCTTGAAAATCCGGCATGAGTCTGGTCCATGTAGGTATCCTCGTGATTCTCTGATTGGCGTTTGCCAAGGGTTTGTGGTACATCATTCTTGAAGGAAAGCATGCTACCCCTCCCCTTAGGCGGGGAATGGGCTTTTTCCTCCCAAGCCTTTGCATGGACACGCTCCTTCAGGGCAGCAATCTTGCCTGCTAGCTTCTCGTTGTGGGGGAAGTGGGGAGCTGCCAGCTGGTACATTCTCAGGGCTGAGCCGTCTTCACCACGTGCCTGATGTTGTTTAGCCATCAGAAGGTAGGACAGACCCTCAGCCCGCGCATCTTCTGTACCATCAATGCGCTGCTCCAACTGTTCCAATCGCTTTTGAAGCTGCTCATTAAGCTCATGAACCTGTGTCTGCCTCGATTGTTCGCTCACAGCCCGCACAGCTAAGATCTCCTCGACCTTCCTCTCAACCATCTCCTCGATCCTAGCAGCCGATAAGTCGTCATGGCGCGCGCTGGGCTGCGGGCCCAGGGCCTGACGAGCGGACTTCAATGATGGAAGGGCGGAGGGAGCGTTGGAGATCGAGGTGCGTTTCGGTCCGTCCGGTTTCCGGAGCTGGCTAATAAGCTTGGGCTGTGGCTTGTCCGAATATACGCTGAATGCCTTGACGGGTTTGCCGTCTTCCTTTTCTGCAGAGTCCTTCGCAGCGGGTGCTGGCATATTGACATTCACAGAAGCTGTCAGTGCACGCAAAGGTTGCCGAGTGCCCATAGATGGCCGGATCGATGGCCGGGCCGGTCCCTTGAACATGGGATCGTTTTCTACTTCCCGGACCTCAATCTTCCGTGTGCGATTGGCGACGTTCAAAGAGCTAATTGTGTCAAGTTGATAAGACCGGACAGGCGCGAGGTTGAGAATCATCACTGTCAAGCCGTTGTTCTGTCCCAAGGACAAAATTCTTGTCATCTTGGACTCGCGATATGGGATGCGATGCTGCTTCTTGTTGATAGCCTCGACACACTGTGCCAGAACGAACAGACTCTTGTTGATGCTAGCCGATTCTACCATGCGCTCCTTATCATTTTCCGTCCGTCGATTGTCTTCGGATCCTGCGAGATCAATAGCGGAAGCGGTGCTGACGCGAACCTTGTTAGGGGAGGTGATGGTGACCTTCACACCGAGAACGGCGTGAGATCGAGACGAATGGGCATTGAGCTGTATTCGGATGTTTAGCAAGATAATATAGACCCTAGCCTTTGGCATTATATCATACCTTGGTTGCGGATGTGGATCGGTTAGTGTTTGCCTGATCATATAGCTGCTCAAACTCCTTCAAAGTGGTACACGGCTTCTCACTCAGGCCGCAAACCACAGTTTTGCCGCCATTGTCCCGGAGGGGAAGACCTGACATTGTGCGCTTCTCGAGAGGCTCAAACAAGTCGAACACCTTGTCGTTGTAGATTTCATAATAACTCAGGGCAACCTGGACTGTCTTCTCCCCATTGCTATCCTTTTCAATCTTCCGACTGCGTCTGTAGATGCCACTGAGTAGACGGGGAATTACACCTCGGTCCGCCAAGGTTTTCCCGCCACGCATTGTATGTGTTTTGCCTGTTCCGGTGACACCGTATGCGAAGAGGGTCACGTCGAATCCGTTGAGAAGATGTTTGATTGTTGGCGACACTGTTATTTCGATCAGTATACTGGCGTACGGCGGGCCTGGTACGCTTGAAATAGCAACTCACCTTCAGCATCAAACAGCTCCTGTTGCGACACTTCCGCATCGTACACGCCATTGAACTGGAACGCATACTCCTCCCCCTCATTCTTGGGGTTTGGAATCCGGACCACATTATCTCTGTCTCTCAATGCCGCCAATTTCTTGTCACTCTTGTCACTCTTGTCGCCAATTATTGACTGGCGTGATTTGGAGTCGGCGGTAGCGGAAGATCCTGTACGAACGATCACATCGGCTTCCCGTTCGGAATTGAGAAGGGGACGGATACGCGCGACAACTCGGACACTCATTGTGGCGGGATGTTCATTCAATTATCGTGTGATGGTCTGAGTCCAGACGTCAGGGATGCAATCCAATCCAAACAAAACTGAAGGAATGACTAAAACGAAGTGTAAAGCCAAGAAAAGACGAAGAACAATAAAGTCCTCCCCACAAAAACAAAGAAACGAAACTAACTACTTGGTGTATGCAGAACTGAAAGTTGTGGAACGTGTGGAGGAGTTCTCTTGTGCAGCAGCCGGTGTGGTTGATGTTGGCAGGGCAACCACCTCTTCTACAACATATGTTATACAATACATTCTTAACACTTGAGCACCAGAATGGGAATATATGATTGCCTTGATACAATTTGAATAAAGTGATCATCTTGCACATCCCATATTCTCCTTATCACAATTGACAGTACAGTATGATCTATGGATGTGCTCTGCACTTGGATTAGGGGTATATAGTGTTCACGTCTGACCAGCCCAGATACTTATAAATATATATAATCAACTTGATGAGAATAAATGCATATAAAGCAATATAAACGGTGTTGTACTCAATATCAGACGTTATCGTAAAATATAAAAACATGCTTCTCGTCACATGTTCCCTGGCCTCTGATTGGCTGGGGCACCTCGACCTAAAGGCCACCGTAGACCATCATCACCGCCTCTCTCACACTCCCTTGGTTTCTTCTGGTGAGCTGTCTTTTGCCTCGCTATTGCCTTTTGTGATATTTCTGGGTTTTCTAAAGGTACAGCCTACATTGTACGCAACCAGTTCCACCCTGTTCCGTTGACGAGAAACTGATTGTGGGGTTCCAGGAGCTGTTACCACCCGCCTCCTCATATCGATTCCACCCGCCGACTTCGTGACGAGCGCAACCCTCTTTTCCTCCCAACCCTCAAGTACCACTAAACACAACCTACTCGACTCTAATGGCAGCGCCACAAGGGGGATTCCCTCCTCAAGAAGGGTATGGTCAGCCCGCCTATGGCTCCCCGGAACCCACACAGTCCCCGGTCCATGGGCAAGGCGTGCCCGCACCAGCTGCAGCTGGAAAGAAGAAGAGAGCTTACGCTGGTGAGGCATTTGATTTCGGTTCCGGTGCCAATGCCGCGCTCGGTGGACAACCTACGGCTGGGGGTGCTTACGGTGCCTACCCTCAGCAGCCCCAAGCTGCAGGATATCAACAACCCGCCTACGGTGCGGACCCCAGCCAGATGCAACCCGCAGCACTATCATACGGCGCGCCTGCTCCCGCCGATGTCACACAGATGACACAGCAATTCGGTGGAATGGGCATGAGCGAACCTCATCACATGCCGCCCGCGCAGCCTGTGGCCCAAGCCCCTATGCGACCTCAAGTCCAGCTCAACCAGCTTTACCCCACGGATCTTCGATCCCAACCTTTCAACGTCGCTGAGCTGGATTATCCCCCTCCTCCAATTATCTTGCCTCCGGGAGTATGTATAGATGCCATGTTGTGCATGTGGTTGATATGCTAACAATTGACAGACTAGTGTTTACCCATCGCCCGAAGCCAATTGCCCCACGAAATATATGCGATCCACGCTCAACGCTGTCCCCACAACAAACTCACTTCTGAAGAAGTCAAAGTTGCCCTTTGCCCTTGTTATCCAACCGTATGCTTCTCTTCACGACGCTGAGGACCCTATTCCTGTGATTCCAGACCAAGTCATCTCACGATGCCGACGTTGCCGCTCCTATATCAACCCCTTCGTCACCTTCCTCGACCATGGTCACCGCTGGCGTTGTAATATGTGCAACCTGACGAACGATGTGCCACAAGCCTTTGATTGGGATTCTACACTGCAAAAGCCCGCCGATCGTGCGCTGCGTGCCGATCTCAACCACAGCATGGTCGAATTCGTGGCGCCGCAGGAATACATGGTCCGACCACCCCAACCTCTCGTCTACCTCTTCTTGATCGATGTGAGCTATGCATCGGTCACCAACGGTCTTTTGGCCACCACCGCTCGCACCATCCAGGAGAGCCTTGATCGCATTCCCAACGCAGACCGGCGTACTCGTCTCGGCTTCATTGCAGTAGACTCAAGCTTGCACTACTTCAGCATTCCCCGGGACGAGTCAGAGTCCTCGGAACCTCGGATGTTGGTTGTCAGTGATCTGGACGAGCCTTTCCTTCCCATCCCTGGTGATCTGCTGGTGACGCTGAGCGAATGCCGGGAGAACATTGAAGTTTTCCTCAAAAAGCTGCAGGAGATGTTCCAGAACACCCAAAACAACAGCTGTGCCATGGGTGCGGCATTGCGAGCTGGTTACAAGTTGATCTCTCCCGTCGGTGGAAAGATGACCGTTCTGAGCTCATCTTTGCCCAACCTTGGTCACGGAGCGCTCACTATGAGAGAAGACAAGAAGGTGCTGGGCACCAGCAAGGAATCCAGTCTGCTTCAAACCGGAAACTCCTTCTACAAGAGCTTTGCAGTCGAATGTTCAAAAGCTCAAGTCTCTGTGGATATGTTCCTCTTCTCATCGCAATACCAAGATGTCGCATCTTTGAGTTGCTTGCCCCGATACACTGGTGGTCAAACCTACTTTTACCCTGGCTGGAACGCTGCACGAACTGAAGATGCCATGAAGTTCGCCCGTGAGTTCTCTGACTACCTCTCTTCGGAGATTGGTTTGGAGGCCGTTCTGCGCGTGCGCGCAACCACCGGTCTGCGTATGAACACCTTCTACGGCAACTTCTTCAACCGTAGTTCCGATCTCTGCGCTTTCCCGGCCTTCCCTCGTGACCAGGCCTACGTGGTCGAGGTGGCCATTGATGAGACGGTTACAAAGCCGGTCGTCTGCATGCAGGCGGCTGTCCTTCACACTACCTGCAACGGTGAACGTCGCATCCGTGTCTTGACCCTGGCGCTTCCAACGACCCAGAACCTGGCAGATATCTACGCCTCGGCTGACCAGCAGGCTATTGCCACATTCTTCAGCCACAAGGCCGTTGAGCGCACATTGAGCAGCGGGCTCGAGCCCGCTCGTGAGGCTCTTCAGGCTAAGATCGTGGAGCTTCTGCAGACCTACCGCAAGGAACTTGCGGGTGGTAGCGTTAGCGGTGGTGGCCTTCAGTTCCCTGCCAACTTGAGAGCCTTGCCTGTCCTGTTCCTTGCATTGATCAAGAACGTGAGTTTTCCCTATCTTGGTTGCGATAGTTGTTCTATACTAATTGATCCTCTCTAGCTTGGTCTTCGCAAATCCGCCCAGATCCCCACGGACATGCGGTCCGCAGCACTCTGCCTTCTGTCGACTCTGCCCCTGCCGCTCCTTATCCAATATATCTACCCGAGAATGTACTCACTCCACGACATGCCCGACAATGCGGGCGTGCCTGATGAACAGACCGGCGAAATCCTCCTGCCCCCTGCTATCAACTTGTCCTCGGGCCGCCTCGTGCCCTACGGTCTGTACCTCATTGATGATGGCCAGACCCAGTTCCTTTGGGTTGGCCGCGATGCTGTTTCACAGCTTATCGAGGATGTCTTTGGCGTCCCTGACAAGTCCCAGTTGCGCGTGGGCAAACAAACCCTCCCCGATGTCGAGAACGAGTTCAACCAGCGTGTGCGGGCCGTGGTTGAGAAGAGTCGGGACCACCGGGCCAAGGGTGTGGGCAGCATGATCGTGCCTCACCTCTACGTTGTTCGCGAGGATGGTGAGCCCGGCCTGCGTCTCTGGGCTCAGACAATGCTGGTTGAGGATCGTGCCGACCAAAGCGTCAGCTTGGATCAGTGGATGGGTACTTTGCAGGAGAAGGTTTGAGCCCTCTGCTCTGGCCATTGTATCGGTCAGCACTGACGATTTGCTCTCAGGTCGTGCAGTAATGAAAAGCTGACCGGTTGGTCTCGGTGGACTTGAAATGTTTTCGCGAGTCCTCCCGCCTGTACCATTACGTTGGGGAAGATTGCGTTTGGTTTTGTATGATGGCGGGCATGTTTTGGGATTATCTAGTACTAGTAGATCGCTGGGTTATAGTTGACAAGGCGATAGACGCTGATCGCATCTATGAAGAATTAACGGTATCATTTTTCCATTATGTTTGCATATTGTATATAGTCATCGGAAATGGCAAGGCCTGAGATGATTTTACTTTGTAGGAAGTTGACTAGGTCAATCAAATCCAACGCCCCAAGCTATCTCTAGTGTGGAAAAAAAGGCCAATTAAATGGGCCGGGGATATCTGTTCGATCTCCCATTCAGGTCTAGTGGTAGGTGCTAGTAGTCATGTACCAATGCACCAGGTAAGAACAGGCTACTTATATACCCCTGCACTTTTTTCCTTTTCTCTCGGTATATACGGTGACCCCCGCCGAATATTTGACATTTGACATCCTGTTCTACCTCCTCCCCGGAGTATCTCTTGAACATGTTACCCTCGACAGATGACATAGCAAAGTTCATTTCCATCGCTCCAGAGGCTAATGAAGGGACAGCCCTTAGGTTTTTAGAGGTAAGATATATCGATCACTTCCCTTTCCAAATATACTAACACATCTATTCAAGGGAGCGGAAAACATCGAGGATGCTATCAGTCGGTATTATGAAGTCCAAAATGAGGCTACGGCCCCAAGTTTGCCCAATCCACCGACGCTTACTATGGATGCGACGGATGCCGGGGCTGATATGCGCCCTCCACCGTATGCACGTTCAGCAATAAGCGGGCTTGCACACCATCACACCAACATATTCACTGGAGCTGCCAGCATTCGCTCTAAGGACGAAGTATGATATAGAATCCTTCCGTCTTAGTAAAGCACTAACGTGTGTATGCTATGACAGCAAGATATGAAGGCTGCCCTACACAACATTCAGCAGGCGTGTGTCATCTTCAATAGTGATATTGAGCCAGAGCACACTACGCAGTTTCTTAATTGTCACTGCGATGTCCACGAGTACAAAGATAGAAAGGTAGCCCGGCTTCCTGTTCAAGAAATGTGGTCTAAAGCAGTCATCTATCCAGGTCAGCTTTGCCAATTTGTCGATATCAGTTGCGTTGTGGCCACGGTCTAACTCTCTCTCTTTCCCGTCCGAATAGGCGAATCAGCGTATCATGATAGCCATTCATCCGCTCTCATCATGAAAAATCCATACAGCCGTGTGCCCTCGCCATTTCCGCTTACAACTCCCGGGACTTACAATTCAGCGAAGCCTACTCCGTCCGGTTACAACCAGTATCTCCAAAAGACCATTCAACTGAATGCATCCCTCAATGCTGCGGCACAGACTGCTATTGATGCAAAAGAGCCAACTATCATATGGGATGCCGGAGACCTAGATACCTCTGTACCAAATGGGGCTAATACCACAACTTCTTCTGATACCCAGCAACCAGCTGTTCAAAGGCTCACTCTTCAAAATAATCCCTCAGCTCCCCTCGCGGAAAGCTCCAAGTCATCGGCATTTGGTAGCTTGAAAAGGATGTTATCGAAGAAGACGTCAGAGGAGAAGGCAGAGAAGGCAGCTGTTCACACCAAGGGGCTACGCGTGTCCATCCTAGAGGAGGAGCAAGGCAGGTGGCCAAATCAAGAATGGCGGCAGCTCGTGGCAGCCTACCAAGAAGCAGTTGGAATAAGTCAGAAGATCGCGGATCTTCGAGCCCGGTGCCCCATTCAGTATCTCCACCTCCTCCGAGCAGGGTACTTTGAGCCTATCCCAGTGGCTTGGGCAAAGTCCACGTCTAATCCTCTCAAATTGAGCATTGATGCATTTGGTGGGTGGAGAGGAGTCACCCCTAGTTGGAGAGGATACAAAGATCTCGCCGAGGAACGCCTATACTGGGTCATGAATAACACCGAGGGCATTGTTAGAAATAAGACGAAACCCGATGTCATTTCTGCGATGAGCATGGCTCGATCTAGATTGGAATCTGCGGTTGGAATACCTGCGGAATACTTCTCACGCGACGATATCTGCAATGCTCAATCCACTGAAGCTTACTCGAAGCAGGTCATGTCTCCTTTCAGGCCTGGTGGGGACCCGGCAGTTCCTTCAGACGAAACCATGGTTCTCCTAGAGGCCTCAAAGTCTATGAATTCCGCGCCATTTCGCCCGAATTATAATGAGCACCTCATTACAGGTTATTCCGCATCTGACCAGCCAAAGAGCAAAGGTGAGCATATTCCCCTCCAACCAGTCTACATCAGATACTAACTTCGGGCAATAGATATCGCCAAGGCCATCATACGTCGCTTTTCCCAAGCAATGATCAATCACGACCACAACACACGAGGATATCAGTTCGTCACATTCGCAGATCAGGGCCGCTACATAGGTCTCATCAACCAGAATTTCGAACAAATATGGTCCAACGTTAGATTCGGGGGAGAAACTCGACTGATGTTAGGTTGGCAAAGAGCCAAGGAGCTCCACTTCCAAAAGCACTCTGGAACAGCAATCTATCACCCTATGTACGGGTGGCAAGCTGGTCCACAAACACCCATACTGAGACTGCTTATCGTACTCGACGGCGAAGCAGCAGACATGAACGAATTCCAGCTCGATCTGCTTGGCCTATCTTGGGTTTATGTCACGATCTTCCTGATGGGTGCAGATAGATGTCCACGCCATCATCGTCTTGCAAACGAGTTACAGAGAATTAGCAATACTAATCCCCATGTCTCTTTCCTCGATGCGCAGGGGAATATGCCGGAACGCTATATCACTCACGAACTGCTGAAGCGACATCTCGGATACAATGTTTCATTCTCTGATTTTGAGACGTTGGAGCAAGCAACGGTGGATCTACCATCATATGTAGAGTGAACTACACGTGTTCAATCGGATGGTCTGGGCTATCCCATATGTCTCAGAGAGGATCAATTATCCAGATCAGGTTTTTTTTTTTTTTTTTTGCAAACTTTGTTACCTCTCAAACGAGATGAATGGCAATAGATAAGCCCTTAGCTGCTATCATCAACGACTTTTAGTCTCTAGCCAAATAAGCTGACTGGAGACCGAGAATATTGAAGATCGGTAATCGCCTGCATATGCATATTGACAGAGACAAGCATTTGAGTACTCCTAGGCCAATAGAAGCGTTCACATCGTTTCTATTTTGAATGTTTTAGCGCTTGTCCTTTATTCCTGTTAAAGCATAGGCCCTGGAGTAAGTGATCACTGGGTATCTTAAAATACTCAGAAGGACCCTGCGCTCATAAAGTCCTCATCAACCCTGATTGGAAAAATCGCACGGGCTAACATCCGGCACATAGAACATATATAGACCTTCAACTCTTAAGATAGACCCAATAAATGGGATACCCCTTGAGACTAATGAAACTAGTGTGGGTTCTTCTTCCAATCAGGATGAAACTAGCACCTCCCCAGAGCGGGAAAGATGATTGTGACAAGTTTCGCCAGGTGCAGTAGCGTCGTCCATAGAGCGCGACATGTGAGAGACTTTGGCGCTGTGGCGGAGATCCCCATCGTTTATGGGTGTACTTTTAAACTACTTGTTAATGTATGGGTAACTCCAATTAAAATCAAGTACCACTCGTGTAGTTGTGGAGATCTATTGATCCAAGGTTCCGCGTCCATCAAACCAGAGAAGTGGACAGGGGAAAAACAACCTTGCAACCTCTCTCTCTCTCTCTTCCTCTTCCTCTTCCTCTACTTACTTTCTCTCTAGGATCGTCGATCATTCTTAGTCTCTCCTCATTTCCTCTCTTAATTAACGCCAATTTCCCTTTCTAACTCTGACTTTGTTTCACCCACATTGAGCCGCTTCAAAGCTGCCCCACCACTTCTCCCCCTACGGCCCGTTTCTCCAGATTCATCTTTTCTCTCTCCTTTCTTCTCTTATCTTTCTTTACCTTGGTAGAGAAAAAGGCGAAAGGTGAGTCCCCAGTCTGGCCCGACCCGTTGTGATCCCGCAGAGCGATGACCCCGCTTCGGAGCAATCTTGGCTTATCCTCTCCATGCCCATCAATTCCACTAACATGCCACCTTCTTAAGCTCCGAACTTGATACCGTGATCCCGACCTAACATAACCCCGTGAATTTCGCACCCCCACCTCGGTCTCTTAGGTCTGGACGCTGTACCTGTCATATCTTCCCCACCCGGAGCTTCGTACGACCAGGTCCCCCTCTACCTTTGCTACACGCCTTTCATTCTCTGAGATCTCGCCTTCGAACTTCAATTCCAGTCGAGAGTTGAAGCACCTTTCCGAAAAACCAATTCGATTGCAGCGCAAACGAAAGTAAGCTTTATTTCCCGGTTTCTCTGCGTTGTCGTTGCGTTTGTTCCCTCGCGCTAGCACCTGCAGTCGAGTTGCTTGAGGCTTTTGAGCATTTGATCTCAGGTGCTATTGTCTTACGTTCCCTGGACTGTGAATCACCAAATTGTGCGCTATTCTCCCTCTACTGTTTTAAATCCCCGGCTCCCGTTTTCCCAATGGACCGTGTTCGACCTTTTTTCCACTGGATCCCGCGGATCATGAAAGCTGACAATCGCCCAAAAGTTGAGCCTACCGAAGAAATCAAAGAAACCGTTATCGTTATGGGTCAGCAAAACCCTCCCGTGGGAGGATCCCGAAAGATCTCCTTCAATGTTTCCGACCAATATGAAATCCAAGATGTTATCGGCGAAGGCGCCTATGGTGTCGTCTGGTAAGTAGTACGAGACTGTTTTTCAAGGCTCCTCTAACCCCAATACAGCTCTGCCATTCATAAGCCCTCGGGCCAGAAGGTTGCCATCAAGAAGATCACGCCGTTCGATCATTCCATGTTCTGTCTGCGTACACTGCGTGAGATGAAGTTGCTGCGATACTTTAACCACGAAAACATTATCTCCATCTTGGATATCCAACGGCCCCGTAACTACGAGGGATTCAATGAAGTTTATCTGATTCAAGTACGTCGAAGCTTGCCATCTGAAAAGATGCGCATGTATGGGATATGTCCGGTTTACTAACAGCATGCAGGAGCTGATGGAAACGGATATGCATCGAGTCATCCGCACACAAGACCTCTCAGACGACCACTGTCAATACTTTATCTACCAGACCCTGCGTGCGCTCAAGGCAATGCACTCAGCCAACGTCCTCCACCGAGACTTGAAGCCTTCGAATCTTCTGCTCAATGCCAACTGTGACCTGAAAGTCTGTGACTTCGGTCTGGCTCGTTCGGCCGCCTCCACCGACGACAACTCCGGATTCATGACAGAATATGTGGCCACGCGTTGGTACCGTGCACCGGAGATCATGTTGACATTCAAGGAATACACCAAAGCTATTGACGTGTGGAGTGTCGGCTGCATATTGGCTGAGATGTTGAGCGGAAAGCCTCTCTTCCCTGGCAAGGATTGTACGATTCCTCTTCTCCCTTCAGCAAGAACAATAACTAACATACACTAGATCATCACCAGCTGACCCTCATCCTGGACGTCCTCGGCACACCCACGATGGAAGATTACTACGGCATCAAATCCCGCCGCGCCCGCGAATACATCCGCTCCCTCCCCTTTAAGAAGAAGATTCCCTTCCGTGCACTCTTCCCCAAGAGCAACGACACAGCTCTGGATCTGCTTGAGAAGCTGCTTGCTTTCAACCCGGCTAAGCGTATTACTGTCGAGGAAGCCTTGAAGCACCCTTACCTCGAGCCGTACCATGATCCCGAAGATGAGCCCACTGCACCACCCATTCCTGATGGATTCTTCGATTTCGACAAGAACAAGGATGCTCTGAGTAAGGAGCAGCTGAAGCGTGAGTTTACCTATAAGCCCATTTGCGTCTGGTTCTGGTCTTGTATTTGTGCATTTACTAACATCTCCCAGTCTTGATCTACGAGGAAATCATGCGGTAAATCTGACTCGACTATTTCAAATGATATTAGGTTGGCTAGGAGGATGATGGATTCTATTCTGCACGCACTTTGACTTGACAGCGTGATTTGATACATGTTAGAGATAGCAGGGCAACTCGAAATGTGATTATGAGTGTTCAAGTAAAAGACCTGACTTGCACCGTAATACAACTGCCCCTCCTAATCCCAATTTTATATACTTATAGTTCCAGTTCTACATCTAGTTATATACATCCCACCCTACCTTAGCACACAAAATACATATTTATACGCTCATCCACATCCACCTAAATCCCACGCATAAACGCCTCAATACCCTCAAGCACACCCTCAGGAGTAGGCTTCGGCGCACAAACATGCGCCTCAAACCCGAATTTCTCACGCAGATGATCCCGCGTCGTAGGCCCGATAGTAGCAACAAAGACCCGTCCCTTCCCAGTCTTAGTTCCAGTCCCAGCAAAAGGCCCCAACCCAAGAACCCTCAACATCGCCTCACACCCCGTAGGCGAAAACACAACAACCCAAACATCCCCCACCGCTCTACCAACGACATCCTCAAAATCCCCCTCAAAAGACTCCATAACCCCCGTCTCATACACAACAAGCTCCTCAACACCAACCCGTTTCTCAACCGGTAATGTTTCATCCATTAGTGTTTTCGGGATGATATCCCTCCGCACTTCACCGACGAGAAACAGAAGTGATGGTTTGTTTGTTGGGTAGAGGGTGTCGTAGTGTTCGAGGATCAGATGGGCGAGGTTTTCGCCGGTTCCGGTTTCTGCGCCGTGGATTGTGGCTGAGGGGAGGTGTTTGTTGCGTAGGGTTGTTAGGGTGCGGGCTGTGGCTGGGCCGACGGTGTAGAGGAGGGGTGGGGTTGTTGGGATATTGAATGTTACTGGGGATTTGGTTAATTGGGGTTGGGATTGGTTTGGGAGGTGGGAGGTAGGATGGGTTGTATATACCATCTTTTTCATCTTCGATCATCTGCGCGAAACCCTCTACCGCGCGCTGACTGGTGAATATTAGACCGCCGTATTTTCTGGGGGTTGAGGCATTGGTGTTGAATGCGCCGGCGCTGAATAGATCGCGGACTTGGGTGAGGTTGTTTTTTAGGAAGCGGTGTTCTAGGACGGGGATGAAGGTGGGGGTGTAGTTTTGTGCGGAGAAGAAGTCTTGATAGCCATCATGGGGGGAGGATTTTGTTTTGAGGAGGAGGATGGGTGTTGGAGGCATTTTGGGGGGTTGGTTTGGGGTGGAAGGTGAAGGTGAAGTTGAAGGTGAGGGTAGGTCAAGATTGGAGGTGGGATTGATATGTTATCGATTGCGGGGAGTTCTGGGGAATTGGGATTTTTTTTTATATTGGACCTTTCGAGTTTTATAGTTACGTCTGTAGTTTATCGGCATTTTTACTGACCTACATTGTATACAATGCACTTCATCCAACACAAGGAAATCGAATTTGAGTCTAGGAAGGCTTATTTACACATTAAAAACACAAACTACTGATCGTCCAGCACGTGCACGTATCGCTTGTCCTCCTGGCGCTCGCGCTCCGTGGAGGGAGGCAGATCGTAGTAAGAGGCACTACGGTAGCCCTGCAGGTAGTGGAAGGTCAAGTTGGCAAGATCAGCGGTCTCGTCCATGCCCAGGTCCTTGAAGGTCTTGGCTGTCGGGTCGATCACCTGGTCGAGGAACTCGCGCTCCACCTCGTCGGCGGACAGGGTGTGCCACCACAGGAACTTGTTGAGGTAGTAGGCGAGTGGCTTGAGGAGGGCCTTGGGGACGTTGATGTGACGGCGCTTCTTGATGATTTCACGGTCGACCAACTCAGCGATCTCGGCGGTGGAGTAGTTCTTGGGGCCGTACAACTCGAAGGTCTGGCCGGCGGTGCTGTCATCGTGCAGCATGCGCTCCAGAGCGGTACCGACATCAATGGCCTAGACAGGGTTAGTTCAATGCAGCATGTCCACCCGGGGAGAATGGCTTACGTGAACGGGCCAGTAACGCTCCTGCATGTGGTTGGAAGTGAAGACGTTGCCCATCTTGGCCAGCTTGTGGAGCAGGTTGTCCTCGAAACCGAACATGGGTGCAGGTCGCACGATTGTGGTCTCGGGGTAAATCTTGCGGACGATCTCCTCACCCCATGCCTATATGTCATCAGCACTCTCATTCTTGTATATTTTCGGTAGCTATGCTGACCTTGGTGGCAAAGTACTCGGAAGGCGAGTCACGGCGAGCGTTGTAGGAAGAAACGTGAATGAAGCGGTCGACATCGTACTTAGCAACAGCATCGGCAATACGCTCGATACCGTCAACGTGAACGTCCTCGTAGGAGAAGTTCCTGGGGTCGTCAGAAACCATGTATTCATTTATACCACACACTATAACTCACTTGGTGGGATATTGGCGACCGACAAGGTTGTAGACAACATCGGAGTGACGAACGCTCTCCTCAATGGACTGGGTGTTGCGCAGGTCGTATTCCTATAGTGGGAGTCAGACACCCTCCACAATTCGAACCAATTATACGGTAGTCGGGCTCCATACCATGAACACAACTCGTCCAAGATCACCAGTGACCTTCAAGTGTCTCTTTGCCATCTCCTCGCGGTAGGGAATGACAACGGTGCAACCCTGGCGAGCTGTGGGCCATTAGTCCATGATCCAATTGCAGTGCAGATCTTCAACCTACCAAGCTTGTTGACAATGTAGCGACCGAGGAAACCAGTGGCACCAAAGACGGTCGCGGTGTGACCTATAATTGTGTGAGTACGGACCGAAGCATATCATCAGAATAGAAAGGCTTAGCTACCTCCAATGGAAGAACTATAGGAAGAGCGCGTCAGCAAGCAAGAACAGTAAATGTATTCACAGCAGAATTGATCACTTACCGGCCACCTTGGACCTTCAAGAGGGGCTTGCCAGTCCGGGTGATGCGGACATCCTGAAGGTTGCGCTGGAATTGAAGCTGCACCCGCGGGACTGGTACGAAAGGCCGGGCCCCCAGGGCAGTGTTGATGGTGCGAGACTTCTGCATGGTCTCTGGCTGAGTATATCTCTCGAGACCAGCTAATTGGAGCGGAGTGTTGCCAAGAAGGGCGTGGTGATGTGCGAGTGTCTTTCGCAGTCAAGTCGGAAGAACCGCACGGGACTATTACGCTAGTCCTAATTCGGGAGTACGGACCATCACTTTAACAAATCACTTTCTCGTCTTTCTTCTTTGTTGCTTGGACTTGGTTGATATGTTGGCTTTCTGGTTGTTCATTTGATTTGAAGTTAGTCCATTAACCAAAATCTACGGGATGGTATACCTACAACCTCTGTAGGATAAAATCTCCATTTTGATCTGACAACACCTAGATTGTGATTGGATGTTCCCTAGGCTATACGCTATTAAATTATGACCAGTGAATTATTTCTTGCTATACGATTCCTAGTCCATCTATACAGTACTTCTGGAAATCAGTTCACCTACATTCTTTAATTGTCAACTAATGTCAAGACACAGAGGCCCTCTATCTTCAGCATCGTCAATTGATGCACCGGTAAGTAGCCGCGGATCAAACTTGTTCCTCATAGAGTCCGTCCAAGCATATAGTTTTCACATATAAAACTTAAATGGCTTTTTAGAACCTAACATACACTTATGCAATGGGTTGGGACAGTATTTGCTTCAACACGGCAGCGTTCATTGCAGGGGTCTTTGTCCTTGACTATGGTGCAGACAAATTCATCGATCACACTGTGATCGCAGGACAGCGACTAGGCATCTCACCAACTCTTATTGCCCTTTTGACTGCTGGAGCTGAGTATGAGGAGGTACATCGCTTCGAGTTCTACACTCTCTCTGGTCGGTGCTGACAATGTCTCTCTAGCTTGCTGTCGTTGTCGCTGCAATCCTACAAGGTCGCACCCCTTTAGCTTTGGGCAACGTCATGGGGTCTACAATTTCCAATATCCTGGGTGCCTTTTCACTGGGGCTTTTATGCCATCCAGGCGGTGGTTCCTTTGATACCAGTGCGAAGATATATTCTGCAATTCTGTTCTTTGTCACTACTCTATTCGTAGTCTTGACATACTTTCAACAGCTGAATAGAGTCACCGGTGGGCTTCTCATCGCCCTCTTCGCCCTCTATATTATCTCTATTGGCTATGCCATGTATAGAGGTATCAGTGAACCGCCTCAGCTGTCGGACAGTGAAAGCGACGATGAATCAATCAATGTTTGTGAACAAACACCAGGACATAGTGCCAGGCCGTCAGTTTCAGAAGCCTCTCCTCTGTTGGGAGGTACGAATACGTCCCGGGAAATAACAAATCTTCCGCGACCACTTTATCATCATGTCCTCCAGCTTATCATTGGACTGCTCGCACTCTCCTTGTCTGGATATATCCTTGCCCACAGCGCAGGTACTATCGCCGATTCCCTCCATCTGTCAGGAACGGTTTTTGGCTTAACCGTGATCTCGTTTGCCACGACCCTGCCGGAGAAGTTGATTTCTATGCTTAGTGGCTTTCGTGGACAGGGAGGCATAATGGTTGCAACCACAGCAGGGAGTAATATCTTCCTGTTAACGCTCTGTGTCGGTGTTGTTGCGGTGGCAGGAAGCCCCCTCGATCAATCAGATACCTTTGTCCTGTTTGATCTGATGACAGTTTGGGTATCATCGGTGTGCCTCCTAGTTGTCGTCTTTCTTGGACCTCACCGAATTGCTGGCCTGGTACTTCTCGCTGCCTATGTGACTTTTCTAGTCATGGAGTTCACCGTGTACAGACGCTAAAGCAGGGCAGTCCTCTTCAACGCATATCGCAAGCCCAGTTCAACATCATGTAATTATATAAGTAAAGTACAGATAACGAGACGGGAAATAGCTATTCTGAGACCCTTCTTAATATAATATGGTAGGTGTTAACACCAACTTCCAGAAGTACTGTACATGGTCGTTAGCATTCATCGGTTCACTTATAGCATGGGCATATTCCAGAATGTGTATCTCCACCCGCTTACCTGTTGCATACACAATGTAGAGGGCTATGCTAGAAGTAATATCGCATTCTACCCATAGACCATAGCAGAAATCAAGCTGTTTGTCTGTAGCTTAACTAAGATTTCTTGTCTGGCAGGCCAAACTAGGGGCATATCAAGTTGTGACCATGGAATCCATATAGCTACCTACATCTTTACGACACGAACAACCTGACTAGTCAGTCTAATGGTGCCATGGGAAATGAGCACACCATTTCCACAGGGTTCTAATGGTATCCCCCTCAGTATAGGTCACAGTGAGTACATAGTAGGTGTTGAGAGCTACAACCTTGGACTATATATCATCCATCTACGCACACCAATATTCGCCAAAAATTAATTAATCCATAGTTGATGTACGATAGGATAGCATTATGATATTAATTAAAGCAAAAGAACAAAAAATAAATGACTGCTGTGTCATTGTGTTTCCAAAGATTTATGAGAGGAGTTTTGTGGGCAAATCACGGCCATCTCTGGTAAAAGGCAAGAAATGGGTTCTGCACTAACTTGTCCCACTCCTCGGGTGTGTTTCTCTTTACTTCTTTATATTACCCCCTACTGCTAATTTTGACTAGTCGGCTGGACACGAAAAGGTCGGAGTTCGAAACTCGTGGACGACATTGCTTCTTTTTTCCGGAAATTGGGCGGTGAAAGGGACTTCAGCTGAAACCATCCCCGCCTATGTCACCAGAGGATTATCCAGGGAGTATGTACGTCAACTTCATTTATCTTATTTGTCTATGTAATAATCAAGTTTCAGTTTCAAATAAAAAATTTGCTGTAGAAATTCGAAGAGACATTATATAGAGGCTAAGCGTCGGTGTTTTTGTAAGCGTTCGGCGAATAGGTGTTCGGCGGACAAGGGATGTGACATGATTATTTGCATTTGGACTTGAGCTTCATTTCTAGATTTCTCCAGACAATTTAATACCTTACAAAATGTCGTCTGCTGCCTGTATCTTCTGCAAGATCATCAAGGGTATGTTCATTGTCTACATGGCTCTACTTAGCTACACGGCTATTGCTCTGTTCAATTCGTCACGTCATAGCAAAACATGGGTTGACTGACCTGTTTCTTTGGGGGTTCTATAGGAGATATCCCTTCGTTGAAGCTCTTCGAGAGCGACAAGGTCTTTGCTTTCCTCGATATCCAGCCGCTGAGCCGTGGCCATGCGGTGCGTATTATTTCCTACGATTCCTCTTCCCCCGCATCCGGCGTGCCCCTCGTAGCGGTGCACCAGCGAAGCTGCCCGAACTGCGGTGATAGCTTCAGCCGGCAATTGAAGACCGATTATTCTATGAAAACCAAACTGACAACATGCACAGCTTGTCATTCCCAAGTTCCACGGCGCAAAGCTGACTGATATCCCCGATGAGGACCTGGTCGAGATCCTGGTAAGTCCACGAGAGAATAACCTCGGGGGACGAAGAGAGTGAAGAGGAGGGCCAATGTTTTTGATCTCTGATTGAATTCGATTACATTCCTCAAGGACCTTGGGGGACAACCTTGGGGGCAATTCCACAAGGTCCCTGAGAGGCCCGGAACTGGATTGGCGAAGAGGGACATAGCTAACGAAGCTCTACGCAGCCCGTCGCGAAGAAGATCGCCAAGGCCAGCGGCGCCGAGGATTTCAATATCTTGCAGAACAATGGACGCATTGCGCACCAGGTTGTTGACCATGTGAGTTTCAATAGATGATCTTGATAATCGTGACGGTGCTAACCAGTCGTCTCTATAGGTCCACTTCCACATGGTATGCTCTATTATCTTTTGCATATTTGGTTCTACACTGGGAACGGTCTTGAGAACATACACTAACAAGACAATAGATCCCCAAGCCCAACGAGACAGAGGGCTTGGGCATTGGCTGGCCTACCCAGGCGACCGATATGGACAAGCTCAAGGCTCTTCACGAGGAGATCAAGTCGAAGATTTAAACGGCTTTGGCTTAAGTGATAACCAACTCAAGAACAATGGAAACCGACTTATCTCTATACTTTTGCGTTGTGATTTGGGACATCGCTGTAAACCGTACACGTTCTTCTGTCGAAGGAAGGACTGTAGTGGTAGTTTAGATCAAGTTGTGAAAACCTCCGAAGGAGGTAATCAGTTGGATCTACGGACTATGCTCCGTTAAATGTAGACCAAAATGTTCGTATATCCTCTAGTTAACAAGAACCAAGTCTGCGTATGCTACAAACATGCAAAATCAAGACTCTAAATATCTAGCAGATAAGTATGGAAATCAACTACATCAAACACACCCCAACTCATGTACTATGCACAGCTTATGCCGATGTGCTCTCCACTTTCTTCTCCGAGTCAGGATAGAAGTTGATCTTTCCACCGCCCTGGACGACATTGAGTCTGTCGTAGAGCGAGCGAGCCCGGACATACGGGTCAAGAACCCAGTATTGCGTACGCAGCTGACCGATCAAAGCATTTCGCTTCTCCTTGGCAGCGGAGGCAGCGTCAGTTTCCTTCTTGAAGCTGGCGCGGATCCACTCAATGGTAGTATCCTGGATCTCCTTGGCGAGCTTTTGGCGCTCGGCCATCAGGGTGTCCCGAGTTTCCTTGTCGGCCATGCTGGGATTCTCGTTCTCCGGCACCTCAACGTATTTGTATTCCCAGTCTTCGTCGCCTTCGAGCTCCTTCATGATTTGGCTTGGGTGGATAAAGTTTTCGAGATCCTTACGGTTCTTCGTGAAATGGATCTTCGCTGCGACGACTGGGTCGAGCCAGCCCTTGATCACGGTCCAGATGCCTGGGTTATGGTTAGAAAGGGGTGTTTCGTATGTGGTGCTGGGATACGCACTTGAGAATAGCCAAGGGGCCTTGTGGATGAGCACTGCTCCGAGAGACTCGGGGTAGTTGGCTTCGAAGCACTTGATCATGAATTTCACGGGGGCATAGTCCTGGAAAACATCAGTATATAGCGTGGATGATGTTCATACAAAAAGCTTACCATGTTGGCCATACCGAAGTCGGTCATATCAAAGATAATAGTCTGCAAGAGTCAGCTTCCGAGACACAATCCTCACATAATAGAATACTTACCGCAGTCTCAATCGGCGGCGCAAGCAACAAACGCGCAGTCTCAATAGTATAAACAGTAAACCGCTCCAAGCCTTCATTGTCCTGATCACCAGCCTTGTGCAAGCGCACACGGACAACACAGATCGGCCGACCAGAGCGATCAACACCGTGCAAGAAACTCTTACCCAGACGCATCTGCGTGAGGAAGTCCTCACCCTTCTTCTTCTCCTTGGGATCAGAGCCTTGCGCCTGCTTCACAGCCGACGCCTCACCGTTGAACATGATATCGTCGTCGACATGCATTTCCAGCAGTCGCCAGCGCATCGTGGAAATCAACATAACAAGTGCCTTCTTGGTATCCCACTTGCGCGCCCGCAGGAATCGCAGCAGCAGCGAATCGGGGTTATCGCCCTTCACCATGCTCCAGAACGCGGTGCGAATCTCCTCGGGCTTCATGTCCTCCAGCGCCTGCTTGAACTCCTTGGACTGGCCGTACTTGTCGTCGCCATCGGCGATACTGATCGAAGTGACGCCGCTGTCGGAACCACTTTTGGTGTTGTCGTCGGCGCCGCCCCAAATTCCCCACCGGCTCTTTGACTTCTTCTTATCCTGGGCTGGGGCGGGTGTTGCGGCATCGCTGGTGGCGGTGGGTTGGGAGGCTTCGAGTTCTTCAAGTGTCAGGCCGAAGACTTTGAGTGCCAGGACCCAGAATTCTTGTAGCTTGACTTCTTGTTCTGGGGTAAGGTTCCCGACTGTTCCGGGGGCGGGTTCGGCGGGCATCGTCGCGAGGGTATCGATTACTCCGAGAGAGGGTTTTTCAGGAAGCCGGGCTTGCGAAGTGGTTGTATTTTTGGGATTGAAGTATTTGTCTTGGAGCCAAGCGCCTCCTCCAACGATAGCGAGAGTAAATGTAAGGGTCCAAAAAGATGAAGCCTTCTTTGGTTCTGGGTGTGTGCAGAAGGGTCGCGCAAATGAATACCGAGCGACAGGGAACTTGGCCGAAGGATAGAGACGACGTAGAATTGTTCCACGCATAAGCAATATAATTGAGGTGATAGTGAGCACTAGGTCTGAGTCCTGGGAGAGGGAAGAAAATATGTGAGAGCGGAATCAAGGACATGACGATGCGGGGGGAGATCGTCGCCTAATAGATGTGCTAGTTTTAGAATTAACTCGAGGTATTTCTATTTACTTCAAGTCTATATACTATATATATTCTACAATCCAATCTTCATCCCAAAGTCGAAGTATAAAAGTGTCGCGTATGAGATCTTTCCGGGGAAATCAACAAATCCCAAACACAACCCACTTCACATCACTCCGACAACAATCCACTGTTTAGCAATAACAACGCCTATTATTGTTGACCCATTGTCTCTCAACATACCAATCGCATTCTCAACCATATCACAGACATGGATGTACCTCGATCATCTTCGCGCCCGAGACCTTCATCCCGGCCCACAACCCCCCTGCGCCCCAGCTCGCGCTCTTCAATACGGGAAGCCCACGGATATGGAAACAGCATTGGAAATGCAGGATACACACAACCCGCCTTCAATGCCTTGGAACCGCAATTCGCCGAGCTGGCCGATTCGATGGCGGATCTCGAGGCCAACTTCATGCACTTGCAGCTGATGCACGAAAGTCTGACGCGCTTCAGTGAGAGTTTTGCCAGTTTCCTCTACGGGTTGAATATGAATGCATTCTGTGTGGATTTCCCAGAGGTATGATCGCAGATGTGTCGCCGACAGTGGTGCCAGTGGTGATAGCGCGCGACAGGGTTGCTGATTCGTTCGATACAGGCTCCAATTTCAGACTCGTTCAAGAAGGCTAAGCAGGATGAAGAAGACAAAGGTATTGCGAGGGCTCTCTGTGGGGACTACCTGCGGTGAATCGGATGTACTAACAGCCACCCAGAGGCGGAATCAGACTCAGAACCAACACGACAGGTTGATGATGGCGAGATGACCTTTATGTGAGTCTAGAGAGCAATGAGACAAATCCCATCTGGAGGACAAGGACACTTGAGCTAATGGGTACTTACGCTACAGGACTACGGACACGACTTTTGTTGAGAATCCGAGCACGACCCCCTCCGCTAGACCGACGTCCAGGTATGCTGCGGGCTCACGAGCATCGTCGCGTGGCACTGCTCGTGGTGCACCAAGCAGCCGGTATACTACACGAGGTACTGCTCGTGGCACTCGTCCCAGCGCACTGCCTCGGGGCAGAGGGATTGGAACTCGATAAAGAGTTGGATGCCTGAGCACTTACAATGGCCTGATTATGGACAATCAGTTCATGCTACATGTTTGACTATTGGCATCCAAGAGCTGGACCTTTATGTATAGCTTTCATCCGCAGGCTGGCACATGTGCCTTTATGATTCACTAGAAATGACCATTGAATGAAACTACATCGGATGACATGTCACCCAAAGGTTGTACAACATAAAAACCAACATTATATAGTTAAATACTGAAGAAATACTTCTCATAAAAAAAAGTAAATGCTTTTGGCTTCTGCCAAACTGTCCGATCTCTTATCCGGCGGTAAATCGGAGTCAGGCGAAAAACTACCGCCCGATGGCGAACCTCCGACTACTTTTGAAATCCTCAACTTGACCCCCATTCGTCGTTAGTTAATATACTTTTATATTTATATTTGCCTGAATAGAGTCCAAGTATCTGGACTTGGTTGTGACATCGAATCAGGTCATTCGCAACCCTTGGTGGACTGTGTAGCTTTCATCCGTTCGTCTGCTATTGTCCCTATTCACTTGCTTTCGTGAGTTCTATTGTTCCATTTTACTCTCATTGAACATATCATTGATACTTATTGTTCTTACAGTGCAATGCTGGCCCTATTCATGGGGAGTCCTTGAGGCTATACCTAGTCTCTTTATAACCAGCCTTTCTCTCGCCCTTGACTCTCTTTCAACCTCCTCTTCTTGTCTCCACGTGGATAGAAGTCTGGCACTTCTAATAACGTGTTTTTCGCATATCTTTGATTTTTGCTTCTGATCCTAACCTTCTCCCTTTCATCCTATCTCTTTTACTCTGTCTTATCCAACCACACTCATGTCGCTCACTATGGCAACCCTCGATTCTGTCCAGCTTCTTTCTGAAGCTGCATTTGGCTGTGGTAAGAGTTGACAATTGCCGTGACTCATTTATGCTCAACTGACCTCCCGTTAGTACATCTTGCGGCTATCCTCTCCAAAGACGAGAAGACTGCTGGCCAGTTCAGAGAACAATTCTGCAAGCAATACAAATTGCTAGCTCCGTTCTCAAAGACAGACACCGTTGCCGTTCCAACCACCGGCCTCCGGACTGTCGAGTCTCTGAAGCCCAAGTATCACTGCTTGAGTTGCACAGAAGTATGTCTGGGGTCTAAGCGAGCAGAGCATACTGCGGCCACAGGACATGTATTTTGTAAGCCAATGGTTTCTGACTGATTAGGCTGATTCATACTTACACAATGACAGACCTTGAGTCTCGAAACCGATTTGTCTTTTGTGAGAAGTGTGTCGATTTTATCTATGACCACACCCTGGACAGACTTCGTGGCCCCTCTGGCAAGTTTGAAGCCCTCGGTGAGTCTCGTGAAATTCCAAACTACCTTACTCATGGACATCTACTAACGTCTGGTAGATGGACGATCCATTTGGGCCGAAGACTCGGCCTCCGAGGTCTATGTCAAGAACAATGCCCACAAGAACCCATGCGCCATTCGGGGCGCTCGTGGTGTTTGGAACATGGGTCAAACGTGTTACCAAGCTTCTATCTTGCAGGCCATGCTGCACGACCCTAGCCTCACTGCCTATTTCCTGGGAGGTGGCCATGACGTCCACACATGTGCGATCAAGGACTGTCTCGCCTGTGCGACAGCTGAAGTCTTCATGGAGTTCAACAGCGCCGAGAGAAACGAGTCAGTCTCTGCAGCCCTGTTGCTTCACCATGGTTGGCAGAAATCCAAGGTACGTCGAGATCCGAGTTGAACAACAGAGCTGGCTAACTAGTTTACAGGAGATGGCTGGATACCGCCAGCAAGACGCCCATGAATACTTCCAATTCCTTGTTAACGAATTGCACTCATCCACCCCTGGACACGTGGAGAGCTACGAAAAGCCATGCGAGTGCTTCTTCCACCAGATGTTCTACGGCGAACTGCGCAGCAGCGTCATGTGCCATAAATGCGGCCAAACCACCAACACCCACGATCCCATGGCCGATCTGAGTCTTGACGTTCAGCTTCAGCACAAGAAGCGCAAGCTCGGTCGCTCTACTTCTTCCACTACTGGAACCCTCCTCGGCTGCCTGGACAGCTTCACTGCCGCTGAAGATCTTCACGCCGATGCTGCTTACCACTGCGAGAAGTGTGGTAACACTCCCCAGCGGGCTTCCAAACGCCTGCAGATCCGCAAACTCCCTGTTATGCTTTGCATGCAGCTCAAGGTTTGTTTGAGTTTCAGATTACTTTTAAATGGGATTCCATGCTGACATTCGTATAGCGTTATGAACATAACTCTAACTCCTCCGAGAAAATGAACGGTCACATCGACTTCCCTCTGTCTGTGAACATGCTGCCGTACACGGTCAGAAAAGACAACCTTCCCGTTGACATGTCGGATTACATGTACGACCTGTCCACGGTCATCGTTCACCAAGGAACAATGGACTCTGGGCATTACTATGCCTACACCCGTATTGACAACGACAAGGTTTGTTTTACTATATAACACTCCTCCTTTCTGTGTCTGTGCTAACGAATTGCCTTTATAGTGGGCATTGATGGATGACAACAAGGTCACCGTCGCCGGTGTTGCGGATGTCCTGCGCCAGGATGCTTATCTTCTCTTTTACAGTGCCCGTTGTATCCGGGCCGAGAAGCCAAAGAAGTGAATCCCTTGTACACAGACAGACTTTCAATTGAATTAATAAGATTCATATTTCGGCGGTCACTTATTTCTTTTGCGTGTACTAGTATTACACTGTACTATTGATACTTGAGCTAAAAGGTCCACCTATAGGAAAAGTCTTTCTTAACTACGCTAGTAGAGGACTTCAAAGGATCCACGGGATACCAGCTAATTTTAATGAATGGGAACATACTTCAATTTTCATCTTCCTATCCTTCCCCAGCTACTAGATCAGTTTATTTAATCTTGCAAGCGAAGCTGAGAACAAACCAGGTTGAATATCCCGAAGACCATTTCGCCAGTGGCTCGTTCTCGGCCGATCACTTCGTTCCCCCGCCCCAATAGAATTCCTCCCCGGGACACTGATATATCAAGGTGACTGAATTGCATTGGGATTTTGCGAGCATAGCCGAGAGTCTGAAGTGAAGTATAGTGTATATTAAGAGGCCGTTGATAAGATATGAGCGCGTCGGGATACCGCGAGGACCTTGGTGGACACCAGTACGGTAGATGTGTAGGATGAGTTGAGAGGCCATGACCGTTTGACCAGATAGAAATCCATGATCATCGCCGAGAAGTCTTTGGTTGTGGATTGAACTGACGGGAAAAATAAAACAAAGTATAGAAAAATGACCATCAGGTGCTAGATGAAGGCTGTGAGCGGCAGCAAGATCACAAGTGGCAGGATTTCCATTCCCAGTCTGCAAATGTCCCTGACCCATTCAGCTTGACCACATCGAGAAGAATACAAGTCGTAGGTTCTTCCCATGACAGCTCATACATGAGCCATTGAGACCACGATGCCATCCATCTTTTTTGTTCTTAGAAACCATCACGCGGCACGAACGGAAGACACCGACACCGGATATCACACGGATCGGCTCGTCAATGTGCTAGGTGAGAATTGCCACTTGCTGCTCCTCATTCTAAATACCAGGTGTCTGTAGAAAACAAAATATAGAAAATGACAGCAAAGTGCTAGAGCAAGGTCGAGAGTGGCAGCAAGAGCACAGATGCTGAATTTCCGTTTGGATTTCACAATCTGCAAACTTGACGCACCCAGTCAACCTGGCCACACTGAGAAGAATATAACAATTCAGGTTTTCCCCATGACAACTTGCGCAAGGCCCTTTCGAGAGCACGATATCATCCAACGTTTTTCTTCTCGGACGTCATGACTACCACGCGGCAAGAGTTGAAGACACCAGATATTCCCTCGGCTGATGGTCAGGTGGTCAATGTACTGGGCAAGCATTGCTACTTGCTGCTCCTGGTTCCAAACACCACATTGTTGTGAAATTCCTTCGACCATTGGACACTTGCCAATAACCAAGGCATCTATCTCAGCACAATTTGTACATCCATCTTTTTTTTTTCTTTGTGTTAATCACCACGCTTCTTCTGCACTCTTCTATGCTTGCAAACGGTAATATGAGACACTCTGATGAGCTTTCCAGGGATTATCCTGATTATCCCAAGATGTATCATCAAACTGACATGTTACAAATTTTCTTTCTTGGCTTTGCCCCAATCCTCATATCTAGTCTAGGGCAATTGTTCCTTGACTCTGGGGAAGAAGATGTCCACGGGCTTTGGGATCGGATGGAGAAAGCGACAGAGGGCTCTATTCCGAGAGTAGGCCAGTTGTGTTGGCTGCACAGGACCGTTGCCAATATCTCATCAGATTTGCGTGGTGCATGCATTCAAAAGAGAATTAATCATAGCTGTAGTACGAAGTAGTGCCTTTATGCACATAACCTTATGAAGTTCCGCCAATACAGCTATTTTATTGGATTTACAAGCGCGCCCCACGTTTTCTTTCTAATTTTACAGCTTCCAGGCGTTTTAAATTTAAGTCGAAATATCTCTCAATAGCACCCTTAAAAAAGAAAGGTCAGTCAATACATCAACCTTGGAAATATTTGAAGTATAAGATCTGGAAGCCTGAGGCATCGAGATGTGGTGATCGCCCATTAGTCACATGATCCACCAAAAACAGCTAGCGCAACTCAAGCGAGTTGGCCCGTGCCCTATTCCCCATTGGGGCAGCACACAACGCAAATTCCAACCCTAACTCTTGTCTCCGTTCTTAACGCCCAACGCCAGCGACCCTCGTCCCGTCAACAACCCCGTCAACTCCCAGGTCCCGCCTTTAAAACCTCAAGATGACTCACGAGAGCGTTTGGTACAGCCGGCCCCGCAAGTAAGTCGAAACTGCACCGTACACCACGCACTATCTCGAAAAAGAACGACAAGCTAACCAGAATTTCTCTTCGCCCAATAGGTACGGCAAGGGCTCCCGCGAATGGTGTGTTTTCCCTACTACAATTCCCCGATGAACGATCCAGTCGACACCGAGAATGAAACTTGGAGGAAGCCTGGATGGAATCGAAAATCGATACAAAAGGAACAGGCTTGCTAATATTTGTGCGCCTTCAGCCGTGTCTGCTCCCACCGCGCCGGTCTGATCCGCAAGTACGGCGTAAGGAGAAACCGATCCCTCGAGCATATTGCATACTGCAATATGTGGCGTGATTTGGACTTATGTGGCTAATACGGATTGTTTTAGATGAACATCTGCCGTCAGTGCTTCCGTGAGAAGTCCACTGACATCGGTTTCACCAAGGTTCGTTTCAATCCCTCACTCGACAATCCTTTCCGATCCCATTCGAATACCATGCAACCACACTATCCGACATGAAAATCCAATCGACAATCGACAAATTGCCACTACCACTACCACCACCACTACCACTACCACACATGCACATTGCAAAAGCACAACACTAACCACAAGTTTCTCAACTCACAGTACCGCTAAGCGATCAAAAAAACTGACTCCCTCCTCTCGAACCGTTCGCATCCACGAAATCCATCTACGCACCCGGCTCGACTACGGTAGCGTCCAGTGGAGCAATGTTTCAGACGAGCTCAAAAATGGCGTCTTTGATGTTTTTGTGAATGGAGGAATAGACATCGGGCCTGCGTGTCCGTTGTCCCGGGGTTGCGAATCAAATCAGATCTTGGCTCCGAGGGGAGGATTTGGGGTTGTTGCGTGGAGTGTCTTGAAAAACGAGGATGTTCTGTTATTTCCCTCATCCTGGTTTTTTCTTAACAATTTCAATGACGGAATTTTTTCTCTGGGAATTGTTTCTCCTCCGGATTGCCGTACAACTTGCCCGTGGTCTGGATGAGGGCGGGCGTGCTACTTGCATGGCTCTGTCTGTCTCTGGATTTGGTGTAGCTTTTGATGGTTGGCTGGGTGAGCCTCTGAGGTGCACCGATGATATATGAGTCTACGAATTCTTCGTAGCGGCTCTAGGTGTCACCAGATCGGATATGTCTGGACTCTTCTACTTCTTAAATATGTAGGTTTCGGTGCCTCGGTTGCATGGACAATCTAGATGACGGCCCATGCTTTGTAGGGCTCTATATGGCACCACTAGCAAGGGGGATAATCATCTTTAATGAAACTGACATGTCCCCGCAGACTCCATTTTGATAGGGCGAACATATGTGTCCCTGGTTATATTACGGAGTACCTTTTATACATGTAGACATATATGTACCGTCGGTATATTATAGTACGTAGAGTGATGGGCTCTGCATGGCTACTCCGTGCTATGATTCCCATTTCTGGTACCTTTATAGCTAATTAGTATCCTTCTAGCTAACACCAAGAAGAAATTCAGATGTTCCCTACCTTAACCTCATTGAAATCACGTGGTATCGCGTTTTCACCATCGCGTCCCCGCCCGCTCTCTCCCACCCACCAAAGTCAAGTTGGTGGGTGGCAGAGAGAGGACTATGCCATGCTAGATCAAATCAGATCGAGGGTGATCATCGAAAACCCTATCGGGGATGGCCTGAATGGATTCCGAGCCACGTTCACCTTAATCTGCGAAGGCGTAGAATCTACGCTCACCAGATAAGGCCGTCGATCAGCTTAAGCAGGAGAGTGAGGCACTCCATCACACGTCTTTATTTTCGCTAATTCGAGTACAGATCTATAAGATCTCGCGTCTAGCCTCCTGATAGCTCTTCAGATCCTTCCCGCCGCTCGTCTTCTGCCGTCCAACTTGGGAGGAATCGTTCGACGCGATCTGCGTCGGCTCAATTCCGCCATATTATCTAATGATTTCGATCTTGATCAAATCAAACCACTTCTCATAGCATCTCTTGTAGACTCATCAACAGATGAACAGATATGGAATCTTGTTGACGTTGCTGCAGCAGGATCTGTAGCGAAATCTACGCCGCCCCCTCGAGCGATTGCCTCCTCCCTCCAACAAACCCCCTGGCTCCAAAAGACGAGCAGCTTCGCGAACTCCTCTAAATACCGCCAAGATGTTGACAGGATCCTAAAATCAGAGCTTGGGCCTCTGTATGTAGGGCTCCCACATTTCCGCTCAACCTTTTTTTTGGAGATGTCAGTGGTCTTCAAACAGCATCCGATGCCGTATTCAAAAGATGTACGGAAGGTACTAATGCTCTTTTTGCCGGTGGGTGGAAAGGTTGGCCAAAAGATGCAAATCAGGATGATGTCTTGAGTTGGTTTGCAGATCTGAGCGAGAAGCTGGCAACTTTTTCAGCAGACTACAATTCTGTGACGCACCTGCGAAGGCCACTGGCGCAGCCCAACAAGCCCATCCAGGGTTCCACAGCAGAGCGCAAGCTAGATATCGGCTTTGTGAAGGACACTAGCGCTGGAAAGGACACCCGGTGTCAGTGGTCACAGATCCTCGTGCCTGGAGAGCTAAAAAGTAATCCGGCGGCTGACACCGCTTCTAAGGCATGGCTTGACTTGGGGAGGTACGCTAGAGAAGTCCTTGCGGCCCAGCATACCCGTCGATTTGTCTTAGGTTTTACTATATGTGGATCCTTTATGAGGATATGGGCCTTTGACCGTCTCGGAGGAGTCGCATCCGAACGATTTGACATTAACGAGGATGGGCCCCAGTTTGTATCCACTATTCTCGGTTTCCTATGGATGAGCGAGGAGGAATGTGGATTTGACCCTACAATTATCACGAAAGACGGCCAGCGATTTATCGAGATAGAGCAAAACAGTCAGACCGAGCGTCTCGTTCTCGATACATTGATAATACGGGCACCTTGTATCGCAGGCCGAGCAACAACATGCTGGAAAGCGCATCGCGAAGCGGACCCTAGTGTTCCGCTTGTTGTTAAAGACTCTTGGCAATACACAGAGCGCGACGAAGAAGGCGAGCTTCTTCAAGAAGCCACCGAACGAGGGGTTGTCAATGTCGCACGGTATTATCATCATGCGACGGTTTGCCTCCGAGTCCGGGACAACGTCCGTGGCGGCTTGGATATCAGAACCGCGAGCAATTATCGGTCAGAGCGATTGGCAGAGCGATTGGCAGAACGATTGGCGCTCTCGACTGGCATAAGTGTGGCTGGTACTCCACGAAAGGGCCGGAGCAGCGGCAGGTCCGGTGCGAAGCGCTCTTCTAGTCAAACCGGCGCCTCTCTGCCACCTAATAAGCGACCCTGTTCGGCATCTCCTAGCAAATCTAATAACCCACTGCCAAATCGAGTTCATCGGCGTGTCGTCCTGCGCGACTATGGTAAACCAATCTACAAAGCAAGCACTCGCCCGGCCCTACTTGCCGCGCTAGAGGGTTGCATTGCGGGACATCAGTCTTTGCAACAGGCAGGAATTCTTCACCGAGATATCCCAGTCAATAATATCATGATCAACGAGAACAAAAATAACCCTTCATGGCCGTCATTCTTAATTGATCTTGATTTGGCTATTAGAGAGCAGCGAGACGGTGTCTCGGGAGCAACTGGAAAGACCCGCACAAGGGCCTTCATGGCAATTGGCTCGCTTCTAGGCGAGCAACATTCTTTTATGCATGATCTTGAATCATTTTTCTAGGTGATCTTTTGGATTTGCATTCACTATGACGGGCCAGATAAGGGAAGAGTTGTTGCAAGGTTCGACAAGTGGAATTTTGTTGATACAGAGGAGTTAGCTGGTATGAAGAAAGGCGAGATATCCGAGGAAGCGGATTTTGTGAGGTCCGCGAATGAGTACTTTACTGGGTACTACCGGCCACTGATTCCATGCGTTAATACTCTTCGGAAGGCGGTCTTTCCTAACGGAAGGAGGTGGGCGAAGGAAGATACAGGATTGTATGATCAGATAAAAGAGATTCTACGGGGCGCCCGAGAGGACTGATCTCTATGTAGTCATCCAAGCTATAACACTAAGATATTCAAAAAAAAAAACTCCGGGAAAGACTCTCAATATACTGTCTCTTCAATCCCCCAATATGGGATAGTGCGGAGAATTAGTCAATAAAATGCTTAACCCCCTGGTTCGTACCCTGGGCAACATTGGAACCTCCAGGGCTCTAAAAATGCCCGATGTCCGACGTGCATCGGTCCAAAAAGACTACAGTACTCCATGAGCGAGACAGACACAGAACTTCGGGTATTAAAAATATTTCTCCTAACCATCCATGACATAGGTAGTTTGAAAAGACGCAGCAACACAGATCACCCAAGATATTCACTGCCCAGGCCTTCTGAGTATCGTGAATACGCTAAACCCCGCCAGTGTGCTAAGACCTCGGGAGCGCTACCTCAGTAGCGGCCTAGCGTCTCGTACTTTTAGCCTGAGAGCGCTTTTAGCTAATCCCTACTACCTCTGTCGTATTCGGCTGTATTCGTATCTATGCCCGAATCCTGCACCTGTGCTGATCACACGGGATCTCGAGGTATTCACACTAAGCTCATTGGCCCATTCTGGCCCCTGAGAAACGGCTAGATCAGAGCCGGAGTACGGATAGCAGTTGTGCCGGACTTCCGATTATTCAGGCTTCACTTGGCAATATTTCGGAGCTCTGGACGTGCCGAGTGTTAGAAACTTTGAAAGTTCTATTCTGTTTTCTTTGGCATTACGAGAGCTGAGGGTCCTAGATTAATATCAGTGGTTAGTTGGTTAGTCACTTAGTGTAAGAGTGGATTAGAAATCGAGGTATGCAGCCCTGGCCAGGTCACACCGTCAGATTATAGCCGGCCACAGCCGCCATGGAAGTATATGGACAGCCACGGCGTTAGGGAGTATATGTTAGTAAAACCACCGATTTTGATAATCGAAATAGATCAGCTTAGTTACGGTTATGGCATGAGCATGAGTCATATGATTCACGTCTAAACACGAGGTCGGCGACATATACTCCGTATAGCTCGGGGTTCGGATCTAAAGCGGAGTTTGCATTCCGGGCATAGGATTAACAGATCTACTTTCCAACGCAGATCCTAGGGACGTGCAGGTGCGTGGATTTAACATGACAGACTTTTTTAGGCCCCCGGATGCTGACGGATGTCGATTTACCAATCGCCAAGATCGGGCTCGCTCTTGGCTCAGACTTCGGACAGCTCGTTTGCTTCTTTGCTACTGGGAATGTCTGCGGTAAAGTAGAATTGTGCTTCGTATGTTGTATATTATGGAGAACCAGGTTAAATCCGGGGGGCGCTTAGGGCATGGAAGTTGTACAAGCCCAGGGAGACACCACATGACGATATGCATCGGGTATGTGTTGGATATTAGCTTGGATCATGTTCTGCTATGAGACGTGTATAAACTTTGTGTATCAGTGCAACCTTACATTCGGATTATGCACGAGGCTATACTACTTTAGTCAACTACTTCAATATCACCTCTTTGGGTAACAAGCAAGGTGCCGAACTTCCGCTCAAATTCGTTCATTTTTCGTATATCCGAGTCCGGTATTCACTTTCCATTGTATACCCCCACCACGATGGGGCCACCTCAAAAATGCGGCTCGAATAACAAAGGGAAGCCAAGACAGGGATATGCATGGAGTCTGAAAATACTTGATTGGGATTCAGTGCATAGAGTCTAGATCATTGGAGGAACAGATCACTGATCATCTGCGCTAGAATTTATCACCTTGGAAGTCAACCTGAGAATGTTGGGGCTGGAAGCCAAGCAGGCTGATATTTTTATAGTTCAATCCTATACTCGATATCCCAAGCATAAGCATTATATGTCTACCCATCTACGAAGTAGGAGAAAGATGAGAACAGACCGTCCAAATAAGGTAACGATCGACTACGTCATTGACTAGGTTATATTTCTGTTCGTACACCGTACATGGACATGGCATCATGCAGGTTTCAAGGCAAAAAGTCCCAAATATTGGGGTTCTATGTAGTCATAGTTCCCCATGAAGTCACCAAAATCCACAGAGGCTCCCGAGACACCCGAATGAAAGAAAATCAATACTTCAATTTCCAGGTGGAGTTAATAAGTTTAGAGGCTTAAAGGCCAAGGAATATGTATCAAACTATATGTTGTAAGCAGTAAAGAGGAATACCAAATTGGGCATATCGGTCCCGAGGGCCTTAGCTTCATTCTTCCACGCACTTTTTTTCCCTCTCTCTCTCCTTTATTTCTTTTTTTAAAAAAATCAAAAAGCATTGGAAATCGGCGTCGGCAAGCTCTTCATTTGAGCAAGTTTCCCGGTACTTCATTCCTAGCCCCGCCTGGGCTTATATACTGCATTTCCTCCCAGAGTCTCTTATCTCATACTTCAGCCCTACAGCTTCCCCCAACTCCCATCGAACAGTCTAGTTCATCGCCTCCTGGTAATCCTGTTTAGACGTGCACGACCATAAAAACCTCCAACAAACACGGGTCTAGCTACCGGTTTGGCAGGTTCGTTACGTCACCATTCGATAGAGCTTCGACCCTAAGGTTGAAGCTCTATATCTCGCAACTACTTGCATCTTTTGCACATACACATTATTTCCTGCACTATCGCATATATTCTTCCCAATGCGGCCCATAGCTACTCGAGCCGTATGGGCGGCAACTTTCACACTGTTGCTCGCATCCCTTGTGACCGCGCTTCCACACGATGAATCAATGGACATGGAGATGGATATGCACGCGGTCACCGACGCGCCGCAACCTACAACCACCGCGATGGCAGTTAGCACCGACGGACCGATGAGCTACTTCGCATACAGCAAGCACTCCAGCGCCATTATAGCTCACATCGTCCTCATGATTCTGGGCTGGTGCTTCATTCTTCCTGTCGGTAAGTGGTTCTCGTGTTGGGCTCTGAACGCGAAATGAAAACGGGCAACTGATCACTCGAATAGCTGTCATGCTGAGCATCGCACGCTCATGGCTCGCCCTCCCATCACAATTCCTGTTCCTGACCTTCAACGCCTTGGGTGTCCTCCTCGGGGTTATCTATAACAGCCAGACGCCAGACCTCTACGAGAATAATGCACACCACAAAATCGGCTGGGTTGCGACGTGTGTTGTTAGCGCCCAGCTTGTCCTGGCTTTACTCTTTGCCTACGCTGGCCGCGGCAAGTCGGAGACGCCCTCTTATGAACACGCTGCGTTCTTCCCTGTTGCGACGGATGACCATGATACCGAGCATGCTTGTCTCAATGGTGCGATGCGCGAGCATCGCTGGTCTCGCGACAGTGGCCAGGGTACAGATAGCAACTCTTCTATCCATAGTCCTGGATCGTCGTCTTGTGAGTCGCCTACCGAATACGATGGCTTTGAAAAGCCCGACGAGGTGCTGGCAAAGGTTACCTCTCAACGCGGCTGGATTCATCACACGCGTGTTGGTCGCTTCCTGTCTCAGACTGTCCCTGGTCTGATTCCCAGCCGGGTCCTCCGTGTTTTGAATGTCGTGTATAACATCGTTGACCGTGTCATTCTTCCATTCGGATTTGCGGCTATTGCGAGTGGCGCTGTGACTTACGGTGGTATCATGAGGGGTCGTGAGATCTTCAACGGACTTGCGCACTTCATCAAGGGTGGTATCTTCTTCTGGTATGGTGTCCTGACACTTGGACGCTATATTGGTTGCTGGGCCGATCTGGGTTGGGCCTGGAACAAGAAGCCCTCTGCGTCTATTGTTGGTTGGAAATCCAAGGTTCCCTCGGGTGAAGCTACAGAGTCGTTCGTCATTTTCCTATACGGCGCGACAAATGTTTTCCTCGAGCACCTCAACGGTGCGGGCAAGGGATGGTCTGCTACAGATCTCGAGCACGTTTCGATTTCCGGGCTCTTCTTCGGCGGCGGTCTGGTATGATTTCATCTTATATTCCGCTTTCTATGAATCAATCTAGCTAACCTAAAACACAGGCCGGTATGCTTTTCGAATCTGCTTGCATCCGTGACTGGCTCAACAATACCATCATTCAACCCCCGGCTCAGGGTAACTTGGATGAAGCCTGGAGGCCACCAAGGTCGCAGGGCGTTTCCTTGAACCCCATGCCAGCCCTCGTCATTATGTTGCTTGGCATGATGATGGGGTCGCACCACCAGGATAGCATGACATCAACTATGGTACACAAGCAGTGGGGTAACATGCTGGTTGGGTTTGCGTTGGCGCGCGGCATGACATACCTTCTGTTGTACCTCAAGCCACCGACCTCGTACCTCCCGGCTCGTCCCCCGACAGAGATCATTGCTGCATTTTGCCTGATCTCAGGAGGTCTGATTTTCATGTTAAGTGTAAGTTCACATACATCCTTTGATAAGCTTTTACAACGTCACTCAAGAGCATGACTAACGTTGATCCAGACCCGCAATGTGATTCAAGCGATGGAGTACTACGAACTGGATGCAATGTTCACTTTCACCGTCGGCTTGGGCTTCAGTGCTTTCATCATGGCTTATGAGATCTTGACAATTGCCCTCAAGGCCTGGGCCGTGAAGCGTGCTCAGCGCCCACGACCTCACTTCCGCTACCAGTGAGGAATCCGCTACGTTTTTTTTATTTGATACCCCCTTTACACTTCTGAGGCTTTTTTTTTGTTTCATGCTGGAATATACGGAGTCATTTGCTTGTGAATTGTTCATGCGACATAATATTCCCTGCAGAGATACCCTGGGAAGGACAGTTCCTTTGACAACCTCGGACATGATATTTTGCGATGTTGAATGTGTGAATGGATTAATGTGGTAATAATGGTTGGGATTGGGACTTGATGTCCTTTCCCAGATATATGCAGTACAGATGATTAGGATATGCAATGTTTTCTCTTCCAAGTATCGTGTTGGGGTAGATATATACGGAGTTAGTATCTTATTTCCGAGTTCTTCAAAAGGCATGAGGGGCAAGTGGAGTCAAGAAGAGAAAGGAGAAGAAGAGCCAGTCTGATTGGAAGAAAATAATATCTGAAAGGCTCAGGTTGGATATTGTAAACCCCCGAGGCCTCCAAGGCCCCCATAGTACATTTATAAGCAATCAGGGAACCCCTCCAAACAAGGCTTATAATTCAACACCTGTAAAAAACTTCATTTCTACATTCTATACACCTTTTTTTAAAAAACATGGCTTCCAACCCTCCCGCTGCCTGCTGTGCCTCTGGTTTCAAGCACGAAGGTACTCCCGCTGGCGAGACCAAGAAGATCAACGGAGGTAAGATGATGCCTTGCAGAAATCCCCAGAGCCATTGTTAACCAATTCTCCAGTCGACACCTATATCGTCTACCCTAAGGACAAGACCCCTGAGAAGGCCATTCTCTTCGTCACCGATATCTTCGGCATCTTCACCAATTCGCAGATCCTCGCCGACGAGTACGCCAACAATGGCTACCTGACCATTATGCCGGATCTTTTCCAGGGCGACAAGATCAGCGTCAGCGACATGGAATCTGGCAAGGCCGACCTGCCCGCATGGTTCCCCAACCACCAGCCCGCGAACGTTGAGCCCATTATTGAGTCCACTATTAAATACGCCCGTGAGACTCTCGGCGTTAAGAAAATCGGCGCTGTTGGCTACTGCTTCGGCGGTAAGGTATGTATTTATAGTCTAGATCTGAAGATCAAATCTCCGAAGCAATTGAAGACCTCTCGTGCTAACAATCTTTGTTTAGTACGTCTGCCGCTTCCTCAAGCCCGGCCAGATTGACGTCGGTTACACTGCGCACCCCTCGTTCGTCACCCACGAGGAGCTCGGTGCCATCAAGGGCCCCTTGTCTATCGCTGCTGCTGGTAAGTTGATGTTTGCTATCAGTTTGAAAAGAACAAAGGCTAATTTCGCGTCAACAGAGGTCGACTCGATCTTCACTACCCAGCTTCGCCACGAGTCCGAGGATACCCTTATCAAGGCTGGCCAGCCGTGGCAGATCAACCTGTTCAGCGGTGTCAGCCACGGCTTTGGTGTGCGTGCCGATCTAAGTGACCCCAAGCAGAAGTGGGCTAAGGAGCAGGCATTCTGCCAGGCTGTCGCCTGGTTCAACCAGCACTTGTAAATAAAGAGGATTTTTTGCATATATAAATAGCAGATAGCGATATCGAGCACCATTTGATATATGATGAACCATTGTAGCCAGTACAGAGAAAATTGAGATAATACCACTACACTCCCTGGAGGACTACCCGACATCCGGTAGTTTACAGTTGCGCGGTTGGTCTTTATCGCGGAGCGTAACTTCGCGGACAAGTCGCTTTAATGGTCCGAGTAGTCTCCCTTGACCATTCTCTTCAGATTTGATATTTCACTTAGGTTGTTTCTGACCTTGACATTCGGAGTTTTACTCGTTTTCGGTTAGGTGTGGGCATCTTGTCTCTGTCTTTTCGATTCCCGTTAGGGATCGCGTGCGCCTTGTGAGTTATCCCTGGGACCCGGAAATTCGACCAGTGAAACAGAAACTGATTGATCTTTCTTTCCAGTCATTAATTTTTAGATCCGCCATCTGACTCTTGAATACGTTGTCAAATCTCCATAACGGCTCCGACCGCAAATCCTCTCCAGAGTAGCGGTATATACCGACTTGACAGCCCAACTCTACTTCGGCCGCATTGAGTGATCTCGTCACTATATTTTATTCAAAAGTGATTGTAAACGAAATATCAGCAACCAACAATCATGGCAACCCCGGCCGCTTTACCCCCGTTGCCTTTCAATCCGGGTCGGATACGAACATACCTCCTCCGACTACCGCTGTTCACCCGCCTGGTGCTGCTGATAATTCTGGCCTTTTGGCTGCTTGAATTCCAATCTGTGTGGGGTGTTATACAATGGGGTGCTTTGATTCCAGAGGAGATCAACCTGGGGACTAGTATGTTTGATTCCATCCTGAAAGAGTATATTGGGTACATGCTAACTTGACGGTATTACTAGTGTACCGACTTAACACCTATCCCTTCATTCATACGGGCTTCTTCCATGCTTTCCTTAATGCAGCGGCACTCACCCCACTGCTGGAGCGCTTTGAGGCCGAGCATGGCACTTTGACTGCTATTGCGTTGTTCGTTGGACGTGAGTGCTGTAATACAACCCAACACTTGTGGCCATTTTAACTAATATTGCATAATTTAGCTCTTTCGACTGTCCCTGCTGGTCTATATATCTTGGTTGAGAGGTTTATCCTACACAGAAATACTTCGGTAGTTGGCGCAAGGTAAGCTTTAGATCACCAGGTTGGATGTTTCGATAACTGACCTTCAATCTAGCATCTGGGTTTTCTTGCTTCTTGGTTCGGAAGCCATCAAGACCTACAAGTCTAACCCCAACTTCAGGTAAGATCCATTGGGAAATATCTTACTCCAATCCTACTAACGCCCTTTAGTCTTGGCCCATACAAGATTCCCACCTGGACTTCGCCCCTGTTCGCATGTATCCTTGTATCCATCCTCGTGTCGAACGTGAGCTTCCTCGGTCATCTCTGTGCGATTCTTGTTGGCTATCTCCGTAAGTTCTCTTCTCCGATTTTGCCTTTTTCCACTGCTAATTGTCGTTAGTTGGCCTCGGATACCTCAAGGTGTTCGTGCCCCCTGAGAAGGTCCTCCGCTGGATCGAGGGCAAGCTGAACCTCCTGGGACGCCTGCCTCACTATGTCTCCGTCGACCAAAAGACTTACGGTCGCTATGGAGTTCTTCCAACCACCAACCCCGCCGGCGCCAACGGCAACCAAACACCCTTGAGCTACTTGGGATCTACCCAGCGCCTTGGAGCCTGATCCCAGTATTGATGCATGATTCATTTCTCATTTTAATGTATATTTTCCACTATAGTTTTTTTATATTGTTGCAGATTTGGGGGGGGGACAAGGGGAACATTCGATAATAGCATAGCGTGTGCATACTCCCATTTAATTTGCGCTGTTGGTCTTTATCGTTTGGTGTAAATTCCACTTCTCCGCGCATAAACAAGCTCTCGAACTCCACTGTTGACTTGTAAGACATCCAAGTTCAGTCCAATTATTCCACTCATTTAATAGCTTCGCCTTAACGGCACGGGAACTCATTTCCCGATGGTCAATAGTCGATGGCGTTGAAATGTAAGACAAGCTGGAATACCACCTGTCCTTCCTGGAACCAGAAACCCCAAACTAACAAGATGCCAGCTGCAATCCGCAACTTGCGGAATAACCCCAACCTCCTCTTCGTTCGTCTTCCGAATCTCCTATCGTTTATCTGCATTGTCGTCGGCGTTGTCTGGCTACTTCTCCTGCCATTGAATGAGTACTCCCGACAAACCTACATCTCCGAGAATGCGCTCCTACCGGGCCAAGTCCATGCGTATTTCACGGGAAGCGAGCAGAACATCTTCCGTGGTTATAAGAAAGAATTGGAGGGATTGTTGAATGATGGACAAGCGAGAGGCGGCCAAAAAGACGAGGCGGAAGTGACAGCGGCGTAGGTTGAATCAACCCGGCACAAGCTGGACTATTCGCTGATACTTCAACAGGGTCTCGGACAAGTTGCAGTCAATTCTGCAAGCGGCGGGCCTTAAAGTTGCCACGCAAAAATACGAATACACCTCCGCTGGTATTACGCACCGGGGAGAGAACACTTACGCTATTATCCATGCGCCGCGCGGTGATGCCACGGAGGCAATTGTGCTGGTTGCGCCATGGAAGACGGCTGATGATGAGCTGAACCTGAATGGCGTCACTCTTGCCCTGACATTGGCGAGATACTTCAAAAGTGAGTTTCGTCGTTGCGCTCCTCTAGTCAGGTTACTGACAGTTGATGCTAGGATGGTCATTATGGTCCAAGGATATCATCTTCCTAATTACCCCGGACAGCAAAACTGGAACTCAGGCTTGGATCGATGCCTACCATGATATGCACCCGGCTTCGGTGCAGCCACTTCCTTTGAAGAGTGGAGCGTTGCAAGGAGCACTGGTCATTGAATACCCCTTTGATCACAGGTTCCAGTCGCTCCATATTGTATATGATGGAGTCAATGGCCAACTCCCTAACCTCGACCTGTTCAACACAGCTGTGGCCATCGCAGGCGGCCAGATGGGTATCGGAGCCAATCTACAGGAAATGTGGGGTCATGACGATAGCTATGAGCATCGTCTGCAGACCATGTTCCGCGGTATGACCAAGCAGGGTCTTGGGTATGCCACTGGCGCACACAGCAGCTTCATGCCGTACCATATCGACGCTATCACTCTGCAGACCAAGGGCGAGGGATGGGAGGACGAAATGGCCCTGGGCCGGACGATCGAATCTCTTTGCCGCAGCTTGAACAACTTGCTGGAGCATCTGCACCAAAGCTTTTTCTTCTACCTGCTCATGCAGTCCAACCGTTTTGTCAGCATCGGCACCTATTTGCCCAGTGCCATGTTGATCGCTGGAAATTTCACCATCATGGCAATTGCCCTCTGGATGCGCACTGGGTATTACCCAGAAACCAAGCCGAGTGCCAACCCCAAGAACGAGAAGGCACCCACCGAAGAGAAGCCCAAGATGAGTAGCGTCGCAGAACGACACCTTGCTTTACCACTCTCACTTGTTGTCGGACTCCATCTACTCGGCCTTCTCCCGCTCTGGGTCTTTAATAATATCTTCCACCAGGTGAGATCTACCATCTTACATCCACAATAATTACAGCTGCTAACAAGGCTACAGTACTTCACAACTACCACCTACATATTCGTGGTCGTGGACATCGTCCTTCCCCTTCTCCTCGCCGCAATCCTCTCCAACGGCCTCGGTCTAGCAAAACCAATCATCCCCCAACAGTACCACCTTATCAAATCCTTCTCCCTCCTTCTACTAGGTCTCTCCCTCTCAACTCTCGCCACGCTCAACTTCTCCCTTTCATTCATGATCGGTCTGCTCTGCGCGCCACTTAGCTTCGTCACTCGTCTGCGAGGCTCCGCGCCATTCCGCTTGGCAACTTCCAGTCTGGGTCTGGTGCTTCTCAACCTCGTCTCCCCGCCAACTGTTCTCCTTGGCGTCTGCTGGTATACGGGCGTGTCGGTCGAGGCTGTCCTCACCCAGGCGGCGTTCGGGTGGGATGTTTGGGGTATGTGGACCCAGGTCGTTGTTTGGTGCGTGTGGTGGCCAGCTTGGTTGATTGGCTCTGTGTTGCTTGGGTCGTCGATGTTCTGATTATATTGTTGTACATTGTTGTCTCGCGCGGTTTGCATTGATCTAATGAGATAGGATATTAATAAATACAACTCCAAGAACCTACATACTATGACTACAACGAAATAGAGACAGGGATTACAGCAAGGACTCCCTATAGTTGAAATCCACGGTACATATACCAATGCACTGCAAATGCACATCCAAAACTAGTGAAAATGTTCACACACTCTTGCCACTCTTGCTCCAATCAGTCCGACTGTGTGCCTCCCATTTGAGATGTTTCATTTGCCACACCTTGTCTTCAAAGAAGTGTCTCGGTTTCTGATTCTTACTCTATGGCCCAAGTATCTATCGCCTCACAACGGCCAATTATGATCGAAGAACATTTGGCATTCGACGACAGAAGAGCCAAGGAGGAGGCTGGACAAAGACGGCTAACCTTATACATACCATGTCGGAGTGGCCATGGACGGCTGATTCGAACGAACAATGAAAACAGCGAGGATGCCAAACTTCCGATAGGACACATTTCCCCGAGTCTTTGTTTCACCCTTGAACAATACTAACATCTCACATTCATCAACTGCATGAATGTCAGATTGTTCTTGACCAATTGCCCACAGATCTTGCCCGAACTCGGAACAAGTGTTCTATTTCTTTCATGCAATGCCTCCCTCCAGTCTCTATCTCATAGTCACAATTCCCTCTAACAATCTATATAAAGAATGAGCCTTATTACTCGACAAATGCCTGTATCCCCTAGGTCAGCACAAGATGGGTCTCTTTCGAATCGACCTTCTTGCTCTATGGCTTCTCTTAATCCATATAGCAACAGCTGCTGCCCCAGTCCCAACCAAAGACGGCTATTGTTTCAAATATCTCATTCAAGGTTATGATACATGTTCACTAATTGCCAATAAACATGGCATCACCGAGGCCGACATCGAAAAATTCAATAAAGACACTTGGGCATGGCTCGGATGCAAACAACTATACCAGGGCGACTTTATCTGTCTCAGCTCTGGGAAACCTCCAATGCCAATGGCCCTTCCTCAAGCAACCTGCGGTCCACAAGTACCTGGAACAGTACGACCGGCTAAATGGGCCGACCTCGCCGGTTTGAACCCGTGTGCTTCACCTAAATGCGTAAGTTAACCCCATATCCCGTTATATAGATCTAGTCCTAACAACCAACAGTGTGCTTTCTGGGGTCAATGCGGTGTCACCGAACTATATTGCCAAAAAGCAGGTTACCGTGCACCTCCTGCTGGTCCCACAGCCACCGTGAAAGGAGCAACAGAGGCTCCGAAATCCCTCCCTACCAAAACAAGCGCAGCCGGGAAGTCCACTGGTACTAGTGCGAAGTCACAATCTACCTCCAAATTCACCTCCAAGTCCAAGTCCACTACCAAGGCCGGCACGCTCGATGTCACAACGGTAACCTACAAACCAACTAGCACAAAAACCACAAAGAAATGGACACCTGAACCAACTGTATCGCAATACCCCTGGACAGCACCTTGGGAGATCACAATGTACAGCGAAAGGAACTGCGAGGGCGACTATTACCACCTCGAGGGGTATAACAAAAAATTCCTCGATGACAAAGGCTGCTTGGCTGTCCGCGGAGGTCTCAATAGCCAGTATACTGAGACGGGGGTTACGTGTAAATGGTGGACTGACAATGGGTTTACGTGGAAAAGTTGTGACGCGGGCACACTTAAGAAACCTGAGTCGTGGGTTCTCAAGAATGGGTATTGCTCAGTCTTCAGTACGGATGATTGTGATTGCTCTGATGGTTGGAAGACGTATCATCAACCTCAAGGATGTTATAATGCGACGGAGAAAGTTTGGACGCCTCAATGGGAGTCTTTGCAGTGTTCGATTGATGGATACTAGAGTTATGTATAATTTTTTTTTTCAAATGGAATTGTTCTGGTTCGTTGTATGACTATATGAATGTTATTTGCTTCATATTTTCCCGGGCTTGGATGATGAGCAAGCTAGAGATGTCGAACAAGATACATGGAGTACGTATTGCGGAGATTACAGGGAAAATACCGGGGTCACAATGAAAGACACCATTGTATTCATTATAATAGAACTGAGAACACAAGTGAGATAAGACATCTATGCAGCCCAAACATCCTTACCAGCACCCTCAATCCAATGACCGAGCTGGTTAACACCAGCATCCCAGTCCTTAAGACGGTTTCGCATACCATCAATCTGCTTCATATCCAGAACCTTGGGTTGAACCCAGTGGATCTGTGCAACCTGAGCAACCTGATCAATGGACCCACGCAGCAAACCCAGCGACAAAGCCTTCATAACGAGATGCTCGATCTCATCCGGCTGCACCTTAGTCTCGGACGCGATAGCCTGGAAGGAGAGGGAGCGGTCGTGGGGAGGACGGTGGAAGACCATCTCCGTCAGTGCCGCGAGCGAAATCTTCTGGTACAGGAATACCCGGTGTGACTCGAGCAGCTTGTTCTTGCTGATGTTACCAGCCAACACGTCGTAGGCCGTCAGATCGCCCCGGTTGAAGGCGAAGAGAAGCTCGCGGAGCCAGTTGTGCGGGGTCTGGGTCAGCGAGTCCAGAATCGGGTGCAGGAGGAGCTCTCCGAAGTTGTAGATCGTCTCTGATACCAGGGCGGCTACGCTGAGGTTGTAGGCGCGCGATGCGCGCTCGGTCTCGGGGAGTTCTTCCAAGTCAATGCAGGCGAGGTAGAGGAGGGCGTTTTTGTAGAAGGAGGCGAATTCTTGCTTAGCCTGTTGGAGGGGTGTGTTAGCTTCAATTTGAGTGGCCGAGTCCGGCTGGAGACAGGATTATTTGAATCACGTACATGGTAGTAGTCCGCATTCACTTTGTAGAATGAGGCGTGCACGACGGTCTCGACCGAGTCGAACGTGTCTAGCACCCGCTGGCAGGTGGCCAGGTCTGCCTGTGCTCCGTCCAGATCCTTCAGCGACAGCTTGACGTTAGCCACGTCAGCCAGCGCGTAGACATATGCATCCTGTGTGTCGGCCGTATCCGTCTTGCTGGCGAGGGATGTGAGGAAAGCCAGTCGTTCTTGATCATCTAGAGGGAGATGGTTAGCGTACATCAACGCAACCGAATGCTCATCGTGGTAGATTTTGGAGCTTCCGGTCTAGAATTCGGACCACCAACCTGCGCATTCTGTTGCTGCCATCAACCCCAGCGACACAAACTTGAGCTGGTTGACCCGGTCGGCGAAACTGAGCACGAATGTCTTAAAGAGGGCTAAGCGGTGGGGAGCACTCTCTGGCATGCGGAAGAACTCGACCAACGAGTCTGTAAGCTGGTGCCATAGTTTGCGCTCCCAGTAGTCTTCGAAGGTGAGGAAGTAGGGTTGTGTCTCTGGGCTTCCTTGTGCTTGCTGCTCAAGCAAGAAGTCGGGGATCTTGGCCTCCATGGTGGAGATATGGGTACCGTTTGAGTTGAAGTCACTGATAGGGGATGAGATGCTGGATCAAGAGACGAAGGTAGGTAGACTCGGACGGAATTGGAGATGTTGATGGTTGATGCGGACTGCAAGAGAGCTGATATGATGTCCTCACGTCGGCAGTTTGGAGAGCTCTCACTCACCGCCTTGGCTTCCACGGTCTTCGATGCTCTGCTGTTTCAGCGTCAGTTCTCTGCTTGGATTTTAATTATTATCATTGATATTATACAGCTAGGTAGGAATTAGACGCCAATAATCAGTTTGGTACCTAGTGAGGTACTTGCATATATGCTTCTCTGTTGAACATAAAATTCTCCCGCTTATACTACATCGCAAATATATATATCAGACACTGATAGAAGGGTTGACCCATCTTCTCCTTCGTTATTGTATCCAAATTTCCAGAAGACAAATGCAAGCAAACAGGTCCGATACGAATGAGAGCACATGATATATTACACAAGAAACAAGACAGTATTTAGAGCGAAGAGTTGCTAGCGCTGCACAGGTGGTTATCACATTACAAGCAATGGTCAAACGAAGATACAAGATGAACTAAGATATAAAGACCCTTGCTTAGAACTAGAAATTAAGTCTCACGGTTAAACGCAACGCCGGGCCAGAAAAATTTGGAGGAAGTGACGATAAAATCCCTAGTACATGGACTGCAACGCATTGCTGTCGAGGGCTTGAATAGCAGCGGCGTACTTGCTGATACACTCGAAGAAACCGAGGGTATTGTAAACAGCAAACCAAGCCTCATATGAATATGTCTTCTCAGGTGATGCGAAGGTACTTACCAAGTAGATCTATGTATGTAGACATCTATATAGTTCGAAAGTTCCTCAACGGTCAGTTTCTTTGGGGAGCAGATCTGACATTTGAAACAATCAGTCTTCCATTTTATTGTGGAATTCATCTCTCTCGTAGGCGAGTGGCTTTGATCGTTGGATTCTTGTGTATGAACTAAGTTGCACTTATGACATCGGTGGCAGACCACCTCGACCCCCAGATACGCGCACAAGAGAAGGGAAAAGAGTATTCGCCAATGCTAGAGCAAGAAGAGCAAAGACAATGCACAGGTATAGAGTATAGACTCGACCAATAGTCATTACATGCATGCTTGTTCGACTGAACTGACGGATCGTACCTAGCCCTAATTGCATCACTGATTTGGAACATGAACATAACGATTATTCTCCCCTCGGTCGAAACCAGTAGGTGCCGTTAATGAACTGGTGACTTCTAGAGACTTGGTTGAATCCCACATTGAGATGTATTGATGACGAACGCGGGCTAGTACATCGGCTTGGCCAACAGGCTCCAAGGCACCTCAAATGTATGAGAGTGGAGAACTAGATGGTATAATTAAGTGACCTTAAATAACTCCCCTGTCGTGTTGCTGATGACGCTGCAGGACACGCCAACTACAGTGAAACAAATACTACAAACTAAGACAAAACTTATAAGGTTGCCCCAAAGGGAAAAGGTATTTTGTATTTTGTAAAACCCCGACCACACCCCAGCTGGGAACATGGAATCATAGATGCTAACGAAAAGCGACACGTTTAAGCGTCATCGACGGTGGTGGTGTGGAGACCCTTGGGGTCCTTGACGTTGACGGCCTGGACGTGGGAGTAGAGACGCTCCTTGGCGTTCTCCTCGTCGTTACGCTTGCGGGAGATGCGGACACGGAGACGGAAGGGAACACCCTTGATACCGGCTTCCCAGACCTTCTTGTTCAGCTGGGGGTCGACGCGGACATCCTTGGTACCCTATTGGTGAGTCGAGCATGTTAGCGGACTGAATCCCCAGTAGGATCAGAGGGGGAGAGCATTGCTCAAACTTACCATAGCCTGAGTGGCGAAGGCACGGATCTCCTTGATGGCCTTAGGAGCACGCTTCTTGAAGCTGACGCCGTGGCACTATAATTCCGGAAAAGAAGTTGCAATCAGTCTTCCGCCCGAATGCCATCTGCAAGAGAAAACTCTGCGCGATGAATGTTTCTGGTCTTTCGGCCATAGTGGACTTCATAAAACTAATTCTTCTTTTGTGTTCCGGGTGCGGATATGTGTGGATGCGAGCGAAGATCTTTTTCAAGATCTCCTCTCGGCTGTCTCTATCGCGAAGCAGACAAAAGACAAGAGCGCCATGTCCTACCTGTAGATTTCTCCACAGGTCATGGTGAGGATGATGGTGACATGAGAGGGGATTGGTTTCCCATTCTACCCTCGACACACACACACCAACCCACACCACACACATTCTTTTCCGTAACAAATTCCATTTTCAGGAAAAGTTCTTTGTTCTCTGTCCAATATATGCCTCCAGAACTGAATCGTATTCGAATCGTCGCAGGTAGACTGGGAAAGGGTTTGTGTTCAACATACTCGCTTGTGCAGGTTGATGGTGTACTCGCGAGACACCACATCGGCGATAGCCGAGCGCTTGTTGCCGGTCTTGACGTTGGACATCTCTGCGGAAAAGGTTAGGGGGTATTTCGGAGTGGTGCTTGAGGAGACTGACTGAAGGGGTGGTCGACGGTGGGCGGAAGTGATCGATTGTCAGAAGGAGAGTTCGCGGTCAATTTTCGAGTGAAATTCAGTGTGGTCTCGCTTGACTGTGTGGGGTCTGATTGGGTGGAGTGGGGCTATATTGCAACCAATGATATGTCGGTGGTGGAGATACTGATGCCTCAGGCAATAATGACCTTACTCAACTATCAAAAATTCATACATTGATAAATATTCAGTTTAAAATAATCTCTAGATAAAATTCGATATAATTTCTAATAAAGATCCCCCTACAGTCTCCCAAATTTCCCCATTACTTCTGACCTGCACTCACATCGGGGTAAAGGTCAAATCGTCGCTGGGTGGAGATAGGAATTCCACTACGGATATTCGCAATCGAATCGTTATCCAAGTCAGCGTAAATAATGGTCTCTTTCTCCTCAGCTTCAGAGACAATATTTGCGCTGGGATCTGCGACCAGAGTGTGACCATAGGCATGGTAGGCGGCATTCAGATCACGCGCCGGGCTGCAGAGCGCCACATATGACTGGTTATCAACAGCTCTGGCACGACCAAGGAGCGACCAGTGCAGAGGACCAGTAGTGGTGTTGAAGGCCGCCGGGTAGACGAGAAGGAAAGCACCCTGGCGGGCGGCGATCATCGCGCCTTCTGGGAAACGAATATCGTAGCAGATGGCCAGACCGATCTTTCCATACTCCGGGAGATCAATGACTGTCAGCTGGTTGCCAGGTGAAAGTACATCGCTCTCCTTGAACTGAATCTTGCCCGGGATATCAATGTCGAACAGATGCGTCTTGCGGTGAGTGCCGATCAAGGCGCCCGTCGGCGAGAAGACCAACGAGGTGTTGTAGTACTTCTTGGTGGAGGGCTCCAGCTCAGGAATACTTCCGCCGATAAGGTATGCATTTGCCTCTACGGCGATGGCCGACAGGGCGTGGAAGGAGGGCGATTGTTCAATCGTCGGAGGAGAGGGGAAGAGGGTCTCGGCGTATTTGGGGAAGAAATTTGTCCCATAGGGCGAGTTGAAGCACTCGGGAAGAACGATCAATCGTGCGCCGGCCTTTGCAGCTTCAAGGACTTTGCTCCGAGCATGAGAGAGGTTCGCGGCTTTGTCCGCTCCTAGATGTTTTGGTCAGCTGGGAGAACATGGGTAGATCTAGGAAGAGTTCAAACCTGATGCGAGCTGGACAAGAGCCAACTTAAGGGGCTTTTTCAAAAAGGTAGCCATTGTTGGGAATGTGAAGAAGAATAGTTCCAATGTTGAGGGAATGATATCGGAGTTGCGAATTGCGGGGACGGCCAATTCCCCGATAAGCCGACATTACTCGTTCAAATTGTTCATACTTTCTCTCAATTATAATTCTACTTGTTTCTAAATAATTCCAGATAGATATGCTTAGAAATTTATCGGGATTCAAGGGACAATTCCAAATTAGAGTGATTGGGAGATGGTGTTATAGCTGCATACGCTTGAGGAAGCTTGCATGGGGTGGTATCTTAGCTCTCTTTTTTTAATCCTAGGCAATAACAAACAATTTTACTAGTGGGGAAAATTGCGCTTCTATTATCTATTAGACGAGAAGAATCACAAGTCCCATTCCAATAGCCCTTCATCATGAGCTGCAAGCATACCGATATACCAAAGCGCAAGCAGAACTGCCAATCGCGGGTGTAGGACGTAGGACCCTTTAGAAATCTTAGATCGCCTAGATGCACTCTGCGATCTCCTTGAGCTCTTGTATCCGGAAAATTTGAGACGGCGATTTCTTCTGCGTCTGTGTCATCAAGTTCCCACGGAATGGGCCGAGATAGCTGTGAATAACCTTCATTGTCCACTCTCCGAATCGGTATCCAGGTCTGTAAGGATGAAACTGTATCGAGTATTGTGCTGCTTCATATACCAGTTCATCTGGCCCAGACCTGGTGTACTTGTTAGCTCAGCACCTGAATGTATTCGTTACGCTCAAACAGACCTTCTGTTCTCATGGCTATTTCCCATTTCCAGCCAGCATCTCCAGGTGCTTGGTTCCGGCATTGGTTTCGGAGACAGATTATTCCAGATCGGGCACGGATTCCATATTGTGCAAGGGTCGTCCGGAGAGCTTGTCGCATAGAGCTGGGCTATGTCTCTCGTATGATACACCCATGAGTACATGTTCGTGTAATGATTAACGTGATTCACCGAGCGGATTATGGTTGCAGCTTTATGGTCTGGATCGAAACAACCTATTTCTGAAACTTTCCACGTTGTGTCGGGTGTGGCCAGGTGGGCCTGGGGGGTGTAAATATCAGTGTGATTTGACGTAAATATTCTTAGTAGAGATAGAACGAGGTGGAGAGGTAGGTAAAGGATCGGAAGAACCACAGTTGTTAGGACATTTTGGTAAACTTGGAGGATTTGTATGGCATACCTGCAAATAATTCAGAATACAAAATCTAAGGACATATATGGAGGTAACTGCGAGGAGAGGAAAGAACGAGGCATTTGTTAGTTGAACATATTTATGTCCGGTCCACGGACTTCCATATCATCAGTCTTTTCAGAGGTCTTTTTTCCCTGTTGCAAAAGGATGATTGGATATGGATACTTCATCAGTATTGCCGTCCGAGATAACATTCAAGCAAGTCCTATCAGACTCGCATTTTTCCGCTCCATTTCTCATGTTATGGAAGTGGTCAGTCCCTTGCTTCGTTGCAGCCATGAAGTACGTTTAGGGCTTGGCCACTGTTCAAATTACTAAGAATGACTTGAGGCGACCTCGTAGAGAAAAAACCAGACTGTTACATATTATTGATTGAATGAAACAGTTCAAGACATATAAAAAGGAGGTCTATACATAACAGTAGGACCCACTCTGATGTAGTTCTACCAATAGGAAAACGATCAAGATCTGACGCAGTTCCACTTTCTTTCTTTCCCCGGAGCGGACTCATCCATCATTTAACTGCTCCTGTATTTCGGTATCTCGATTCGAAGCTTGCAGCTGGCCTTGCACATGCCAAATCATGGACGGAGTCGGAACCCGCCCCAAAGCGTGCCTAACCTGTGCCAAGGCCAAAGTACGATGTTTACCGGAAATCAATGGTCCCTGTAAACGGTGAGTATATAGTTGATTTCATACTTGATACACATAATATTAATTTTCGTTAGTTGTCGTCGCTTGGGAAAAGAATGTGGAAATCAATTACCTGGAGCCCATCGTCGTGAAAAAAGACCGTGAGTGTATACCATGTTTAAGCCTCCCCAGAGCCTTCTGACGTTTGAGCTAGAGATGTTGCTGCACTCGAGGCTAAATTTGACCGCATGGTCGCCATGCTGGCTACCTCGGAACCAAATTCCACAGAACGGGTAGAAAGTGGTCCAGCGAGATCATCGTCTACCTTCGAAGATAACACCGTTACTCCCGATGAAACAGAAGGCCAGCTATTGATGGAAGTCTTCTCCAAGAAAATGCTCCCTCTCTTTCCATTTCTTATGATCCAATCCAATGTCACAGCAGAGGAACTGCGCCGAGAGAAACCATTCCTCTATCTGAATATTTCAATGGTCGCGTGCCAAAACGCTCGACGTCAGCGAGAAATCGTGGATGTGGTCCAAGCGTATGTGGCCGAGCATATTGTCATAAGAGGAGAACATAGCCTGGATCTGCTTCAGGGGCTTCTTGTCAATGTGGCCTGGTTCATTTCAGTTAGTCGTTCCCCGCGACACACTTCGTGTGACCAATTCCCCGATGCGCCCAAGGTCGATGAGCATTGTAATCACGTCGTTCGGAACACTGCCCAGCTTGATACCTTTGTGCACTTACTCGTGGCACAATCATACAGTTTGGGCCTAAATCAAGAGCTGGCTTATCAGAAAAACTTGAATTATCCTTTGACTTATTTGAAAGAAACCATGAACGAGGACCATCAGAATCCTGTTCGCACGCTGGAAGAGCGACGCACATATCTTGGGTGTTATTATCTAACTACCATGTATGTGCATGGCCCCTAGTATCGCTGGATATAAGCTAACTTTTCAAAGGCTGTCGACATGTGTGAAAGATTTGGGCCCGATTATTCGCTTTACAAGATACACGGATGAATGTTGCAATGTACTAGATCATGTCGCAGAATATCCCTCCGATTCCTATCTCGTACAGCTAGTCCGAGTGATGAACCTCGCAGATAGGATCCATCACACACTATACAACACCGAGCTCCATTCTTTATCAGTTTCATCAGCGCCTCCACCTCTTGGACTAAGCATACGATGGCTTGAGGCTGAGCTTAAGCAACTGAAAGCTAGCATGCCGAGCGAGTCACCACACTCTGGTGAGTTGTGTTATCTTTGTGCCCAATTTAACAATAATCTGAGAACCAATACAGCCATTCTACAACTTCATTACAACACACTTGAGATACATCTGTATCGAATAGCCCTTAATAACGAACCCTCCAAATCCAACTACGGCGATCATCCTCTAATGCGATTGGATCTTCTTTTCCGCTGCCTGGAAGTGACAAACTCCTCTCTCCAAACCACCCACTCTCTCCCCTCATCTCTTTTCCCATTCTTCCCATTCAGCATCATGTGTCAATTCGGAAAGGCAATCATCACTCTCTCCCAGCTTTTGCTCTACGACCATCCCGGATGGGACCGAGCATATGTGGAAAGCATAATGGACTTCAATCAGACCATCGATCGTATAGCTTGCAAGCTCCAAGAAGAACTGCCATCTTTCGAACGGGCCGCCAAAGACTCAAAGGCCACTGAATTGCCAGAGATATTTGGAAGAATGGCCAATCGCGCGAAGATGCTCAAGAATATGCATCGGCGGAGAAAAGAGGCACTGGAACAAAATTCCCCGCAAACGAATGTGCCCCCGATCGATTTCGACTTCATGATGAATTATCCCCTCGATTTTTTGTTTCCTTTTGGTGAAACTCCACCGGTCTATGGGGAGTATAGTTGATAGGCCCACTACAGTGGATCGAACGGAGTCCGTCGCCGAGATTCAGCCATCGATCTGTTTGTACATATGTACTTCGATGTTTTCCAACAAGCTATAAAATATGAAGTAAAGAAATTACCTTAGGATGCTATATCTAGCTCTTTTTTATCAAGTCTGATCCGAAAGAATGCCATGGCTACATCTAACCTCAACTCCCTATACTTCAAGCCATTTCTGATCATAGTAATCTCAAAGGACAGCTTCTATCCTGGGATAGCCAGAAATCATATATCGAGCCCTTGAACACCCGCAAACTATCTCTACAGTTTTAATTTAATGTGGATAGATCTCTAAGGGTCCCACCAAGAGGGCGGGTCATGCCGATCGGCGATGCGGCTCGAAGTCGCCGGTCGTCGGGGATTTGAAGGTCCAAAAAGGCGAGCGATTCCAATTTCTATAAGTCGCATTTATAGATATGCAGCTATTTATCTAGATCCGAGCCCTTCTATCTCCAAAAGCTGAGTATATCCAACTTCCAAAAGGTATAAGCCCACAAGTCAAAATTACAGCACCATAGCCCCGACCATAGCAGCCATCACAGCCGCGACACCAGCCACATTAGAGGCAGGGGTAGCGGCAGCATTGAAACTGGACGAGCTGGTCGCGGCAGCAGAAGTAGAACTAGCATTACCAGCCCCGTTCGAGGTGGAGACCTTCAAAGAAGTCACGATCGCGCTACCAGAAGGAGAAGCCGTGATCATGCTATCAGCAGCCTGGGTGCCGGAAGAAGATGAAGAAGACGTGGAAGACGAGTCCGACGAGTCGGAAGTCTGAGTGGCGGAAGCGAGGACAATATCAGTCGACGAAGCAGTCGATGCCACGGTGCTTGTAGAAGCAGCCTGTTTGCCGCTGGGACCCCAGCCCTCGATGTAGTCGGGAGTAAGGGTTTCGGTTCCGGAGTATTGGGGACATCCTGGTTGGGTTGTTTTTGGGGGGGCGCGACCGCCGCCGCAGTCGAGGAATGAGCAGATTTCGCCGCTGTCTGGGACGTACCAGAGGTAGCTGGCGTAGTATTTTTCGATTATGACTTCTGAGGAGACGCAGCCTTCGAGGTCAGTGCGGGCTGTGGCGAGGTTGGTGAGGCTGGTGAGGCCTAGGAGGAAAGAAAGAGTGACTGATTTCATTTTGGATTTTGAATGAGTGACTGGGGGAATTTTAATGAGTGACTAGGAATGGAATAGAATAAAAGGAGAAAAGAGAAGAGAAAGCCATTAAGTAGGGGAATTAGTTTAAGCCCTTTACCGGGGTCGGAGGCTCGGCCCTTAAAAATCAAGAGCCTCAGGGGTTTAGTCTTAGCTTTTATTAGCTTAGCTTGATTTCGATTGATTTCGAGATTCGTTTAGAAGAAAATTCATTTTTTTAATTCATTTTCACAGAAATACAATGTAGACCCCATTATCTTCACTAAAAAAAGGAAAATTCGACTTGGAGCCCGTGGGCCCAGGGAGATACTCATCTGGGCCCTGACTGGGCTCAAAAGAAAGGAGACCGCCATTGGGCTGGAAGCTGGCCCACGGCGTGAAGCCGGGCCAACTTGGGCCAACTTTGTCTGACTTGGAACCCGTAGGCCCAGGGAAATACTCACCCGGGCCCTAACTGGGTTAAGAGGAAAAGAGACCGATACCAGCTTGAAGCTGGCCCACTGTGCGAAGCCGGGCCAACTTTGTCCAAGGGGTCGATGTACCAAAAAAAAAAAAAGAACACAGGAAGCAAGAGATCAGAAAGAAACCGAATCACAGTAGAAAACGCAAATGCAAACCTAGGCCATGCGCTTGGACATAAACATACACTCCCGAAAGGGAGGACAAAGATGGAGAACATATGGAGATGACATGTAGAAGAGATAGAAAGAAATCTAGTTCTTGATCTCGTTGACAAGGTTGTGGAACTCTCGTAGTCTCTCACCCTTCACCCGAACTGCCCAATGTGTGAGCTGTCCAGTCTCGTCGGGCACCAGGAACTGAACACTGTTAGTGGTGAGCTTGTAGTCGAACTCTTTCTTCAGGAGAATGTTCAAGGTGACTTTTCCACTTGGCTCGGCACGGGCGACGATGCGCGCACGTCCAGTGACAGGGTGCTTCAGAAGGCGGACGGGACCGGTTCCTTTGGGCAACCAAGCCGCTTCAAGTTTGAAAACCCGCGATTTGTCTTCGAATACAACCGTTTCTTCTTCTTCACCGCCATTGCCCTTTGTCAGATCGAAAATTTCACCAGGCTCGCCGTCCTCGTCATCAGTGCCGGTGGGAGGGGCCGAAGGAGCGGCCATGGCGGGCTGTGTGAAGGAATTGCTCAAAGGAGCCATCGGTGCTGGAGTGGAGACCCGTCCAAACATACTGGCGCCTGTAGAAGGAGGGGGAGGCGACGGCTTCGTCTTGTTCGTGAGGGAATCATCCTTGTCACTTTCATCTGCAGAAGCTTTGCGTTTCGGCGAGGTTGGCTTGGGCCCGAAAATGTTCTGCGAGGTCGGCTTGGGCCCACCGAAGATGTTCTCCGATGGCTTGGGCCCGCCGAAGATGTTCTCGGAGGCCTTCACCTTCTTTGGGGGGGAATCATCACTGTCGTCACTTCCATCCGCAGAGGCCTTGCGTTTTGGTGAGGTCGGCTTGAGCTTGCCGAAAATGTTCTGAGAGGCTGGGACTGGGCTACTGGACGCTCCGAAAACCGAAGAGCTTGGAGGGCCTGCGCCGTATGCACCAAAGAAAGGAGGCGGGGATCCAGGCTTGCCCCCAAAGAGTGCGGCATCCGCAGGCGAACGCTTGGCTGTTCCGACGATAGTTGAGAATTCAGACGAGTCAGGAGACGATTTAGAGAACGGGGGTTGATATTGCGAGGAAGACATAGAGGCGCCGTTTGCTCCAGCAGAAGCAGACAACGGAGCGTTAAAGGGAGCAAAAATGGGAGGGGTAGGATTGATAGTACCCCCAACGTGCTGTGCAGGGGTAGGAGGGGTAGCAGGGTTGGCAGACGTAGCAGGCTCCTTAGCGGCCTGTGGAGCAGTGTTATCATCACCATCAACGAACTTGAAACCCTCGCCGGGAACAAAAACAGCACGCTTTTTAGCTGCGGCTTCGAGTTGAGCCTGCTTCTCGCGTTGGCGTTCCGCGTCTTTGCGCTCCCACTCCGCCTCGTCCTCCTCATCAGAGTCAAACTCCTCGGCCTTTCTCTTGGCCTTTGCATCAGATAGGGTCTTGTCCGACTTAGACTTAAACTGGGCCGCAAAATCGACGCCAGGAGCTGGACCAAACTTGGGAATTTGGAAAGCAGAGGGTGCGGTTGAAGTGGCCGCACCATCGAACTTAGGGATTTGGAAAGCAGGGGCAGCGGTTGAAGTGACTGCACCATTGAACTTAGGGATCTGGAAAGCAGGGGCAGCAGAAGTGGCCACACCATTGGGCTTGGGAATTTCAACAGCAGAGGTGGCGACAGGAGTAGCAGAAACAGGAGCCACGGCCGGAGTCGAAGGACCAGCAAGCGGGGCGGGAGAAGCGCTAGCAGAAGTGGTCACCGGAGTAGGGGTCGGGGTGACAGGAGCAGCAGAAACGGGAGCCGCAGGTGAAGTCGAAGGACCAGCAACCGGGGCGGAAGAAGCGCCAACAGAAGTAGCTGCCGGAGCAGGAGCCGGAGCGGAGAAGGACTGGGCGAACTTGGAGGAAGTAGTAGATCCGCCCGAAGGCTTGTTGGAAGATGCTGGGCGTTTCTCGGTGAAGCTAGGAGGCACGAAGGTTGGAGGTGTCGGGATCCGAGGCGGTGCGCAGCCATCGGGTGCTTCCTTGGCAGCATCACGTTCATTTATGGCGGCGCGTTTGGCTTCTTCAGCGGGGTTGATGAACCCAATGGGGACACCAAGCTCACGGCGAAGTTCAGCATAAAGAATGAGGACTTCGTCGATATCATCAGTCATGGGATCACATTTGGCGATCTCACGCTTGAACGACTCAGTCAAGGCGCCAATCTTCCTGAGAAGGTTGGATCGCGCTACAAGCTCGCCCGTCGGATCCTCGGGGAAAAGACGTTTGAGCGGCATGTCGTCAGGATCTTTAGGTAAAGAATAGTCAATTGATACAGGAGGTCGAGGGAAAAGACTGTCAGGGTCTGAAGCAGTAAAAGTGTTGGAAACAATAGAAGTTGAGGAGGAGGAGGGGAGAGGAGAGGAAGAAGGTAAACAAGATGGGCTTTTATCGTCGTGCGAAGACTGCGCGAACGACACCTGAGGACCTTTCCTCGCACCTTCCGTTTGAGGTTCAGTTGACACCTTAGGCCCAGCAGTGAATGGGTTAGTCAATGAGCTCTTTAGAGGTGCAATGCTATTGTCCTTATCCTGCTTATTGTTGTCAACTGTTGTAGTTGCACCAAAGAGAGAAGTGCTCGGTGCCTGGGGCGTTGCAGCCTGCTCTGTCGGCTTTGGTGCGAATGGGCTGCTGAACGCGGTCTGCCCTGACAGGTTCGCGAATGGATTGATAGGTGTCGCCTGGGTTGTCTTTTCTTCCCCAAGCTTCGATGGCGTAGGGGATGCCCCGAACATTGAGCCGAATTGTGAGGTCTCTGCAGGCACAGGAGTTTGCTCTTCACTTGTCACTTTCTGTGTGAAAACACTGCTCGCTGCTGATGGTTCCTTTTCAGCCTCTGCAGGCTTTGTGGCCGCGGATGTTCCAAACATGGACTTGAACGGCTGGTCCGCCGCAGGCTTTGCAGCTGTATCAGCAGCCGGCTTTGGCGAGAACATGTTGCCAAATGCTGGCGAAGCAGTCTTTTCTTTTCCGGCGTCCGAAGCCTTCGACGCTGCAGGTGTACCAAACATGGACTTGAACGGCTGGTCCGCTGCAGGCTTCGCAGCCGCGTTCTCAACAGCAGGCTTCGGCGAGAACATATTGCCAAATGCTGGAGGAGCCGTCTGCTCTTTTACAGTCTCTGAAACCTTCGCTGCGGGTGTACCAAACATGAACGGTTGTGCCTCGGCAGCCTTTCCAGAAGTTTCGGTTCCAGTAACCTTCGGCGAGGAGAAACCGCCAAATGAACTCGGCGCTGACAGCGTCGCAAACGGATTGCTCGCCTTTGGTTCTTCTGCCGCTGGCTTGGGCGCAAAAAGATTGCTAGCAGGCCCTGATGATTGAGAGCTGGAGGTCGACCCGAAAAGACCACCAAAAGGCTTTGCCGCCTCTGCAGGCTTTGCAGGAGTTTGCTCCGCTGCAGTTGTCTTCGGGGCAAACAGGTTAGTGGTGCTGGTTGGCGCCTGCCCTGACAGGTTCGCAAATGGATTGCTGGGTGTTGGTTGCTGTTTCTCTGCATCCAAAGGCTTCGAAGCGGCGGGCGTCGATCCGAAAAGAGCGTTGAAAGGCTGGGTCTCCGCAGGCTTGTCGGCTGGTTTCTCAGGCGCAGTTGTCTTTGGTGCAAAGGGATTGCTGGCTGACTGGCCTGAAAGGTTCGAGAATGAATTGCCAAGTGCTGATGGGCCTGCGGCTGGCTTCGGTGCAAACATGGAAGCTCCCTTGGGCTTGGTATCGGGCGAAGTTTGCATGCTGTCATCTGCAGGCGAGGTCATATGTGCCGTAGACTGCCCGAATAGGGCGGGCTTTACTGGAGTGCTTGTGTTCGGTTGTGCTCCGAATCCACCGAACGATGGAGTGGACTGGTTTCCGGCATTGAATCCCCCAAAGCTAAATCCATTCGTGCTTGACTGAGAATTTCCCCCAAATGATGTGTTTACAGCAAAAGGATTGCTCGGCGGTGCAGATCCAAATGAGGTAGGGCCCGCCCCGAAGCTGAATGACGCCTGACCACCCGCCTGGCCGTTAGTGCCCGACGAGAACATTCCACCCTGGCTGGGCCCCGAGCTTGCGCCGGGAAAGCTCTGGCTCTGAGTCTGACCAAATGTGAACCCAGTCGACTGGGTGGGTGTTGGTGCCGCGGCCGGGGCCACGGACGCGAAAGGGTTGAACGGAGCCGCATCAGATGCGCCTCCGCCTGTTGTGGGAGTTGGAGCCCGGCGTTTGCGGACATCCTTGATTCTAAAGATTTCAAAGAGATCTTCGGTCAGTTTGTGGTCCATTGATATCTGAGTTATCACTTACTTTCTGCTGGCTAACTGGGCAGCCGTCGCCCGATGGGGTTTTTCATCGGGGGTGCTGGCCATCCCAAAGGAACCGTCGTCATCTTTGGACCCCTGAGGGCCTTGAGCGCCACGTTTCAACATATTGAGCGTATGAAAAGAAAACCACCGTTGGTCGTATGCTTGCAAGTTCGAACTGCGCGAACTGCCTCGTATCCTTCGGAATCTATGTGACCCGGTTTAACGCCCTTAAATCAAGCCCAAAGCAATAACGGACTTCGGTATGATGCCGTGATGAGTTTCCTCACTTGCGGCAATCGGAGCAGGGAGCTTTCGGTTTGCGGCGAGGCTCTTTCCAACTCCACACCGACTCGAAAAAGCAACGGCTTCGATGGTGATTACCCTCCACTTAAATGTTGTCAATCGTGGAGAGAGCAAAACCCAATTTGTCTCTAACGTCTTTGATGTGGTTGTATGGTAGTGTTCGCGATCCTCCGTGACACGTTCGGGATCCGTCGCGAAGCTGTCAGCACAACGAATGAGCTTTCGAGTTGGGAGATGTGAGATCGAAGACAGATCGAGGACGGATTACTGTCCCTGATGATATTTGTCTTCGAAGTTCGATATGTCCCTCGACGCAATGAAGGGAGGCACGACTGTTATTCTCTCGCTCTTTTTTTTTTTTTGGCAGGAAGCATCCAAGGCGGAAAAAAACCAATCACGTGATACCTCTTGGCAACCAAGGTCTATGCTCGGGACTTTACAAGCTATTGTTTTACCTGCATTGGACAAAGGGGGGTGTGATATGGTATCATAATTGTCATGATTGCATTGTGAAACTTGCTTCTAGCAAATGAAGCAACAGTGAAAGGTGAATATTTCTGCGCTCAAATAAAAGCCCCGCTCACTTCATGATGCCGACGAGACCAACGGAAGAAAGATCCGCTTCAGTGTCACTACAAAGTGTACTGGAGTCTGAGAAGAATATAAAGGATAATGTTGTGTGAAGCAGAATCTGAGTCTAGGGACATCACTGATTTAGCCTGTGAGTGCCCTATCTCAACCTCTGAGATCTTTGAAAGGCAAATATACGAGGCAACCCCGAAATTCCGCGTGATGTATGTGCGAATTCTACCAGAGAATACAAGGCCAAGAACAGTGAAAGAAAAAGATCGGCTCCAGCAACACTACATGGTATGCCGGAACCCGAGAAGGACATGAATGATATTGTTGTGTAAAGCAGAGTTCCGAGTCTATGCCCATATAGAAGCTTGCCTGTGGGCGCAAGTGCCTGTTCCGAACCTTTGAGACCCTTGGAAGGCAAGTATACAACTTGACTCCGAAACTCCGCGTGATGTATGAGCATATTATACCAGAGAACACGCCAAGAATAGTGGGCTGCACGCCTTCTGGATGACCAGCAAATCATACTGTTCTGGGGTAAGTCTGCCATCAGCTTTTGTCACGCTAATAACCTCAAGAGTCCAAGGTTACAATGTAAGGACATAGTCAAGTGTAACACATAAGACGGGACCTGAAGTCTCTCGTTTTCGTCTCCCCGCACTTTAGGCGTGGCGTTCCCGTGTCATTGCTCCAGGGCCTTATTCTCATTTAAGTTAAACAGAGTTACAAAAGTAGGGCTTAAATTCCAAGGCTTCAACGTTTATAGGTGATGGACGTAAATTCCTGAATATAATTGGCTTCTCTTATAAGTCACACACACACACACTCGTGGACTTAAGACTATTAGTCACATACCCTCGAAATGGTGGCTGCAATCGAATTATCAAGTCACATTCCATTCCTATTGGGGAGCGCTTTGAGCAAACTAACAGTTTAACTTTCGAGGTTAGCATTTCTGCACAATGTGATGTGCTAAATATCGATTGGTTATTGGCTGATATGCAGGTAGGAGCAGGGGACTTCATCTATTGTGGGGAAAGATCAGCACTATCTATTCACATTCTCATTTCCACCTGGGAACTTCATTTCCACCTGGCACTTAATATCATAAGGAGAAAACGGCGTGACAGGAGAATGGCACTATCGACTTCCCCGGAATTAAATAGCCAATCGAGACCCCTGGTCTACCGTCACTCGCCATATATTTCCCCGTCTCGTGTGGTATTTCGAGGTGGGATTCCCTAATTTGTTTTGCTTTTAGCTGAAGATGCAGTGTTATTGGCTGCATCCCTTTACTATCATGCGCATGTTTGCATTTCCCGGTCGGGTCTATTGTCAAAATGGCTCAGCTGGCTCTATATAAACCATCTTTCCCCGGCCTTCATTGTCCACGTTCCTCAAGCAAGCCACTCGCAAGCATCCGCCTTGCTGACCTACCTCGGTGATTTAAGGTCAAGATGCGTTATTCTCCTGTGATCAAGTATCTTTCTTTAGTAGCATGTGCCAATGCACAGCTACTAGAGATCCCCGCGGTGGATGCTATAGTCAGTTCTGCCTTGGCTCCCTTTGAGAAGTATATGTCCTTCGGTGCTGCAACGAAAGTCGCCACGGCTGCCGCAGGTTTCCAAACCAAGGCCGCGAGCACCAAACATGGCGTTGCAGCAGTGGCAGCAGCAGATACTCCGTACTGGCTAGCAGATATCGCCCATCAAGGAATCGCAGCCTTCAACCCGAACCCTCCTGGCTACACTGTCTTCCGCAACGTGAAAGACTACGGTGCTAAAGGTGAGAATTCAAGAACCACCCCTATCCCTTGAGAAGTACTAAAATAATTATAGGTGATGGTGTGACCGACGATACGGCCGCCATCAACGCGGCCATAAGCGCCGGCGGTCGTTTTAGCCCGGCAAGCAGACAATCCTCCACCACGACTCCTGCGATAGTTTACTTCCCATCTGGAACGTACCTGATTTCAACCTCGATCATCGATTACTATTTCACCCAGCTGATCGGTAACCCGAATGCAATGCCAGTTATAAAGGCAACTGCAGGTTTTGTCGGACTTGGCTTGATTGACGGCGACCAGTACCAAAACGATGGAAACCAGGGCTGGGGATCGACGAATGTGTTTTTCAGACAGATCCGAAATTTGAAATTGGACTTGACTGGCATCCCTGCCGGTACTGCTGCGACTGGTATTCATTGGCCGACTGGTCAAGCTTCCAGCATCCAGAATGTTGTCATTGCTATGAGTTCTGCTTCTGGAACACAGCACCAGGGTATCTTCATTGAGAATGGTATGTTGGTATTTGAATTCTTTTAGGATCTATACTAATGCAATCCCAGGCTCTGGCGGGTGGATGACCGATGTGACGATTACTGGTGGTCTCTATGGTGCCAATGTTGGCAACCAGCAATTCACAATGCGGAACATTGTTATTTCGAATGCAGTGACCGCGATTTCTCAAATCTGGGACTGGGGCTGGACTTACCAAGGCCTGTTGATTTCCGACTGCACAACTGCTGTTTCGATCAGCAATGGTGGTGCTGGGGCCCAGCTCGTCGGCTCGGTCAACATCCTTGACAGCACCATCAAAAACTGCCAGAACTTTGTCGAAACCGCTTGGCAGAGCTCAGACCTATCAACTGGCAGTCTAATTCTGGAGAACATCGATCTGAACAATGTCCCGGTTGCCGTCAAAGGCGTCAGTGGTACTGTCCTTGCTGGGGGTTCCACGACCATTAGCGCATGGGGACAAGGCCACAAGTATACTCCAAACGGACCGACCAACTTCCGGGGCGGTTTTACTGCGCCGACACGCCCTAGCGCTTTGCTTGCGAGCGGATCGAACCGGTACTTTACCAAGTCCAAGCCTCAGTATGCACAATCACCGGTAGCTTCGTTTGTCAGCATCAGAAGCGCAGGCGCCAAGGGAGATGGTTCGACCGACGACACGACAGCCATTCAATCCGCATTGACATCTGCCGCGTCTGCAGGTAAGATTTTGTTCTTCGACCAAGGAAATTATAAAGTCACCAACACTCTTTACGTCCCGCCGGGCTCTCGGATTGTCGGCGAAGCATATTCTGTCATCATGGCCACTGGCAGTGTATGGTCGGGCATTACCAAGCCCGTCCCTGTGGTTCAAATTGGCAAATCTGGAGAATCTGGGTCCGTTGAATGGTCCGATATGATTGTGAGCACCTCGGGCTCTACACCAGGAGCTGTACTCGTCGAGTGGAACTTGGCGGCGACATCAGGTTCTGGAATGTGGGATGTTCACACTCGAATTGGAGGCTTCCAAGGATCTAAGCAGCAGGTTGCTCAGTGCCCGACAAACGCACCTGTTTCTGTGGACTGCCAGGTTGGCTACATGTCCATGCACATTACCAAAGCTGCCAGTGGTGTGTACTTGGAGAATGTCTGGCTTTGGACCGCCGATCATGACCTCGAAAGCCCAACCAACACCCAGATCTCAGTGTATACCGGTCGTGGTCTCTTGATAGAAGGAAAGAATGTCTGGCTGTAAGTGACAACGAATCCCCACCATGCTCTCTCACAGCTAACACTGGCACAAGATACGGAACGGGCTCCGAGCATCACTCGCTGTATCAGTATCAGTTCTCAGGCGCAACCTCGATCATGGGAGGATTCATACAGACAGAAACTCCGTAAGTCATCCTATACATGATACTACCCTTGTGTCTCCTGTCCTAACCAATTGCCCACAGATACTACCAGCCAAATCCCAACGCAGCCAACGGCCCATACCCCAGGAACCCGGCTCTCAATGACCCCGACTATAGCAGCTGTCTCGGCGGAAACTGCAACTCTCTTGGTCTTCGGATTCTCAACAGCAAGGATGTGATTATCTACGGGGCTGGGCTATACAGCTTCTTCAACAACTACAGCACCACCTGCTCTACATTCCCCCTTCCGGAGGATTGCCAAAGCATGATCTTCAGCGTTGAGGGCAGCACAAGCGGACTGGTAGTATATGGGCTCAACACTGTTGGGACAAATTATATGATTGTGAAGGATGGTACTGCGCTGGCGACGGTTGCCGACAATCTGGCCACCTACGCTGCTACTATTGCCTACTTCACCTTCTAGGGCACAGCTCGGATTCCAACAATTCCATCTACCCCTGCTTTTACACTCAAAAGTTAAGACAAGGGTTGAATCTTCGGAGGATGGACATAGTACATATCCTAGTGGAACAAATCATACATATTCAAGACTCGAAATCTCTCTATCTCATCGCAAGGCACTTTCATGGGAGGATTTCATATTTTAGCTGCCGCTTTTATGAGGGCGCTCATTCTGTGATCAAATGCGGCAAGAGGCATTAAATAGTCTAAATTTGAAATTTTGCACACATTCAACAAAAACCAAGGGAAATTGAATTGCTCGGATATGAATCCGGGGTTCCTCGATGAGGGGTCGGTTACCCCGGAAAAAAAGCATATAAAGACCTCGGGATACACCAAGCCTCTTACTCTCAACCAGTTATCATGACGAAAGAAGAAGTAATCTCGTTCGATTCCCTTCCCCTAGATCCAACAGGCCCGCGAGGAAATGCCTGGGGTCGATTTGGAAAAGATGATCAACTTGGGACCCTGAACCTACTCACTCCCGAGCGGATCGTCCAAGCCGCGAAGGAAATCCAAACTGGCGTGCGAATCTCGCTTGACTGGCCGTTGAGCATGCCTTCACATCCTAGCTTCAATCGCCATCCATTTAAGCAGGAGATTGTTCTTCGGAATCCGAATTGTGTTTATGATGACATCCTGACATTCAATAGTCAAGGGTCAACTCAATGGGATGGATTCAGACACTACGGTATGTTACTGAGTGGTTATAGCCCGGCTTTGAAGATTATCGCTTATTGGTTCGTGGTTCTAGCAAACCAGAAGTCCCGGCAGTTCTATAACGGACATACCACAGAAGAGATAGAAAGCTCGGATATCATTGGAATTCACTGTATGAACCAGATCTTAATATACCTGTTTAATCCAGTGCTAACATCAACCATCATATAGCCATATGTGAACATGGTGGAATAACAGGCCGCGGCGTCCTCCTCGACTACGCAGAATGGGCCACCACAAACTCAATCTCCATCTCTGCTCTTAAATCTGAAGCCATCACTATCGAGAACCTGAAACGAGTAGTCAAAGATCACAATCTCAATTTTCAAAAGGGTGACATTCTTTTCATCCGCAGTGGTTTCACGGCCGCATACAACAAGCTGGACAACCAGCAGCGAAAAGACCTAGCACTCCGCTCATCGCCGGATTTCAGCGGCGTCGAGGCGACAGAAAGTATGATGCGGTGGTTATGGGAGCATCAGTTCTCTGCTGTCGCTGGTGATGCGCCGAGCTTTGAGCGTGCGCCCATCAGAGGTGCCCATGCAGATCCGAATTTTAATTTGCATGAGTGGGTGCTGGCAGGTTGGGGAACTCCTATTGGGGAGATGTTTGATTTGGAGAAGTTGTCGGAGCATTGTAAGGCTACTAAACGTTACAGCTTTTTCTTGTCTAGTATGCCTTTGAAGGTTGGTCTCTATTGGTTGTTGTGTTGGGATTGTGCTAATTCAGAGTCTAGGTTATTGGTGGTGTGGCTAGCCCACCTAATGCATTTGCTATTTTCTAAATTTAATTTATCTACTGAAATGAATTATTTGAAAGATCTTTTACTCCAAAGTGTCCACAGAAATCCTGGCGGGATTGTGCCGCCGAGTGTGCCGCCGGGTGGAGAAGGACAACAACATCGCGAAGGACACTGAAATTGATAAGGTGCACAGTTGCACAGTGGGAAAGTTGGATCCGAGCCCCCCGTAGATGATCAAAAGGTATAAGTATATCCCTCTACAACCCCTCGATCCACACAAACCAATTCACAAATCATTCCATCTTCCCTTCTATACACATCTTCCAAGACACTCTCCATTTCTCGCCCACCATGCCCATCGAAATCCCCCAAGCCAACTCCCTTAAAGACCTATTCAGTCTCAAAGACAAGGTCGTAGTCGTCACCGGCGCATCCGGGCCTCGAGGAATCGGCCTCGAAGCAGCCCGCGGCTGTGCCGAGATGGGTGGCAACATCGCAATCACATACTTCACACGACGCGAGGGAGCCGAAGCAAACGCCAAAGCCCTACAAGAGGAGTACGGCGTCCAAGCCAAAGCCTACAAATGCGACACATCGAAATGGAACGAAGTACAAGAACTGGTCGCGAACGTGATCGCCGACTTCGGCAGGATCGACTCGTTTATCGCGAACGCGGGCCGTACCGCTGACGCGGGTGTTCTCAATGGCTCGGTTGAGGCGTGGGAGAATATCATCCAGGCGGATCTTAACTCGGTATTTTACTGTGCTAAGGCTGTTGGTCCTCATTTCAAGGAGCGTGGAAAGGGAAGCTTTGTGATTACTGCTTCGATTTCGGGTCATATTGCCAATTACCCGCAGGAACAGACTTCGTACAATGTTGCTAAGGCTGGGTGTATTCATATGGCTCGTTCGCTGGCGAATGAGTGGAGGGACTTTGCTCGTGTTAATAGTATCTCGCCTGGATATATTAATACGGGGCTTGGGGACTTTGTGGATGCGGAGACTCAGGAGGGTTGGAATAAGATGATTCCTATGGGTCGTCAGAGTGATCCTAAGGAGTTGAAGGCGGCTTATGTGTACTTTGCTAGTGATGCTAGCACTTACACTACTGGTGCGGATCTGCGGATTGATGGAGGTTATGTTTGTCGGTGAAGAGGATCTGTCTTGAAGATAAGGAGAAGCTGTTGTGTTGTCTGCTTTGTATTTAAAAGGTGTAATGAACAGGCCTCAAAGAAATACTACCGCTTCGAAGTTGTCACAGTGTCAAAGTTCCTCCATCAATAACAATATCAGCACCAGTAATGTACCGTCCCGCACGCTGACTACACAGAAGAACAACAGCTCCAGTAATCTCTTCAGGATCTCCCATCCGGCCCATCGGACAACGGGAATCCCAAATCTTCCTAACATCCGCCAAACTATCCCCAGCATTGAGAATGGTATCCATATATCCGGGACTAATACTATTCACTCTGATCCCATAAACAGCCCACTCCGCAGCCAGATTTCGAGTCAGATGCGCAACCCCAGCCTTGCTCGCATTATAAGCAGCCTGCGGCTGCGGGAAATTGGTATAGTGGGCAGAAATCGACGCAGTGAACAAAATACACCCGCCTTTGCCTGAGGATTCCATTCGCTTTGCTGCTGCCTGAGCGCAGAAGAAAGATCCGTTCAGGTTGACGTCTATCACTCTATTGAACTGGTCGGGTGTTACTGTGAGAGATGGGTGGCAGCCGGGGATACCAGCAAAGCAGCAGAGGATATCGATGCCTTCCATTGTCTTGTTTGCCTGCTCGAATGCGGCTTCGATTGATTCCATTGATGTCACGTCCAAGGGAATTTTGGTTATATTGGCAGAGGGAAACTCCGATGCCAGTAATTGGATTTGCTCTTCTGATGTCTCCAGGGTCCTGGGGAGATCCATGATACACAGTGAGGAAAGACCGTGCTCTAGGAGAGCCTGTGCGGAGATTATGCCTAGTGCTCCTGCTCCGCCAGTGACTATGGCTTTTCCGTAAACTTGAAATCGCGCTTCGGCTCGTGATAGAGCAGATGTAAAGGGTACTGGAGTGAGGGGGCGAGTGAGGGGACTTGATCCCTCCGACAAGATCATCATGGGAAGGACTCGGGAGGTTAGCGAGGCTCGCTGGTCCTCACTCGCTCCTGTTGAGGTGTCAGTAGACATATTGATTTTGTAAGATTGAATTTGACAAATCGGTGTTTAGCTAGAGATTAATGAAATAAGTTGGTTCTTGGGATTGGAGGACAAGACGGTTGACACTGGAAGAGGATGCAAGAAGTGGGAACCATTTGGAGAATTTGGGGTATCTGCAGCACAACGATTAATTATAGAAACGGGAATATTATTGGTGATCAGCGAGCAGTGATAAATTATGGAGTACGAAGCTCGAAATGGTTCAATTTGAAAGTACGTGCAGATGGGAACAGGCGGCTGCGAGGCGGGAGACTTCCGCCAAAGTGGGGGACTCGGGGAATTCATTGACATCTGAGCGGTGACAAGAGATCAGAGTGGGCTAATCTGACTGGAGCCAAGTGAACTGGTAGTCAAAGGTCCGAGACGGGGTCGCCCTTTCTTAATTCATTCTATATGAAGAACCAAGTTGTAGTTATAGCCTCTCGAATTTTATAAAAACAATCATTCCGCTAAATTACAACACATCCCCTTTTCCTACTCCTGTCCGAGTTCGTACTGTTTCTTCCGTCTTGTTCACGGAGCGACAGTCTTTAGGATGACATCTGTCATCGCCAATAACTTCTCCTCCTCGAGTCTGCGGCCAACCAGTTGCAGACTAACCGACATGCCATGTACGGACTCGGCAGAGTCTGATTCTGTCAGTATATGAACACGCCAAGACTTTAAGTATAAGCCACTTACAATCTTCTTGAATCTTCGCGTCCATCTCACTCAGTGCCTTATGGTCGGAGTATGCTGTATCAATAGCCTTATCGGTGTTTACACCACAAGGGAACGAAACAGCCGGATAATCGAGCAAGTTGAAGACACATGTATACCCAGCGTAAGCAAATTTGCCGTTCTCAACGCTGCTGTATGGAGTGGTAGGGCCTATAGAAACCGGTCAATAAAGAAGGCAGTCTTGCTGAGGCGGGCGGACTTACATAGAAGAGCATCAATACCAGTATCATTCCACCGATCCAGGTAAGCTTTGCAGAGAGCGTTGCGACGACCATGAATCTGCCACAGATCGTACACGCTTATTTCCTTTGCGTCCTCGTAGGGCTTCATTTCCGGGCGGAAAGGCTCCCCTGTTGGTTCGAGGAGATCCCGTACAGACTTTCCTCCGTCTGCGAGGAACAAGCGCCCGAGTATAATAAGCATCTCCATGTGTTCGGTCGACGGCCAGTTGACAATCTCGTGGCCAGCTGCCTTTAACTTCTCGACGGTCTCCTTAAGGGCACGAGCAACAGGAGGCGTTGGGGAAATGAATCCGTCGTCCCAGAGGACACCGATTTTGAGAGTCTTCTTTGGCTCTACAGAGCGCCAGGGGATGGGGACGCATTTCGGGTCACGGATCCAGGGTTGTAGGCCGATAATGGTGCTGGACCAGTAAACGATTTCTTCCAGAGTCTTGGCTATCGGACCGCTGACGCCAATCACGGATTCTTGGCCTTCTAGACAGGCGCGTGAGCGGGTGTTGGGGAAACGCCCGGCGGAGGCGCGGATGGTGAAGGTGCCGGTGCAGGCGGCTGGCATACGGAGGGAGCCACCTAGCAGAAACAATTAGCATTGTCTTTTGTGGGAGCTTTTCGGTGTTCATACATACCGATATCACTGCCGACGCCAAGTCGACTACCACCGAACGCAATCAAGGCAGATTCTCCACCAGACGAGCCTCCGGTGGTGAGATTGCGATTCCGTGGGTTGACCGTGCGGCCGAAAAGATTGTTCACAGACTCGGATATCATCATAGCGGTTGGGACATTGGTCTTGCAGTAGAGCACCGCGCCAGTTTCAAGGAGGAGATCGACAACCATGCTATTGTAGGTAGCAGGTTTGCCTACCAGGGACGTGAACCCAATAGTTGAATCAAAGCCAATGAAGTTGAAGTTATCTTTAAGAGAGATAGGCAGGCCGTGGAAGGGACCCTTTGTCTTTCCGGTTTGTTGGAAATAGAGATCGAGCTCCTTAGCCCGCGCGATGGCCTTGTCAAAGAATATTTCCGACAAGCAGTTTGTCTGGGTCAAAATTAGACATTGTTCAAATTGTATTTGGGAGAAAGAGTACCAATTGTTGGGCCACCGCCGCAGTCTTACAGAACGCCTTGGTCACCTCCTCCGACGTCCATGATCCCGAAGATAGATGAGATAGGATCGTCAGAGCAGAAATCGAAGTGATTTCCAGTTCGCGTTCAGTGAAAAATCCGGATTCCCGTGGAAAAGTGGTCACATCCAACTGATCTTCAGGGGGGAAAATAGCAGCAGGGATGACCCATTCGGCTGGAATTGAATTCTTGAGCGCTTGGCGCTTTGTGGCGGCAATTGATTCCCACGACATGATGATAGGGGCAGCACGGAGTAATGATGTTGATAACAGAATATCAGTATAGCTATAAGTATCGATGTATAGCGTTTTATATGTTAAACCTGGAAGTGGGTCCAATGTGGACCAATGTATACTACCGGAGGTTAATCGGACCAGAGGGTCAAACACGTGGATGGCGTGATTAGCACGTTCGGTTAATCATAACCCAGCAATCAACTGCCGATAACGAAGGGTAACTGAGACATAGACTAATATTTCCTCTTTGGGACTTAGTTCTTCCGGGGTCTGGACCTCCAATATTGATAAGCCGGGGCCATCTATGCTGCTAGAGCTGGATTTAAACCTCCAGGAAGTTATGCTCTAAGAATCACATGGATTTATGTATATAGGGCTAGATTTATGCTTTTAGAGCTAGAGTTATTCGTATACTTAGGGCAAAAGATCAATGAGTCAACACCATCCTTTAGCCCACCAGACTTATAGGCCCTCTAGATAAAATAACAAATCATTCATCATGTAGAGGTTCGATTCCTGCTTGGTGATGTAAAGTGACTTCATCTGGATCTTGGTCGTGTATAGTACGGTCTAGCATATGCTAAATGCCTTGGTACATCTTCGGCTTCCTTACCCAGAGCACTGCCGTTTTAAGCGACAATATCGCGAGCAGTGCTGATGGCGTTGATTGCATTTCATCTTGGCTGAACGATAACACCTCACAAGCATTTGTCCTCGGTCATCCTCATTGTCGTCCGAGAGAAACGGACTAGGAGTAGACCAAATCCTCACCGAATTTCAGGCAGCGGTGATTGACACTTGCACTGTGGCGAAGATATGCGATAAATAAAAATGGTGCAATTGGCACAAATTTACCCCAGGGTTATCACCTATACTTGATACGTGGACTCTGGGGTTCGTATTCTTCCCGAAGTAACCCCAGATGGAATAGTTGGACCCACCATCTCCAGGTCCGTCAGGCTTTATTAGATTAATTTCCCGAGGGCCAACCAGAAGCCCGGCAGATATCATCGTCACCGGCTGGGGCTATTGCGCCTTCTGACGCCTTATCTTCACACAGAGATAGGATAACTTCATCATCTAGACTTGATTAGAACAGCATTTGGATGCCAGCCAATATCAAATAGGGGTCCGTGATGAATATATAGACTTTGCTTGATACATATGTATCTCCCTTGACGCCCTATACAATACATCAAATCTTCATAACTATTCTACTCCTTTCACACAATTTCTATTTCAATTGGAAAACATCATGGAAGAGCATAGGCCAGACCCGGAGATGGGAGAGGAAAAGGACGAGCTTAAAGCCCAGGCGACTGAGGTTTTTGATTCCCACAACGAGAAAGCGTTGATGCGAAAAATCGACTGGCAGTATGAGATATTGTTCATTACTATCAGGGTAAAATTCAACTGACATGTATTCTTTTAGCATCCTTCCCATCATGTTCACTGCCTATATGCTCCAATTTCTCGACAAGACTGCGCTAGGTTATACTGCAATCTTTGGAATTCAGCAATCATTGGTATCTATATTTCATCATACCAAAGAATAACTACTGACCGTGAGAAAACAGAAACTAGTTGGTGACGAGTATTCATGGGCCTCTAGTGCATTCTACTTCGGTTTCTTGGTGGCATCATACCCGGTATCTTTATGCTTCGTCAAATTCCCAATCGCAAAATTCCTCTCTATTTCCTTGTATGTGGAGCAACTTCTATTCCCCAGACCTCATATTCCAAGCTCATAATGAAACCTCTAGCATTATATGGGCTGTGATCCTGGCGTGCCACGGTGCCACGTCTAACTTTGAGGGTCTCATATCCCTTCGTGTCTTACTCGGGTGTTTTGAAAGCACAATTGGCCCTGGTCTGTCCCTTCTCACTGGTCTTTGGTATAAACGGTCTGAGCATGCCTCCCGACATGGAATCTGGTTTGCAGGAAACAGCGTTTCGTCTATTTTTGGCGGACTGTTAACGTATGGTATCGGCCATATCAGCAACTCGGTTGAACCATGGAGGGTATGTTGCCCATAATTCAATCATTCCCTATGTATAAATCCCACCTCTGCCGAAGCTAATAATATACAGTGGATATTTATCATCTTCGGCATCTTGACCTTTGCATATGGAATTATCTTCTATTTTTACCTACCAGACAGCCCCCGGAACGCCCGTTTCCTTTCTAAAGAGGAAGGAGAGTTCATCCACCAACGTGCTCAGCAGGAATCACACACTGCAGTTTCGCACAAATGGTCAAAGAGCCAGTGTCTCGAAGCACTTATGGACCCGAAAACTTGGCTTATTTTCATGTACTCCATGGCGTCCAGCATCCCCAATGGAGGCCTCACAAGCGTAAGCACAACCAGACTGTATCTCATCAAGCCTTACTAATTCTTTATATCCTTCTGCAGTTTGGAAGTATTGTTATTGCAGGATTTGGATACTCGACTTTCAACACCCTCCTTGTTGGGTTACCCACCTCGGTGTTTACCCTCATCTGGGTGGTTCTGGCCACGGTCATTGTTACGAGATTCCGCAAATCACGCTGCCTCACCGCTGCTGGGTTACAGCTGATCAGTCTAGCCGGCTCTATTATGGTCTCTCAAATTGATCCCACAAAGAAAGTGTCTCGATTGGCTGGAATGTGGCTTTTCCCTGCGTATTCTGCAGGAGTTCCTATTGTCTTGAGTATCATTGCCTCGAACGTGGCTGGATACACCAAGAGGACGACGGTTACTGCAATGATGTTTATTGGAAACTGTGCTGGTAACATCACTGGTCCTTTCCTCTTCTTTGCTGATGAAATGCCTGACTATGGGGTGCGTGCTTCTACTTAATTCATGTCTGATGAAGATAAACTGACGACGAGCAGAGTGCCTGGATCGGAATTATGATTTCGCTGGCTATTGCCTTTGTCTCTATTCTTGCTCTACGTCAACTATTCCAGTTCCAAAACCAGCAACGCGACCGCCGGCAGAATGTCAAAATAGACCCTGAATCTCGCCAGGACTTTGAAACTGATGAGATTGTTGCACTCGATCGTGCACTCGACCAGGATGAGACTGATTGGGAGAACCAGAGCTTCCGCTATTATTTGTAGTGACCTTGCTTGTATCTTTTAACTTGAATATATCCTGAGATGCCGATGTCATTCAGGTCTGTACCTGATTCTTGTTCTATAATTCCTCGACCACTAGTATTCCCTGCCAAGATGTACCAAAATTGACGCTAGCCATATATGGTTAGCCCTTAATATTAGCCCGCACCAACCTTGGTAGCCTTCAAAGTATATCCCCACACACGTGATAATATGGTGACCAAGATTTTAGTAAAAAGGTTGGTTCCAACCAAGGTTTGAAGGGAGCTTAAACCGGTGTCCAAGGTCCGGGTTACATAGTAGCCATTTTCGGCAGCGGATTCACAGTCAATTAGAGCGTTGTGGTGTAGCAGAAAAAGCCTGAAATGCATCATAAAATTATGCTAAAATAATGGTCTATAGGAGGAGTTGAATATACAGTCAAACAGATCTAAAAGGCGAATCTATGGTTTTTTTTACAGAAGTGTCTTCCTTCCGAGGGTCATTACTCTCCAATCACGCAGTATTGTCGCAAGACCAACTTTTGGAACTGGAGTCTTCGTGAATTGCGACTCCTGACACCCATAATCCCAATCCGCACTGGAAAGAATTAGCCACCATAAAAAAAAATCAAGCAGGGTACCTACAATAGCAAAGGCAATAGCCAAGACCAAAGCATTGGTGATCGTCAAAACAGTCTTTTTCCAGTTCTGGAAGTAACGGCCCTTGTTCATATAGAACCAAAAGATTGCAGGGAGTCCGACTAATCACGAGTTAGCATTTGTTTAGATCTTGAGGGATCCAATAATGGGAAGGGGGTCAATCTTACAGCTGAACCAACTTCCAAAGACCGCACTCTGTCATTTCTGCATCAGCTAACGTTCCCAGTCAAATGCAATTTGATGAAAGACTTACAATCAGACTCAGCAGATCATTGAATACGGGAATGGACTCCGCCACGATCCAGGCAACGACCCAGACTGCGAGACAGATAGCGACCCAGGACCCAACTGACAGGAAGCTTCGGCTGTGCATCTTGTCGGATCCACGGAACATACGCACGTAGATGTATTTACACGCGACGTGACCCAAAACAACTCCGGAAAGAATGGTCTATATTTGATTAGTAAAGTGGACACAAAAGACAAGCGAAAGGATAAACTCACCGTTGGGATTGAAAGACCCCAGGCAATCTTGCTCATCAACGGGTTCAGGGAGAGAATGGCAGGCGATTGGACGTCCGGTCCCACGTAGTGATAGATGAGCAGTGCACTAACAAGGTACAAGACCGTGTCGACGATTTGAAGCATGGCGAGTGACTTGTTGAATGTGCGTGGGTCTTCTGTCTCAGAAATGAAACCAAAGTACGCAACGTGGGCAACTATAAGGTCGGTTTTTGGGTTAGCTCGGTGTACTTCGTCAGGTGCTGATGACCAGCATCATTTGGTGTTCCACTTACGGTAAGCGAAAATGATATTTGTCACCGCCAAAAAGCCCTCGCGGAAGCTGACATCCGTGGTGACCTCGTTTTTTATATGTCCTTTAGTCTCGACTCCCACGGTGATCATGGTCAACACCGTCGCAATAAAGACACTCAAGAATGCTTTATACTAGTTAGTTGAATTGTCCTCAAAGTTGAGCAGTGTCATGACTGCAATATACGAGGACTGTACTCACAAATGACGGACATCCAGTAGACCTTGTCCATAGTACGAGGCAAGGCGCCCAAAAAGCAGATGATCAGTCCGACGACACCAAACACCAACGTGCAGGTACCGTGATCGGTCAGTACATTCATCAGGATGTTGAACATCAAGATGTTGCTGGCCATGAGGAAGATCAACAGCAACAGCTGGCCAATTCCTAGCAACTCACGCCCGAAAGGACCCATCAAGATCTCGCCAGCATCTCCCATGCTGTGAACCTCTGGGTGACGAAGTTTGAATTGGCCAATGACATAGCCGGTATACCATGAAAGAGCAGAGACAAACAGAATCATGATAGCAGCGCTGTTCAACAATGTTAGCTGTGGGGCCTCAAAGGCGTCGACAGAAAATACATACGGGACCATTCCAAGGGTAGCCACTGCGGATGGCAAAGACAGAATTCCGACAGAGACATTCTCTGCGATCATGACTGGAATTAATGTTAGGAGCCGAAGCTTTCCATATGCATGATATCTCCGAGTTAGCTACTCACGCATGCCACAGTGCCTGTTCAAGGATGATTAGCCATGTCCATGATCGAATCCATAGTTTAAGTCATAAAATAATCACTTACCACCATTTCATAGTCCGATACTTGATCTCCGCTGTCTCCTCATTTCCAAAGGGCTCCAATTGCTTCGCGTCCAATTTTTTCTCCAAGTCCTTTTCGAGGGGTCCATCGACCTTGCCGTCCGCGGCATGCTTTTCGTCAAACATAGTGACTATTCACGGGACTTGTCAAGCCTTTAGACCCTAAATTGACAAAAAGCTTGATACTCTTAATATGTTTCAAAGACTAAAATCAATCGGGTAACCCCGGCCAAGCCCAAAAAAAAATCTCTGAAAGCGGTCCGGGGAACTCAGGTGGAGCCGAGAGTTTCCCGAAAAATGATCGGCCCGACACAATTTTATTACCAAACGCGGCCATGTTTACGGCTTCACATATAACGGAGTCTGAAGCGATGACCTTGAGGACAAATAACCTACTTATGTGCCTACTTGGCTATAAAGTGTATACCACCTCAAGAATGAAGCCAAATAAGGGCGGTAAACGGCCTATGTGTATGTTTAAAAGTCGCCTGGTGTTTTTGGAGAGGGGCTTTCATATGTAGCACAAAGTATCAATAGAGATGTACAGATCAGAGCGAGATCTTCTCCATATGAATCAAAGTAATGAGATTGAAAAGCAATCTTGGACGAGTTGATGAGTTGGTTTAAATTAATATCTTTCTATACATCTTAAGCTCTGAAGGACCCGAGGGCGTCCGGGCGGGCGGGAGTGTTGATTACTAAGGCGGGACAAAAGCGGGCCCTGGCGGAGTTTCCCGCCTTGTATCAACATCAGCATCAACACGGTCCATCTAGGTAGCTTTGATCCTTGAGATCCATATAACTTTACACCATGGAAAGTAGCCGCAAACGTGCTTCTTTAGCATGCAACTATTGTCGGAGGCGGTAGGTCTCCCTTACTCCCATCATCGCGTGTCCCCATGCTGATGGACAAACAGGAAACGCCGCTGCAATGGTGCGATACCCTCCTGCGCCCTCTGTGAGGATTCAGGTATTGATTGTGTTTATAATGAAGCTGATTCTTCGAGGTGAGGGACTCACCTTATTCAATGTTTTAGCAACATTGCTAAACTCCGACAGGCCTCGAGGAGAGACTTCCTCCTCGGAGTTCTTCCGCCGTCTTGATGCAATTGAGAACTTTCTATGGAGTCAACCGAGGCTCCCTCAAACACCCCAGACTAGCGAAACAAGAAATGGTGACTTTGCATTCCAATCGTCATCTGAGCATGAAAGAGCGGACTTTTCTCATCCATCCACCATGTTGATTTCGTCACCGTCGAGACCCAACCCAGCGGATATCTCCCAGCTTATCAGTGCAAATTCGTCTTCTTTCATACCACCTGAACATGACATCCCGCCCATGAGTATTCCAATCGGCCACACAACAACAACGGAATATATGCTGCATATCAACAAAGTAAAGACGCTCTTCGGGGAGTTTCCCCCAGACCTGTTCATACGCGCGGAATCGAAAAGACATATGCCGCACCAGTTATCTTTTGTTCCAGGTACAATCACAGCGAGTCAGCTGCCAATCCTCGATGAAGCAAGCACCTATCCGCTGGTGGAGGCATATTTCAAACACGTCCACGTTGAGATGCCAATCCTTGACAGAGACCAATTTTTGGGGCTTTATGATCACCATATTAGAGCCGGTCTGAGTATCGACGGTGACTCTACGCTATGTCTTGCAGTTCTTGCATTGGGATCTGCTGCACTCGAGCAAGTTGACCCGACAAAGTCCAGCTCTCCATACTGGGTGCCCGGGGCAGATTTCATTTCACCCGCGTTGCAAATATTGATGAACGAATATCTACTGTCATTTTGCCCCACGATCACTCTTCCCCAAAGTTTGATACTCATTTCGAAATATTTTGGGTTTCTTTTACGTCCCCTGCAATCATGGAAACTGATCCATATGGCTTCAACCAGTATCCAGTATTTGAATAGCCGGTTAGTTAATGCTCCCTGTCCATTATTTTTGTTTCAGCTATATTGATCAATACGCTGCTTGAGATAGAAGCCAAGCTTCGCCAGATAATCATGAGCTTAAGTCTAGCATCATCCTACTATCATGGGCAGCGTTCGACACTGAATGGTTGGTTTCTTGGTTCCATCTGGATAAGCCATGTTTATTATGCTAATATTGATGACAGTGATCTGATAGCCGAACACCATTTACCACGGAGTGGTATCGAACATGTGATTGATTTGACACCTTTTCCAGCCTTTGCAAACAATGACGCCCAAGAGACACACGTCTTCCTTGCCGAACTGTCCGTCCGTCGACTACTCAATAGAGTACATCACACCATGTACGGAAGTGATTGGACAAGGCGCAGCCTTGGTCTACAGCCAGCTTCAAGCGACAGCCCGTCGTATGACTTCCAGTCACTCTCTACAATCCTGAATGTCTCCCAAGAGCTTGACCGACAGCTCCACAATTGGTTTGACTTGTTACCACGTACAATTAAACCAGATATTAACGATTCATCTCGATGTACTGGCCTTCAACTCAACATGCTCCACCGCTTTCACTCCGCCAAGGATATCATAACCAGACCATTTCTTCTTTGTGCAATTGACTCGTTACCTGAAAATGATGTTCCACCTATGGTGCTCAAACAGTGCGAATCCAGTATAGCCAATTGTCGGGCGTATCTGGATGCCTCAGCGCGGAGACTGATGGGCCCGTCATTTTGTGCGGAGATCATTATCCATACGTATGTCCTCACGATACTTCATCCTCGAACTTGTCTCACATTTCATTCTTATAGGATGTTCTCTTCTATTCTTCTCCTGACCCTAGCCTCTGTTTGTCCGGCTTTGGCGCACTTGGTACCAGACATTGATACTCTGCAGAAGAGCACGATAGACAGCATCGAGCGATTTGCCGTGGATGGCTCTTCAATGCAGGAGATTCATGGGATCATTGTACTATTGCATAGTAAAACACGAGTTCTCAGGCGGGCGATGTAGCCATCTTCATTTTGCACTTCCTATTCTGAGTCAGGATAAGCAGCCAGCCTCGCTTCACGAAATCTGTACAACACCTCAGTGGTATTGGGAAGATCCATCATTCTTTTGCTCGAATATAGTTGCCTGTGAATTGGCAACGCAGTCCAGCTAGACTGTGTTGAAGGGCGGCCCCGCGGCGGATGATCCCGCCTGATGATCCGCACGGCCGTTGAAGTCATAGGGCCTGTAAGAGTCAACATCATATTTTCCTACAAATCAACAAGTCTAACCGGGAAAATACTGAAACAGATACACGGCTTCTTAATCTCTATGATATTCCAAACGAGAACTAAACATCAATTCTGATATACTGACCTGCCTGTATAGATGGCACGGGCCCAGCGGATGAATATTGATCCAGCCCCACGTTGCTCCACGAAGGGATGTCGTCCCAAGGCTACCGCGAAGAGCTGGCATTGCTCTTCGGACCAAGCATGAATCAAATTCCGCTGGTCCAGGGTGTACCTAGATCCCAGTGTGACCACTTCTGGGTATGAACATGGACCCCTTGCTTCGGCTCGCACCCGGCTGACCAATCTAGGACTCACATAATGCGTGGTTATCACCTTGTGCATTGCCCTACCTGGCATGCATCCCAGCAATTGTTGTATTGATTATTGCATTGAGCCATATACTTAAATACTCATGCCAGCGATGGCGCCCCAAGTGGACTGTTCCTTTTGTTTCCGAGAAACAAGATACACAAGAGCTCCCGCTAGATCAGCCCAAGCAATCATTGCGATGGACTGCCTCTCTTCTTATATTTTCGGCTACTGGGCTTCTAGCTGAGACAGTTCAATTTGTTCCTCCGAAGGTTGACGCTTCGGCTTTTGTGCTTGTTCTCTCATGGGTCGGTTATCTTCGTCTCTGGGAGTATCGGCTACTGACACCTTTTAGGCCACAGCATCTATTCTGGTCGCAGTCAAGCGGCCCAGATCATGTTCCATCTCGATGCTCGCGTATTATGCCTTAGCATTTGCAATTGAACTTTCTTTGGCGACTCACCCAGATGTATCCCCGAAATTCAAAGTTGTTGCCCGCTACATTGCCACAGCGGCAGCAGCAGCAGCCTGTGCAACAATCCTCCTAATGCCATTCCGCGAACCTTCGTTGTCATCAATAGATATCAGCGCTGTTGGTCAACAGCCATCCAATGACTTCCGCACACCAGAAGATAATCTGAAGCTTTGGCAGTTCCTCACAGTATCGTGGATGGCACCGCTTATCTCAACTGGGCTCAAAAGACAACTGCATGAACAAGATGTTTGGTTGCTTGGATTTGACTTTCAACACAGCCGCCTACATGAAAAGTTTCGTCGACTTCGTGGTTCTGTTCTCAGTCGACTCTTGAGGGCCAATGGAATTGATGTCTTTATCATCTCTACCATCTCGCTTGTCCAGATGATATGCGGTATGGGAGATCAGACTTCCTTTTTAGTTTTATGTTGCTAATAATACTCACAGACTTCTCTACTCCCATTTTGTTGCAGCAACTATTGCAGGCCATGAAAGACCCATCTCGACCCAAACGCGTACCTTTGACCTATGCTTTCATGTCCTTCGCTCTTCGACTCGTCGCTGCACAGTCTCAAGTGTTACTTTTGTGGTATGGAAGACGATCCTATGAACGGTCGAGGGGTGAAATGATCATGATGGTCTATGAAAAGGCCCTTTCACGAAAGAACATCTCTGGACTGATGATCGAGGGCAAATCAGGACCACCCGACGAGGAAACAAATGGCATCAATGATGAGGCCGCAGTTCACGAGACCCATCAACCCCAAACCAAACCCGTGGAAGGTTTCTGGCAACGTATCATTTTTCGCAACCAAAAGGCCCCACAGAAACAGGCCAAAGAAGCTGCATCACTTGGCAAAATCTTTAATCTCTTGCGCGGAGATGTTTATGAGGTTGCACAGAGGTTCTGGGAGATCGACTCGTTGATTGACAAGCCCCTAGGACTCGTGATCGCTACCTTCCTTGTCTGGACACTCTTCGGTCCTTCTTGCTTCCTGGGAATATTAGCCGTTCTTGTTGCACAGATTGTAAATGCGCTGGTAACCAGAGCTCTCCTCCGCTGGGAACGAGTCAGACGGGTGGCAACGGATACTCGGCTCCAAATAACCTCACAGTTCGTGGAAGCAATCCGTCACCTACGATGGTACGGGTGGCAGAATCATTGGCTCCAGCAGGTAATGGAGGCCCGACAGCATGAGTTGAATATTCGGATTGTGACTAGTCTGTGGAGTATCTTGATTCGCTTCATCAACGCTTTCGCTAGCGGCGTTTTTCCAGTAGTTGCGTTGTACGCATATACCTTTTTGGCCGGGCATGAGCTGCGGATTGATATTATCTTTCCCGCATTGCAGCTATTTTCCATGCTAGAGACCCGTCTTCGGGATATTCCTGGTCTTATCACATCACTTATCAATGCCTTCATTGCCCTCGGGCGTATCGAAGACTTCATGTCCGAACCAGACAAGGAGAATCTGCCCTCTGAACCCATGGCAAATGATACTCCACTCTCGATGCACTCTTGTTCATTTGCATGGCCAGGAAAGCTCTCACCAGTCCTGGTTGATATCGATGTCACCATCCCGAAAGGACTGACTGTTGTCACTGGCAAGGTCGGTGCTGGTAAAACCGCGTTTCTGCAAGCTCTTTTAGGAGAACTCGATAGACTTGGCGGCTCAATCCATATTCCAAATGAAATGGTGGGATACTGTGCTCAAACACCATGGTTGCAAAGCATGAATATCCGTGATAACATTCTATTCTCCGCTCCCTACCACGACCAGCGCTACAAGCGGACATTGGAAGCCTGCGCCTTGCTTCCAGATCTTGCTCAATTTAAACATGGCGATTTATCGTTCGTGGGTGAAAATGGCATTGGTTTATCAGGTGGACAAAAAGCGCGAGTAGCTCTGGCAAGAGCTGTCTACAGCGCATCGCGGGTTCTCCTTTTAGATGACCCTTTGTCTGCGCTGGACCACAATACCGCGGAACTGATAGTCCGCAAATGCTTCTCGGGGCCGCTGATGAAAGACCGAACTATCGTTCTAGTGACGCATCGAACTATGTTGGTTCGTCAAATTGCCGATCAAATTATCAATATTTGTGACAAACAGGCCTCTGTTTACGACAAGGATACCATCAAACTTGACGTGGTCGAGTCTTCCCTGCCGTTTATCGACCACGAAAGCGAAACAGAAGAGGAAACTACACTCGAGGAGGAGACAGCTGCCGTGCCTGATAAATTCATCGAGGACGAGCATCGAGCTGACGGTGGTGTCAAGGCTCGAGTCTACTGGAATTATATCAAGGCTGGAAAGTACCGATGGTGGCTTACACTCGTCCTAGTCCTAGCAATTTATCGACTAATGGCTGTCGGGCAATCATGGTTCCTCAAAGGGTGGGGAGAAGCCTATGAGCAGACAACTGTTCTTCGAGGGGATCTCTCGGACTTGAACAATGGGTCATCGCAAGGCTCCTGGTCAGTCTCGAACTTAAACATAGACACATACTTTATGCCTCAAAACCCTATGAACCAACTGCCGTCTCCGCGTGAGGATGTGCGACCCTGGCTATGGACATTTTTCGCCATCATCTCTTTCCAAGCGGCCACACTTCTTGTCGCTCAACTTCTAATGCTAGTCATCGTCTATTACGCTGGGCAGTCCTTGTTCCGACGGGTCTTGGTCCGAGTTAGCCATGCGACCTTCCGATACTTGGGTAAGTCCTAACTCTACTATAGCTTGACTCAACTGGACAAAGCTAATTAATCATTCTAAAGATACAATCCCTCTCGGGCGCTTGATGAACCGTCTCACGTCTGATATTGGAGTCGTGGATGGCAACATTAGTGAGCAATTCCAGGTGATTGCGTTCCAGGCTATCACTTGGATCTCTTCTGTGCTGGTAATCGCCACCGCTACCCCGGTGTTCTTGTTGTTCTCCCTAGCTCTCACAGTCGCATTTGTCCTGGTATTTCTGCGTTTCCTTCCCACATCTCAGAGCCTACGACGACTCGAGATGGTGTCCCTAAGTCCTTTGTTGTCCAACTTCGGCGAGCTATTGCACGGTCTGACCACTGTTCGGGCTTTCCATGCAGAGTCGCAGTTCCAGAACCGGGTCATATCTGTGGTTGACAAGTTCCAGGGAATGGACCACTTCTACTGGTCGCTCCAGAGCTGGCTCATGTACCGCTTTGAGAGCCTGTCCGCTTTCTCGACATTTTGTCTAACAGCTCTGGCTTTGTATACCAATACCACACCAGGACTGATAGCATTTGTGCTCATTGCTGCTAATAACTTTGTCGATTCCACACATGCATTGTGCAAACAGTATGGCCAACTTCAAATGGACTTTGTGTCAGTGGAGCGAGTCGACGAGTTACTCCACATCGAAGAAGAAACCCCTGGGACCATCGCTCCCCCAGCCGCATGGCCAAGTTACGGCAGTGACGTTGTCTTCGAAGACGCAACTCTCCGCTACGCACCACATCTCGATCCCTCGCTTATAAACGTCTCTCTTCGCATTCCTGGGGGCTCTACTACAGCGGTTATCGGCCGTACTGGCAGCGGCAAGTCCACACTGGCAATGTCGCTTCTGAGCGTCATCAGACCTGAATCCGGTCGCATCCTCATCGACGGCATCAATATCGCCGATGTCAACACACAAGCATTGCGCACTCGAGTTACCTTCGTAGCGCAAGATCCTGTCCTCTTTCCTGGAAGCATCCGGCTCAATCTAGACCCGACGGAGGATTATTCCGATGAGCTATGCACTGAAATCCTGGAGCGTCTGTGTAGTCGGCACGGGTGGCATCTTGGGACCCATATTGAGGCTGGAGGAAGAAATCTTAGCCAGGGTCAACGGCAACTTATCGCTTTGACACGGGCTGTCCTTCGTCGAAGCGCAATTGTCATTCTCGATGAGGCGACTGCTTCTGTTGATCATGAGACTTCTCTTGAGATTCAGCAGATTATCCGGGAGGAGTTGCAGCAGTCTACTGTCATTACGATTGCGCATCGCATCGAAGCTGTCAAGGATGCGGATTACTTTGTAGTCTTGGATCAGGGGCGGGTTTCGAGACAGGGACATGTGCGGGACTTGTAGAGTTGGCATTTATCGATCCGAACCAGCGATCGCGGTCATCGGTACATATTAAAAATATTCGCATATTCGAAGTCGAACAACCAGAATATCCCGAGTAAAAAGCCGAAAATAAGCGCTCTAGTAGATGAGCGACTTCGTGTATAATTTCTCAAAGGGGTATATAATCTTTACAGCTTGGCACCGCCCTGGGCCTTCTTCAGGATAGGCTCCATCTTGGTCGCCTTCATGATGTTACCCTTAATCTTCAACTTGCCGCCCATGAACAAACGCTGAGCGTTAGCCTTGCCGGAAACGAGCTGGCTGAAATCAGCATCGGAGAGAGTGAGGGTCACTATTGACGAGAGAAATTAGCATATGTGAGAAAGAAAACACGGCGCATCAACACGCGCAGATCAGGAATGTAGACTCACCATCAGCCTTCTCGCCAGCAGGGGCAAGACCCTGGCCAACCTCTCCCTTGTTCTTGAGGTCAAGGTACCAGGCAGCCTCCTCGCCACTGGAGTTCTTCAAGTTGAAGACGAAAATGGCCTTGGCCTTGCTGAGGGCATCCTTGCGGTCGGCTTCGTTGGCCTGGAGCGTCTGGTTGATGACGTCGAAGGCAGCGGACGAGGGGTGGGAATCTATTTTCATTAGCTGGTGTTCTCACTTCTCATGATAAAAACAGGGGGTATACCTTTCTTGAGAGACATGGTGAATATGGTAGTACAAGGTGATGTGCTAAGTCAAGGCGGATGACCGAATATAAATGACCTTTGAAGGAGCATGTGAACTGACTTCACGTGCCGAGGCCCCCAACCCACATTTTCTCCACACCGAGGGAAGCTCTGTGTCTGTGATTCTTCTGTCGTGCTCTTGGCATGATCTTTTCGCTCTTTTTCTTCTTGATTCTCTGGAATGCAGCCCGGATTTGACTAAGATCTGCAATTTCTCTTACGGAGTACAGTTCACAGTCTGAGTCGGCTCTCCCAGTCTTCCCCGTGTTGACGGTTCCCCCCACGAATTTTCCCCCCGACTCCACATAAACTGCGCTTATGTTGCATTGGGACCTGAAGTTGCACAAATGCGGTATTCACCGCGACACTATTAAAATGATTAGCCTATGCCAATCCTTCCTCGGAGGTTGCGAACCCCTTATCGACGTCACCGCCAACTAAACACCGAAGACCGCAGCAGTCGCTTCATATGATCCGGGCTCCCCAACAGCAGCTCGCGTGTTCAGGACCGTGCTTTAGCCAAGCTTCTCAACGTCCTCGGGCCCTTTTGCTGCTGTAAAACACAAATCGCCTTCTGTAATTGTTTCTGGCTGACTCCCGCTGGACTCAATACTATCGGCACATCCACGGTGTCGGTGGCACGCTGACCTTGCTTCCATCCCTCGCTGCCGCCGAGTCGTGTCAACGGCGCGAGCGCGTCGTCCCAATTGCCGCTACGGAGCACCACATGTTCGAAATTGAACTCGCGCAGAGTACTCCGGTGCTCCTGGATAAAAGATGCCACTTGCGACGCGTCCATTGTTGCATTGACCAGCTCCATCTGCTGAAGATATTGGAATTTCAATGGCCGCAAGGGTAACGCGCATCGCAGGGGACGGGCTTGGGCTGGCTTCCCTTTGGCTGCGCTGTTGAGGCTTGGCTCTGTTGCAAGCGATAGGGGTGAGCGGCCCCTCTCGCCTTCCCAATAAAAAACCAGTCTTTGCAGAGATGGGAAGCTTCCTATGTATGCATGGAGGGTCTTGGGGTGGTCTGTCGGTTGACCTGGCCCATAGGCGAAACATGTCATGTGGACTGAGCTTGCGGATCTGGGGCCAGCGCTTGTAAGATGCAGGCGAAGCACCGAATCCTAGAGCTGGACGCAGGTAAAGGACCGCTCCTGGGTGGACTGATAACAATGACATAGTGTGGAGATCTTTCAATGGTGCTTGTTCGATTGCCATTCACAGTGAGATCAATGTATAACCTACTACACTTCGACGGTAGCGATAGCTTGGTACTTGACCCTCGCAGGAGGTTCGCAGATGTTGCAAGCCGCTCATCATCGTCAATGCTTGGACAAATGATGGGATGTTGGTAGATGCATGGAACAGAGGCGGATACTTCTTGACTAACAGCTCTGTCATTTGTCGGCTACCATACCTAGGGCTACTGCTACCAAGCTGGCACCGTTGTGGCTTGTAAATGAAGATCTGTTCTGTTCCCATGATTGGATCCAGGATTGGAGGTAACAATGTCTCCTTGTCATGTGAGATCTTAAACGTCATGGCCCGGACGTGTCCCCCAATGCGCTTTAGAGCTGCCATCCGCGATGGCCTGTTGAAGGTGCTGCTGCGAAAGCGGACTTCAATGTCCGCAAAGAAGATTGGTGCGAGATAGACGTCGAACTTGCGACACACTAGACGGCATGCAGTGAGGTCCTTGTTTGCTAGATAGCTCGTGAGAACTTGTTGGACGCGCTTGGTCTTCCATGGTCGAACCAGTCCCTGTTCTGACGCCATGATTCATCGTTGGTTCCTGTAGAAACACTGAGACAGCGAGTACTATGTATATGGTTGGTAGTAGAAGTAGATAGCTGCGTATTTCTCAATTGCTCCAAATCAACATATACAAACAGAATCTCCTGTCTCCAGACCTTACAATTGAAACATAGCGTTTATTCCCCCCGATTTACGTTTCAGCTACGTGTCAAAAGACATTTTCCCAGCTTAGCTTGCACACCCACCTCGGCCTAGATATTGGAACCAGTTGTAGCTTGAGCTGCACGTCAAATGTTGTACTCCTACTTGTCTTATAACATGTGATTTGACAATTCCTCCTTCGGCCCAGGCACTATATGAGTCATAGCAACCTCTCTCAGTCATAATCGAAATGCTGGAACTACTCCGAGATGGCTGAAACTAGAACTATGTAGATGGTGCCTTGGGTGTCCAGTGCCAAATTTGGATAGTAGGGCAAGTGCCGTCTAGCCCTGTATTTAGCTTGTTTGGCGCGTGACGCGCATGATCGCGCATAATCACGTGCGATAAGAGCGCGTTCATATCAGTGAAAGATTGTGCTACCATGCAGGGAAATGAGTAGAATTACCTACTTACTTCTAGGTATTTATGTCTATGTTACTAAAGAATATCTTCTGTAAGACATCACTGCCTGTGTACGACACATAACAATGAATAAAATCATTGTGTCTGAAAGAGGCTTAAGTTAAAGGCCCCCTCGTGGAACCTTGGCAGGTACTCACAAGTACCGGGGAGGATAGCGACTATGTTGGACTTTGGTCCTATTGGTCTTCAACATTCACCGCTCATACCTCCGCCTTCTTTGAAGTCAATTCTAACACTATATACATATAGAGTACTCGAGTTGTTATAGTATCAACCTGATAAGCCGTTTTTCTAGATTGATAGTGAGTTAGTCATTTATATGTGCTTTTTGAGCTCTCTTTTTCAAGCTCTTTTTAAATGTCTTTTTAGACGTCTGTTCACTATCTTCTAAGATGTCTCTTTATAGATAGCCAATTTTCTGCCGGCAATAAAAGTCAATATGACCCAAGTCCCCGGTGGTCGCTATGCACTACGATAGATGATGACATCTTGGGCGAGAACTTCAACTTCCCCCGCAAGGTGAATATCTCGACCCCGGGGCCAGCTGAACGGTCGCAAATAGCATCAACTCTCGTGCCTGCGCCATCGGATCTTTTGCACTATAAAAAGGAAGACTCTCTCGTTTCTGCAATCGCCATCTCTTCGCTCCTGAGGCCCCTAAATCTGCTCCGTCATCCACGGATTCTCCCCAGTGAGTTGTCGATAGTACTCGATGTAAGTCTACATCCTCTGCAAATACCCGGATTAGGCAGCAGAGAGACACAGTATGATGAATTGCGTCTATACCTCCTTTCTCTTCCGCACTGTCTCATCTGCCACTACCCGGCTTCTGCCTGGCTGTTTGCTGATCAGAACCCAAGTTTCGCTGACAGACTCTCTCAGAATACTTCGCTCTTCATCCTAGGCGCCCACTTGATGTGGTAGCTCTCTTGATATCGGACTTTACCTTTTGTCCTAGCCGTCATACCCATCGTCATACCCACCCCGCCACGCTGTCAACGATCGAGATACTTTGGTCTTGGAAGGTTTCATGGTCAGCGCCAGGTGCTCTTGAGCCATGGCTTCTTCGGCCGATCAGTCCCAAGAGGACAAAATCAAAGATCTTTTAGAAGATCTCGATACCTACAGATACATCTACGATGATCTCCTCGCGACACGGGGTGCCTGTGCAGAAGCAGATGAGCTTCGCGATACCATCAGAAAAATGGAAGTCCAGGTTGCCGCGCTCCTAGGTGATCCTGTTCCTGCCCCTCAAGCCGCCCTGACACCAACACTTCAAGCGCCGTCGCCCACTCCACTAGTCCGGACACCTGTGGCTGCGCCTCCACGCATGGGGTCGAGTACTTTCACTGGGATCCCCGGAGATTCATTTGCGTCCCCTCACTGGCCTTCTGCTGCGCCCTCTCCTTTCGCGTCCGGGTCCCGCCATTCGACCGTGCTGCCGAATTCACCGATAACGCAACCTTCTCCAGAAAATTCTCGTAAACGCCAGCGTCCACTATCTCACATCTCGCCCACGATACAGGGATCATCAAAAAGGCTTGCTTCCTCGCAGCCTGCATCTCGCAGATCTCAACTCGATGCGATAGATGCTGAACAAGCAGCCCGCCTTGCCGAGAATAAGCGTTTGTACAAGCAATGGATTGATGCGGCAGGTGACGATGCAGATCAGATAAAGGAACTCCGAGAAGAGTGCGATGAGCAGGCGAAGTTGATTGAAACAGAGTTTCAAATGGAACGAGACGCGGAATTGGCTCGCGCGCTCCAAGCCGATGAGGATCACAGCCAACTCCCCATGGAGGGCTTTAATGAGCAGGATTCTTGGAATCTTCCAGATCGCACTCAACCGGTAAAACTTGAACCTATTTCATCAAAAGCCATTCGTGCCCCTCAAGCATATCCCCCGATAGCCCCATTCAATAAACTCACTCCATTCAATTCCGACGATGAGCTCCAAGAAATCACAGCTGATTCATTCAATTCTCGATTCGGCAAGCAGCCTGCCCGCCAATCCGGTTCCTTCAACTATCCTCACCTGCCATCTCTCCCTTCAACATATTCCAAATCACCATACTCCTCACAGGCTCCCCATCCTTCGCAGATGCCATATCCCTCCCAGTTGACATACCCCTCTCAAATGGCCTATCCATCTCAGTTGACATACCCCTCCCAAATGTCATACCCTTCTCAAATGTCATATCCTTCCCAAATGGCATATCCCTCCCAATTGGCGAATTCCTCACAAGCTTATCCCTCATCACCAGCTTCCTCCCGAGTTCTTCCATGGAAGCGCGAGGCTCCATACTCTCCACTGCCGGGTGCCTTTGATAAATTTGACAAGTTTGACAAGGCGTTTGACCTGGTTCGCAATCAAAACGAAATATTCGATGATGATGCCGACATAGTGTATGTTCCGCGTCTTTCTTTTAACTCAGCTAGGTCTGTCGCTAACTCATTGGAAATAGGGCCTACAACGAAAAAGAGTTCCCTGAAGATATCAAAAACTTGCTTAGCGGTATCAAAGACATTCGGGAGGCAACTAGAGCGGACAATGAGGAGACACCAAGTGCACTTCGAGTCACATTGATGAAGCACCAGAAGATTGGCCTGAAATGGATGAAAGCCAAAGAAGAGAGCAATCACAAAGGAGGAATTCTTGCAGATGACATGGGCCTTGGTAAGACTATTCAAGCGATTGCACTAATGGTTGCTCGTCCATTCGAAGATGAAGACCGACGCCCGACTTTGATTGTCGCGCCCAAGGCACTTATGGATCAATGGAGACTCGAAATCCAGCGCCATGTCAAGCCAGGGAGACACCAATTATCGGTCTTGATCTACCATCAACGGCGCAGGCCCTGGAAGGAGCTCAAAAAGTACGATGTCATCATCACGACGTTCGGTACCATTACTGCGCATTACAAAACATTGCTCCAGGCGGAAAAACTGGCAGAGGAAGGGAGGGATCCTTCGATAATTCAAGACTTGAAAAATATGTCTGGTCCTCTCAATCCTGCCGCCAAGTGGCACCGAGTCATTATCGATGAAGCACAGAACATCAAGAATCCAAGCGCAAAATCCTCAACAGCATGTTGTCGACTCAATGCTACCTACCGCTGGTGTCTGACTGGTACGCCCATGATGAATCGTCTCGAAGATTTCCAGTCCCTATTAGGATTCCTCCGGATTCGGCCTTATAGTAACCCAGCAAAGTTCAAGGCGGTTAGTACTATATAGCTCACTATTGATGGTTTTATGGGTGACTAAACTTTATCCTTTTTGCAGGACTTCGTGAAACGCATCAAATCTGGCTGGGGAGGGGAGGATGTTATGAAGCAACTACGCGTCCTAGTCAAGTCTGTCTGTCTCCGACGTACAAAATCCTCCAAGATTGATGGCGAGCCCATCTTACAACTCCCACCAAAGGTCACCGAAAAGGTCCATGTTGTGTTTGATGAGAGGGAAAGCCAGGTTTATGAGGAGCTCAATACGACCACTCAAATGCAAATCACCCGATACCTCGATTCCGGCACGCTGGGAAGAAACTACAGCCATGTTCTAGTTCTCCTTCTCCGCCTTCGGCAGGCTTGTTGCCATCCACTCCTCATGCAGGAGTTCCGCAATGAACCTGCCCCGTCTATCCCAGGGGTAGATAAGATCGCTAACGCCAAGCTTCTCAGCGCTGCTGTGGTGCAGCGTATCTTATCAAATGACGGAGAAGAGGATGGCACCTGTCCCGTCTGCATGGACAGTGTCAAAAATGCTACTATTTACATTCCATGTGGACACCATGTGTGCTCGGAATGCTGGATCCGCATTTCCGACTCTGCTACTACAAACGGAGCCATCAACCTCGAAGACGATGGTCCAGCTGTGATCAAGTGTCAGAATTGCCGAGGTCCTGTGGACCCTGCGAAGCTCACCGACACCAATGCGTTCAAGCAGGTTCACGATCCAAGCTCAATGCCTGAATCTGCCGCCGGAGCCGCCGACACCAACGGGGTCAATGACGACGAAGACTCAGAAGCAACAGCGAGCAGTGATGAGACTGACTCCGATAGCTCTACTGAAGGGGGCGAGGGGGCATCAAAGAAGAAGTCCAAATCCAAGTCTCTGGCCGAGCTGCGAAAGGCCGCCTTGAGAAACAAGGCCGAGAAGAAGAAATACCTTCGTCGCCTCGAAAAGGGCTGGTTCCCCAGCACAAAAATCACCAAGACTCTAGAGATCCTCCAGGCCAATGAAGACCGCGGCTTGGAAGAGAAAACTATCATTTTCAGCCAGTTCACCTCTCTCTTGGATCTTCTCGAAGTCCCCCTCGCCCGCCGCAGCTGGAACCACACACGCTTCGACGGCAGCATGAACTTGAAGGAACGCAACGCCGCCGTGACGGCTTTCACCAACGATCCCGCCTGCAAGATCATGCTCGTCTCCCTCAAGGCTGGTAACTCCGGCCTGAACCTCGTCGCCGCCTCGCATGTCATCATGTTCGATCCTTTCTGGAACCCATACATTGAAGACCAGGCTGTTGATCGTGCCCATCGCATTGGGCAGGTTCGAGAGGTTTTTGTTCACCGTCTGCTTATTGAGAATACCGTCGAGGACCGCATTGTTACTCTTCAGGACCAGAAGCGAGAACTGATTAGTGGTGCTCTCGATGAGGGTGGTACTATGAATGTCTCCCGACTGGATGCGAGGGAACTTGCTTATCTCTTTGTAAGCTTTTACTTCTATTCCTTTCACATTTTCTACTTCCTAGGATCTTTGCTAACCAGTTATCTATTACACAGGGTGTGAGGGACTTGTAATCATTCTTGATTGCAGTCCTGCTGGATGATCTCGATCTCAAAGACTGGGGATGTCTGATGATATGATTCCTATTTCATTTACTGCCTGCCATATCCAAATTATAGGTGCTTGGCGCAAGGATTTGTTCTTCCTTTGCTTTTTTTTCCTTTTTCCGGAGGCTAATGATTGCTATACCCTGGCGTTGTCCTCTTTGTCTTGTGGAAAGATCGTTGTGCTCTTCAATAATGTCTGAAGGCCACCCTTGAAGAGACTTTTTTTTAGGGAATTTCCTCTTTAATATTTGTGATTCAAGTAGTTTCTAATATTCAACTTGAGATTTGCAGAAATCTAAATGTATCTGTTTTGAATAGATATTCATGAAAAAAAAGGAAGGCTTAAATCTTGTTGAAAGAGGACATGCTTTTTTGGATGCTGTGCTCGTTTCGGGAAAAAAGGACAATTGGGATGTAAGTGTCTAAGCTACTAAGGTTGGGGGAAATCAAAAAGGAAAAAATGCATGTGTCTTCAAACCACGACTATCCCCCATCCGCTTTCATTGTATCGTGATTTCGGAGAACTTTGCTTTTGCAAAACCCAAACTAAAAAAAGAGCAATCCCCGGGGGTCGTATACTTCCTGTCTCCCGTCGGTCGTGAGATGGGACTCGGGGGAACGTGGGGGAGAACAGGGGATAGCGACTCCCAACTTTCATTTCGGAAACTTCGTGGACCCGTCGTTGAGCGCACTGATTTACAGGTCGGCATCGTCCTCGTCGGGGAGGGGCTGGTTGGCGGCCTCCTCCATCTCCTTGCGGTAAGCCTCGAGCTGCTTCTCGTCGACGGTGACCTCGGGGGGAGCAAGGGCAATTCCGGCGACAAAGTCCTAAAAGATGATTAGTATCGGTTCGTGATCGAATGAGGGTAAAAAAATGACGTACGAGCTGGGGGTTGCCAACAAGCTTGCGAGCGAGCCAAAGGAAGGGCTTCTCGAAGTTGTAGTTGGACTTGGCGGAGATATCGTAGTACTGAAGGTTCTTCTTGCGGTGGAAGGTGATAGTCTTGGCCTTGACCTTGCGCTCCTTCACGTCGACCTTGTTACCGGTGAGGACGATGGGGATGTTCTCGCAGACACGGACGAGATCACCTAGAGTTTGGTTAGTCAAAAATGATCGGGATGAGGATCGGTGGACGATGAGAGAAGGAATCACTCACGGTGCCAGTTGGGAACGTTCTTGTAGGTGATGCGGGAAGTGACATCGAACATGATGATACCACACTGGCCGTTGATGTAGTAACCATCACGGAGACCACCGAACTTCTCCTGACCAGCGGTATCCCAGACATCGAACTGGATAGCACCGTAGTTCTGTTCAAGTCGGGTTAGTTGAAACGATCACAGGATGGCACGGTTCGAAGCGGGGTTCTTCGGCGGGGTATATGCATACGGTGTTGAAGTTGAGAGGGTGGACCTCGACACCAAGGGTGGCGATGTACTTCTTCTCGAATTCACCAGTCAAGTGACGCTTGACGAAGGTAGTCTGTTGAGGTTCACTGTGTTAGTAATGAAGTCGCGGTGAGGCGGGGCCGTTGGGCAGATATTTAGTATTGTTGACAGGCGCGGGGGCAGATGGTCACAAAGGAGCAGCTCAGTATATCCATGAGGATGATGAGAAGACCATCGCTGAGCAGATGGCTGACTCTCTGAGCCCATGCCCATCAACAATCAGATATCGATGTTCGAATGCGCTTACCTTTCCAGTACCACCGTCACCGACCAGGACGAGCTTGAATGTGGGGGTCTCGGCGGCCATGATGAAAATCAGTTAAATAGAAACTTGAAGAAAAGAAAGTTTCAGATTTCGCGCCGTAGAAATGGGGGCGGGTTGTTGATAAAACGGAGGGGTGAAAGAAGGGGAATGAATTAATAGCGTTGGATGGAATTTTTGCCCCGTTGCTGGGGGTCACGTGCATGTATGCCTGAGGCGTTCTGACGTAGTCAACCTCTGTGGATGGCGCAAACTTATTAAAGGTCGCTACTTTGAATACCAATTTTTATTCCAGATCAAAGGACATGTTCGTGATGAGCTCTATTTATAGTTTTTCTAATATTGTGTTATTGGAATAAATTCTGGTGGCCAAGCTATCTTCAACGCCGTTGTGATGCATACGGTTGATTTCCGGGTCTCTCTTTACAGGAATCCAGGTATTTTGTGGAAAAACAGGCAGAAAAAACGTCTCACGTTAGTCATAAGCAGTACATGTCGCCAATGTACACGGTGGTAGCAAAATCGAGCTACCTTGTTGGGCTGAGTGGAAGTGACCCCTCATAAGGGAACCAAGTGACATCCCAGAAGGCCACGGCCACCCCAATTCTGTCGAGGGGTGAGCTGGAGGTCCAACTCCGTTGTGTTGTCACTATTTGTTTCATCCTTCCGAGAGACTTTGACCGATACTGCCCGCTATAGAGAAAGAGAGTCAGACATGTAGATATTTTAGAGGGGCGGAGAACTGAACGTACCCCTTCGTTTTCCTGAACGACTTGGGCGACCTTTGAAAGGCGCTCGTGGTTCAGCCAATTGATAGTCCCGAAACTTCGAACCGCATCGCCAGCTTTCAGTCCCGCCTGGTCTGCTGGACTTCCCGAAACCACACTATTGACCTTGGCAAACGGTGTCCCCAACGCGGTGTTATTTGTGGACGATTGCATAGCCGGTGGGACGCTAGTACCATTCGTAGTTGGGCCAGCGCCTTGCGCATTTTGTAGGTTGGCGAAATGTGCGTGGACGCCTTTTTCGAGAAGCTTCATCACCTCCTTGTGGTCGTTTCGTAGGTGGATAATGCGCACACGGGTTGTGCGAACTACAATCTCCCATCAGCGATATGTCCTAATCGACTGGGGTATGGCAGGGGCGTACCTTGCGCGATGTCGATATCATCACGGGGGAAACCGTCGAAGGTGGTGAGAGACGAGGTCATGCGTACTCCATGCTGAAATGAAAATTATTGTTAGAAACTGCGATAGGAAGTTCTGGATCTGAAATCTCACCGACTGGAGGACGCTACTGAGAGCTGACAGTTCCGCCTCGATGCGTTCTTTCTCCTGCATCAGATCTGGCATCGACAATTTGGACAGATCACGGGGAGTGACCCCGGATGTCGGTCCAGAAGCAACAGTTGGAGCGTGAATATTATCCATGATTGAGAAAAGAAAGAAAGTGAGAGAAGGTCAGGTGAGGTGGGTCTAGGGACCTGTCCTGGAGCTCCCACTATTTTATATAAGCGGCGATGCTTGGCGTTCGAACTATACGACTTTGACATCAACATAGAAGCTTCCCAGTTCCAACATATGCTAAATGCATAAGAGAAAAAGGCTCAACCACTCTGAAAATAAGTGATAAAATGTGCTATTTCAATTCCAGCTATCCCGCTGCCTTTCCTCAGGACGTACATGGATGGGTTTCAAATTTGCACTCTCTACTCTGTACTGCCTGAATAGTGGCAGTTTCCCCTGTTTTCGATGCACTTTCCAACGTCAAAGATGTAGCCAAGGCAGTCACTCCCCGTCGCTCTTCCCTCGCCATGAAATTCGATCCGGTAGTTTTGAGCAGTCGGTTAGGTCCGCCTCTTCTTCCTCCATGCCATCGGAATCTGAATCCTATATTTTATTGGGCGGGATCGCTATTTGGGACCATGGCGGACCAAGATGAAACGGACATCGAGAAACAAGCTCTGCTGGAGAATGAATCCGAGGAGAAGTTCGAAAGCAGTGGTGGAGTGACTCCGACCGATAAGTCAACTCCTCGTCCATTCAAGAAATGGATGGACAGCTTTCGAGCACGGAAGCACGACTCTCCCGTATTCCTACCGCGGCATGTGGAGGGCTGGTCAGATGCATCTTCCCATGGCTCGCAAGGTCACCAGTCGAGTACATCGCACCAGTCCCAGTCGAGTGTATCCCACCAGTCGAGTACATCCCATCAGTCGAGTACATCCGGCTCATCGCAGCTTGGAACTGTCAAAACAATCACAGCAAGCATTGGAAGCCAGAGTTTGATAAGATCGAGGACTACCATTCACAGCCTAACAAACCAGAGCACACAATCAGATGTGCGTCATTCTGGTGACAGCTCTCGGCCAAGCTCAAGTCACCATGTTGACGAAGCTGCGGAGACACGGTCCACCAGACGGCGCCATATCCTACAGGAACTTGTCGAAACAGAGTCTGATTATGTACTTGGTCTGAAGGCTCTTATCGGGGTAAGCCATTGATCTAATTTTAATCTCTTAGTTTGGTGCTAATATGATCTGTAAACCACCAGATCCTTACGATCTTTAGCACGAGACGCGAGATCTATGACAACATCCAGGAGATCCTCGGAATACATGAACGCTTTTTGACCCAGCTTCAGACAGCATCTCCCTTGTCAGCATCTCAGGCTCAACAGACAGGCGCTTCTGAGCTTACATCTCGCGGGATCACCAAGCGTATAGGGACCCTTGATCTGGGTAGCCTAAGGGGGCTTCAGCAACGATCCTTGAGGACCCGTTCACTGAAGGCATCAATCAATCAACGCCTCATGGCACTCAGCGCTGAACCAACGGAGGTGCTGGAAGTTGCTCGTGAATTTGAAAGATTGGTAAGATTGGTATATCAATGGTACTGGTTCATGTATTGACTGGAAATTTTATAGTTACTTTCATTCCCTGTCTACGACCAGTTTTGCAGCAACTATGAACTATTGACACAGGATGTTGCTCTCTTACGCCGGTCAATTGCCAACTGGACAATATACGACCAGGGAATCGAGGCGCTTTCGAAATCGGTCGCGTCCACAGAGCGACGCAGGCAAGAGGACAACAAATCAATGACATTGAATGATTTGTTGATAAAGGTGTGTGGGTACGATCTGATGGGTGTTTCAACAACTGACAAGAAGATAGCCCATCCAACGTCTTTGCAAATACCCCCTTGTGCTACAAGATCTGCTCAGATCTACCCCTGTAAGTGACTGTCCGTCTGCGCATGATGGAATTCAGAAAGCTTTGGATAATATACGGGTGCTGGTGACACGGATCAATTTGGCAGCTGGAAACCCGATCAACAAAGATCGCATCCAAAAAACAATTGCTCTCCAGGGTAAGGTGGATATCTCGAAATCGGTAAGTAACCCAAGATCGCTTCATGGAATGAGCGTGACTGAATATTTTGAGCAGTACGCACTCCAGGATATATATAAAGACCTAGGCCCGCTGGTCTTGTGCGGTGTGCTCCATGTCACATATCAGATGCCCGAAACCACCAATGGAGAGTTCATGGTCTGTGTGCTTTTTCACCGCTATCTTCTCTTCGCCAAGGGAACCGATGAGTTGCATCGACTGGAAGCAGTGGCATGTATCTATCTAGACAGTCTCAAGATTGATACCCTTCAAAATGGACGAGGTGAGCAATTTTCTGATATTTGTGCTCGAAATATATCTAACCTTACCAGGGCTGTATTGCTACGGATGTTTATTTTCTTGGAAGCTCCTGTTTCAAGACCAAGATGAGAACTACGAATTCGTCCTTAGTGCATCATCGGCGGCGGAAGAAAAGCAATGGAATACTGAGATCCTCAAAATGTCCGCCGCTTTGGTCGAAACGGCCCAGCCCAGGACGTGGCAGCCAGGAAAAGATTCTTTTCTGGCCCTCCCACTGGTGCCTCTGGACCATGTCCAATACACAGTGTCTTCCATGGCGCGGAGGTCGATGGATTCCACGACAATGACCCGCAAGTCCCACGTTCAACATGTAGTCATCAAGAAAACGCACTACCCGCGCCACACCGAAGAACCAGTCACACAGGCCGAAGGTGAGATTGAACGGCCCAAGACACCTGTTGATCGCTCCGCATTGACATTGACTGCTCGCCGGATCGACCGAATCCGGCTGGAGCGAATAATCTCGGAGGTCTACACAGGAGATCTCCTTCCATCACCAGGAATGGTTCTCGGAAGGGGTGATCTCTTCCGACGTGGTTCGATCATGAGACGGCTCAGCCTTCGCCCAGGGTTCACCAGACGGTCTAGCGCCGAAGGTACCTTCCATTCAAGAACAGCATCAACTGAGATGCGCCCTGACGAAGAGAGCGATGCAATGGACAAGGAGGTAGTGGGTGGCAGCGAGATAGGGGAGGATAAGGAAGTTGAGGTTGAGTTACCTCAGACACCTACCACACCTCGGCGGTCAACATTCCTTTTCAAAGGCTCACCTAAGAATCCCGCATCGGCGGTTTCCTCACCGCGCAGCGAGAAGCGACGGAGCCAGGATGGAAGTGCCGAGTCATCTCCATCTTCCAAGAAGTGGTCATCTCCAAAGAATTTCTTTAGTGCCTTGACACCCAAGAAGCTGAAAAAGCCCCGGTCTCAAGTTGAGTGAAGTCCTTCCAAGGTATTGTTAGATAGGTGTTATCCTTTTGTTCTGGATGGTTCTGGTTCATTCGGGGGGATTGGAGTCCAAGGGGTATTATAATTAACTTGGCGAAAACGTAATTGTGGCTTGGATTACTCCGTATAGCTAAGAATACAAAGCAGATATCTAACTTGCCACTTGTTGAGAATTATCCCCACGTTTGGCGTCACAGCGGATCCGATAGCGGGTAGGGGAGCTATTATGACGTCGTGTGCTGCAATAGTTGGCAACTCACCGTGTGGGAAATGTAGTAAAATAGGGGACTAGAACCACCAATGACATGTAATGCTATCCACTGTGATTTAATTGTACAATTTAAACAAATTCAGAGCTCTCAAGAATGCGAACTTCTTTTGTTTGCATCAGCTCATAATGTGACGTCACTAGGCATCATCACCTGAGCTCCCACTTCGAGAGCTATTAAACCACCACCTTTTACCTTTCAATCTTCTTCACTCAAACAATTCTCTCTTCATTACTATTAACACTTCAAACCCTTTTTCAAACCCAATCCTTCAAATCCTTCAATATGGCCCGTGGAAACGACACCGCCTCCAAGATCTTCTATAAGGGTCGCTCCGACGACTTTATTGTCTTCGTCGACGACCTTGAGATCCTTAAGAAGTGGAAGAACGACCGCAGCATTCCCCTGACTGAAGTCCTCAATGGCTGGAAGATCTTCCTGACTCATTCGTAAGTGTTTTCAGCTCTTTTATCATTACGTCAGATCATTAACATCTGGATGCAGCCACGGAGCCCAGGGTGTCCTTGATACCGCCAGCCAGAGTTCTCTCCAGAACGAATTCGGCACAACCAAGGAGGAAGAGTGCATGGTCAAGATTCTCGAAGGCGGTGAATTCCAGGCCTCCACGGTAAGTGATTCAGTTCCACATTATTCAATTGAGTGTATACTAACTTTACTTCAACAGGCACGCGAGCGTGAGGGAGGCAAGAACGACTCCAACGGCAGCCGCTAAATCTGACCTTTACTCCCTTTGGGGCTAATGGGGACATCAGACAGTTGTCGATGTGTCACATTGAAGCACCTGCACACCTACACCCCTCTACTACCCCTCTACTACCCCTCACCTTGACCTCTTTTTGAGATATCCATATCCCTCGATCGTCCCTTGTATGGCACTTCGGCACATGATCCTTTCGGACCTCATGTAACACCCTTTATCTGAAGCCCTGGAATGGGCTAGAGGGAGTGATTGCCGTTTCTTGGGTTGTATCTTGATACTCACAGGCTTCTGCACCTGATATCATGAGATAATGAATGATGAGCGATTTCACTCGTCTACAAATAAATACAAACAATTTCTTTTCATCTTTATCTTGAACACCACATTCGTAAACTTCAAATCATTTAACAAGCAACAAGTGAATGATCACAGCTCAGGATAATAAACCTTGGAAAGCAACAGCAAGTGTTGACACCATATCAAACCTCCTCCTTAACCACCACCTCATCCTTAACAACAACAGCATCCATTCCTATCTCCGCCCTCCTATTCACAACCCAACTCCCCAACTCCGCCCAAACAGCCTCCTTCTCCGCGGGTTTCATCCCAGCCGCAAGCCCACTAGTCGTCGTAGCGACAAAGATAGGCGCACCGTCCCACCCATGACCACGCCCCATATTCTCCGTCTCCGCCTGCCACCCATACCGAAACTCCTCCTTCCGAATCCCCCTCCCATGTCTAACCCGCCAAACAGCCTCCCAAATACTCTTCCCAACAAGACAAACAACCTCAGGCCTCTGGGCCGCAACTTTAGCCTCCAGCACCGGCACACCGGCATCCATCTCCGCGCGACTGAGCATGCTCGCGTCGCGCGTCGGCCGCTCCACAATGTTTGTGTTGCCCACGCTGTACAGCGCGGGAAGCTTGTATGTGTCCGCCGGTATGTGCCGAATACTTGTTATCCCAGAGGAATACAGCAGTTTCCAGAATAGGTTTGATGGGTGTGCGTAGGCGTGTCCCGTTATCCCTGTCATTATTCCTGGGTTCACGCCTACGAGGAGGAGGATCAGGTTTGGGGGGATTGTGTCGCGGAGGAGGGATTCTGTGGCTGATGGGCCGGCGAGTGGGGGTGTAGGTGGGAGTTTTGGGGTTGGTTTGCTGCGCTTGCGTTTTGGGATGGGGGATGGTGGTGTTGCCATTAAGATTGATTGTGAGCGAGTGCTGCGCGGGCTGGTTGTAGTCGCCGACGCTGTTGTCTGTGAGACTGTTTTCTTGCGCTTTGGGCTGGACATGGTGGTTTCTGATTGACGGTCGCTAACTTGTGGTTTATATTCGGCATTGGTGGTGTTTATGCGGCGTTGCGATATAGTCGTACTCGAGGCACTTGGGGCTGAGTCTGCGGTCCCCTTATGCAGGAATTGCTGTAGTCTGCCATTGAAGCTGGTGATTTTGTTGACTGGGACATCCTCTGTTTCGAGGGCGAGCTCGTCTTCCTCGACTTTGGGTTGGGTTCCTGTAGGCGGAGGCATTTTGTTTGGTGTCAGTCAGATTGGTTAGTTATTGGGTTCCAAGCAGCCCTGAGTCATGCATGGCATATGAACACGACGCAAGACATTTATATCGGATCTTCTGGATCTTAAGCTCTAAATGTGAGGGTGGGTGTTATTGTCAACATGACGTGTTTCTTGGGTCTGGATAGAGTATCACGTGCCAGGCCAGTCGTCCTCTTGTTGATGCCTTGTTTATAAGGCATAACACTCACTAGTTAGTTATTGACCAGTTAACTACGCAACTATTCTGGATGCCATGAGAGGAGAACAGCGCTGTGACCTTCAATTGAACAAAATGACACTATAGACTACGCAAGTTGAGGATACAAGTGGGAGGAATATTCGGATAGTCCCGGCGCATGCTATATACTGTATGCCCACACCACCCAGAGAGAGATTAATGATAGAGGTAATGTCATTCTTTCAAGTCGTCAAGTTCGTTATGGATTAAACTATTTACATGATCTGCGTCTGCTGCATCCAATGCATCAGACCGAACCGATTTGTTATACTTTCAGTAGTCCATGCCGTTTCGGCAATGTCCAAGGTTCCGGGCAAACAACCTGTATAATCTCTTGTTAGCATGGGACAGACTATGTGAGAATATGCGGAAGAACATACCTCGCCTTCGCTGTAGGCCCAGAAATAGACACCGATGCCAATCAAATAATATATCGCAGGGTCGGTGCCTTGATAGAGAAGCGCCGCGAGGAGGGCGCTGAGGGGGTATATGATGAGACGAATTTCAATGCTGCGGTGTGGTATTGAGCCAGCAAGTGGCTTGAGAGGCCACTCCCAGGCTATGCCCACGAGGCCCATGATGAGGTTTAGGATTTGGAGAACGGGTATTGGGGCGACGGCCGCATCGAGGTTCCTGGAGATAAAGTCCCAGAATACCTTGGGCCAGATAAAGGCCTCGATAGCGCTGGCGACTTGATCTGTTTGTATTCTGTCAGCGCCGGCTTCAACTGGAGTTTTGAGTGGGTAACATACAAGCTGCCGCGGTGAGAATGATTAACCTCCCCCAGTGGTTCTTGATGAGCCGACCCATTGTGTTGAGCTAGAGCACTCCGGATGTGTGAAAAGTGTGTTGTGTATGTGGTAGAGCTTCGTCCAGCGAAGATCTCGGAGGAAATAATGTCACTTGGGTGTGAGTGGCAGAGTGTGAAGCTAATGTTGGGCGACAAATGCCGCAAACTCCAAATAGCTGCGACAGATTCTGTGAAAGATCACTTCATCATATGATCAACGAGCCATGGAGATGTATATTTGGAGAATCCAGAGCACATGGAGAGTGGATATTATTGCAAGGGCTTATCGTGGAAGCATGATCTCATATGGGGAAGAAAAAGCAGCATGTTCCGAGTGGCATGCTTGCAGGCGCGACCAGGTATAAGAATCTAAACTTAGATAACCGACCCCTCTGATCACTTTGCCAGGATGTGACTGTCGAGCGCCAAAAAAGGTGAATCGCTGCATGGGGTTGGTCCACATGCAAGAAGGATAGGGCTAAACTGTGACCCGCTCGGATACAAGTATTGTAGACCAATCAACGTCGGAGATCTCACCGAATCCTTGACAATCCCCTCTTTCTGGGCTCTTGAAGAATTGACATAGCCCGTGTGATTGGAGAGTGTGGGATGTGACGGAGCGGATCGTAGAGTGGATGTCCGCAAATCAGAAGCCGGAGCGCTTGGTCTTGGCGTGATGAACTGCAGTAGTACGCATGGAACACACAGGGGTCTTGATTCTCTCTCAAGTCTCATTGACATTCAAATTGTTTTATTTATTTCAAGGCCTATGTTTTTCTGGACTGTCTAGGTTGTCTGGGCTGTCTCGGCTTTGTACTAGAGACAGTTTGGAACATTCCAGATCAGATGACCACTGTAGCCCTGATTTCAATTCAGTGCAACACACCGTCTTTCTGCATCTTCTGCAGAGTGAACCCGTGTCTAGTTTAACTTTCCGTGCTAAGTGGAGATTTTCATCGGGGGAAAAAAAAAGTGTCGTTGATGGGGAAACATAGCTCGAGTCAGTCACTATTCTATATTTGGGCCAAAACCTCTACTCGCTAAGGATCCTGAACCGAATGACAGGTGTTTTCACCAATTGACTGTGGGTTACCCTCGGAACTCGTATGTGACGGGAAGACAGCGCTTGCAGGAGGCTTGCAATAGGTCAATCTCACATCAACCTTCTTTCCTTGGCCTCATTTAACGCAGCCCGCTCACGGCCACTCATCAGCCTCTCTGCCACCGGGGGATTAATCCCTTTCAAAGTTCGGAGTCGACCTATTTAGCTTACACCAGTTCAAGCCCGTCATTTTTAGAGCAAAAAGCCGATTCGGAATAGGATCGGTCGAACAGGGTGATTTCCTTTTTCGTACTAGACTCGCTTCATCGCGGGGAACGTGGCACGGTGGTCAGACTTCTACTTCGTACGGCGTATAAATCTCGTGTCATGATTGGCGTGCCTGCTACGAACGGTTTTTTAAAAATAGCAAACTTCGCAGTGTATTAATTAAAACAGAGGCCCAAGATCATAAGCAGGACCTTTGACAGCCTTGGAAAGAATCAGCCAAGATGATAGTTGAAAGAGACCAGACGAGGATTTTAAGCGACGAAGATTCTAGCCTCTAGAATTACTCTTTTAGTCTCTCCACTACCCAGGAGAATTTAAAAAGCACAGACATTATAGAATTAATCTATTGGACTAAAATCTACCGTAGTCTTTCGGTTGTCCGTAGTGCCCGCTGGAAGCGATGTAATTATAGATCGGCCCCCCTCCTCCCCCCCTGCAGCTAAAACTACAACACTGGGATTCTCTGAACCTCCAACTTTTCTTCATCCTTACTCATTGACGTCAACCATGTCTAAAACTTGAGACAGATAAAATATTACATTTTATCTCAATCCAGTAACCTCTTGTATTCGAGAGGACACGTGCAGGGGAATCCCCCGGCGAAACGCCAACAGCGCTCGCGACAAGGCGAACATCTCACACTCAGTTTCTATACATCTTGATCGAGCATCGCAAGCTACAAGTGTGCCTTTTCCAAGTACGCATTTAATAGTATTTGGAGTATCTCGAGGCTCTGATTCTCAGCTTCCAAGCAAAGGTTATCCTGGAAAATTGTGATTCGCGTCAAGTTCATGGAGAAACAACCACGTTGACGAACTTCGAAGCCACCGACTGTCAATATTGACATTGAAGTCTTGCTGCGAAACAGGATCAGGAGATTCCACTTTCGACAGAACTTCAGTGTATATTACCGGGTTGCTGGTCAACCGTCTCGTCACTCCTTTTATTGAATTATCACTTATCGCCTAAATTACTTGTCGCCGGTCGACATTCTTTAAAAAACGAGAAGAAATAATGGCCGCAACTTCAGACTCCTGGTTGAAGAGGGCGAACGTGACCGTTTCCGGGGTCTTGTTCCAATTATTCTTTTGGGGTCTACATATTGGTCTTTTTGCTCTGGGATGGTATGTCTCTCTACCAGGCTCCTAGATTACGTTGCTAACGTTCTTATAGGTACCTGCAGGCATCAAATCCAAAGTTGGCGGCGCTGAATATCCTTAACTATTCAGTCTGGATATCGCGAGGCGCAGGACTTGTGCTTTCGGTCGATTGCACCTTGATCCTATTTCCTATGTGTCGGAACATCCTCCGATGGCTGAGACCACAGATTAGATGGTTACCACTAGATGAGTCGGCGTGGTTCCATCAGCAAATAGCCTATGCTATACTAGTATTCACAGCCATTCACACCGCTGCTCACTACGTTAAGTAAGCTGCTTGCCAATCCAGCTTGTCGGGGCTGTTTTGCTAACACTAACCAGTTTCTACAATGTCGAAAAAGATCAAATCCGCCCAGAACGTGCAGTCGAGATTCATTTTACTCAGGCAGGTGGCATCACTGGCCATGTGATGCTCCTGTGCATGATGCTCATGTATACCACCGCACACCACCGCATTCGCCAGCAAGCATATGAAACCTTCTGGTATGCGCATCACCTTTTTATTCCGTTCATGTTGGCACTCTACACCCACGCCACTGGGTGCTTTGTCCGAGACACCGTCAACCCAATGTCCCCCTTCGCAGGAAAGCAGTTCTGGGATCATTGTCTTGGCTATGAAGGGTGGAGGTGGGAGTTGGTCATAGGAGGTTTATATCTCATAGAGCGACTCTACAGGGAGGTCCGCTCCCGGCGCGTGACGGTCATCACAAAGGTCATCCGTCATCCTTATGGTATGGTCTTCTTCTTTCCAAATCCTGGATTGATCACAGCTAACCAATAACCCTAGCCGCCATGGAGATCCAATTCCACAAACCAAGCATGAAGTACAAAGCCGGGCAATGGGTATTCCTCCAAGTACCAGATGTTTCAAGTACCCAATGGCATCCATTCACCATTACCTCCTGCCCCTTTGATCCATATCTCAGCATCCACGTCCGCCAAGTCGGAGATTTCACCCGAGCACTTGGAGACGCCCTTGGTTGCGGTCCCGCCCAAGCCAAAGATCTTGAAGGCCTCGACCCCAACGGCATGTACGAAGTTGCCCTGCAGAACGGACAGACCATGCCCGCAATCCGCATAGATGGACCATATGGTGCACCCGCAGAAGACGTGTTTGAGAACGAAATCGCCGTTCTCATCGGCACCGGTATCGGCGTCACACCTTGGGCATCTATTCTCAAAAATATTTGGCATCTCCGCTCAAGTCCGAATCCCCCTCGCCGATTGCGTCGTGTCGAGTTCATCTGGGTCTGCAAGGATACCTCTTCATTCGAGTGGTTCCAAGCTCTACTATCTTCCCTCGAAGCCCAATCCGCCAACGCGGCTGCTAACGAGGGAAGCACTGAGTTCTTGCGCATCCACACCTACCTCACACAGCGTCTCGATGCTGATACTGCTGCAAATATCTACCTCAACTCTGTCGGCCAGGCCCTTGATCCTCTCACCGAGCTAAAGAGTCGAACGAACTTCGGTCGTCCGGACTTCAAGCGACTTTTCACGGCTATGAAGCTTGGATTGCTGAATCAGTCCTACATGACGGGTCTGCAGAATTCTGGTACCACCGAGATTGGTGTGTACTTTTGTGGTCCTAATTCTGCTGCCATGCAGATTAGCGATGCAGCCAAATCTTCATCAACCAAGGATGTCCGGTTCAAATTCTGGAAGGAACACTTCTAGTCTTGTTAATGGTGCCTTTTCGCCTTTTCTTGCTTTTTTCTTGTTCTATATACGAATGACACGAGTCACGAATCTCCCTTTCTTTTTTATTGTTTTGCCATGATTTCATGGACTCTTCAGGTTGGCCCTTCTACGCTGGACTTTATATTGAAGCGAGGCATGAACCAGTCCGCCACGAGGAGCAGCGAGAGAAGCAATCACAACATACGTGGGTACCAGCGGGAATGCTGGGATGTAGGAATATATGGCAATAGACTTGACAATGTGCTTTGAATAATACTCTTTGGTTTTCGATGTGTCCGGAAATTGCGATTATAGGTCTACTAGCTCCTGAGTTCCTTTGTAAATGGAAGTTATCTGTATAGGCGATAATAGTATTATCTGGCAGTTCTTGGCTTTCTGCTGCCTGTATGAATTTATTTTTAGTACAGAGATTAGAGCATTATATACACCTCACATCATCAAGGATGCCCCTGATTTCGAGAACATGGTTCCTCAGAGAAAGTAACATCAGTAGTGACGACAATTCCTTCTTTGTAATTCTCTACCGAGTCAGCTCCACTCCCTCTCCTATCAAAAACAATATGCTGCTGGCTCTCACCCGTCGAATCTCGCCGCGACTTCCCCCAACCCAACGAGGACAGCTCATATGGATGTCTATTATACACATCCCCACCCTGACTTCTCGACGAAGTGAACAGACTGTTTCGTTTCGGCGTCTGACTAGTAGTAATCGAGCTGCTCTTTGACGAGAACCAGCGCGAGCTGCTAATAAGCGGCTTAATTCCCGGGGCGCAGATTGTTATCACAGAGACAAGGGCTTCGCGGGAGGCCCAGCCTAGGGCGGTTGATAGCTCGGAGATGTCCTTGACCGAGTAGTAGGCGCGGAGGAAGGCGGCAATCATGACGAAGATTCCGGATGAGAAGAGGAGGCAGAGGAGGAGTTTTTGGGTGAGTGGGATGCGAGCTGCTATGACGAGGGGAATGGGAATGGTTAGGATCGCAATATCGGTCCTGCTCAATTAGTTAGCTTGTATATTGCTAGAGAGGATTGGAAAAGCCCGTAACTTACGTGATGCTGAGTGTCTCGATGACGATATAGTTCAAGGGGCGTATAGTACAGTTATCTGTCGATGGGGTTAGTAACCACGTAATCAGCCCTAAATATATCGATCTCACCTCCAGCATATGGCTTGATTTGCCAACTCTTGTGTACTGGTTTGCAAATAAAGATGTGGAAAAATAATGACGCGATGAATGTGCAGACACAAAACACTCCAACTATCATAGTCAAGCGGTGTTGCCAGAGACCCAGTCTGTCGTTTCGTCAGCATAAGTTTTGAAGAGCTGTAAGTCGAGTATATGGACACACGTCAATCTGTTATAGAGAAACATCAACACCCCTTTAAATGACCACACCATGCAGACATAAGAGATCCAGGCAACAAATGCGTCGATCGATCCGATTCGTAGGGCTGCGACTTGGCTGTCGGGAACCTCCATCGCCATTTTCTCGTCAAGACCAATATTCGACCCATATACATCTGTCTGGAATTAACATGGAGCAAGGTAGGAATTTAGAGGAAAACATACCATTACAGAGGTAAAGGAAGACGGTGTGCATTGTCCAAAATATCTTTTTCTCGATCAGTACCTCTAATTATCTTGTTTGAAAAGCAAAAACAACTGACCGTAGCAAATCCTAGACAAAGGTCATCCCAGTAGAACTTGCCCTTTCCAAGTTTCCACCGCGCATATATGCGAATTGCAATGATAACCATCCCTATAGCCCATTCTGCGAACAACTCTGTTGTAACGTTATAGGCCATGATAATGGTTAATTCCTCTATTTTCTGACATTGGCTGAATGAGCAGGTGCTTGAGAGTTATGCTGAAAAGAAAAAAAAATCTCTGATAAACAGTGTCAATTTCAATCATCAAATAAGTAACGTAAAGTAAGAGCCTCGTAAAGTAAGTGACCCTGAAAAATCCTCCAAACGTACAAAAGTACCATCTCCCTTTTTTTTTTTCGCGAGCGATCGACTAGCGAAGCAATATGTATATGGGGCATCGGGAATACAATCGTATTCAAACCCGGATCTTCCGTACGGAGCACAGTTGTGGATATTCTCCCGGACTGGCGGCTGCTATAGTGTATGTAGTTCATGCCAAGACCCGTTGACACGAAGGATGTGAGACATATTATCTTGTAAAAAAAATCCCTGTACTCCGTACAGTACCGGGGACAGGGAGTTGGGTACATGCCGAAAGATGTTTGGTTGTCTTGAAGTCGATCAAAGCTTCATGGTGAAGAGGCAAAGTAGGGGGCAACTCACCAATGAGCAAATCTATAGACCTTGAATCGACGGAAATATATGGGGTTAGTGGGCATCGGCGATGCATACTCCCGATTCTTGTGATCCTCCTGAGTAGACCATTGATTTCTTCATTTCCCTTCCCTGTTGTGTACGCACAAAGTGTGGGTCAGGATACATAGGGGCGAAAAAGTAACGGAACAATTTCTATATGTGTTGTAGCATTAGCAGTCCCCGCCGAGTAAGAGTGCAGATCTCCCTTTCCACTTTCATATATTGTTCAAGACTGAGAGAGGAAAATGGAAATCACAAGTCTGTAATGGTCGAAATATCGAGAACAACTCATCCTGATAGGCCGCCATGAGCGAAGGTCAACAATAGCTTGCTTGGTGGGGATTGTTGGTCATAGAATGTCACGATGCATTTCGAGTCCCAAGTTTAGTAGGCAGCAGATATTGTGGCCTGATTTAAACGAAATAGTCTCCACAGACGTGCTGGTTGGCTTAGACGGAGAAGTCGGAATCAAAATATAGACCGTAATCACGTGACCATATTTGAGGACGCGAGATTTGCTCTCTCTCTCTCTCTCTTCTTCTTCCTAGTCTATCTCCAATACAACTGTATCTCTTCTCTCCCTCGCTCTAAGAAAACAAACTGATGGGCCGTGTGGACGCGTGGACCGGTTTGAGCTTCGGCCGAGCGCCTTGCCGTCGCCCCGCTCTTCCGCCCCCAGCGGAGACAATCCACAATGTTCTCGGTGTGGATGCTATGTAGATCTCGGGTAGTGCGATGAGTGAATCCTTCGCGTTGGGGCTATTGAATTAACTGGAATGATGGTCTTAGTACGGAGTACGGAGTATGTTGTACGGAATAGGATAGGTGACAGGAAAATATTTCCAATAGCTGAAACTCCCTCCTGCTCCTGTGGTTTCCCCTTCATTCATCTTTATTCTTAGCTATCTTGAACATGGATATCAAACATCTCCAGAGTCTTTTGTCGGAAGCCAAGGCTTCACTAGATTCGTATGAATCAACTCAAACAGACACCTTTCGACTTGAAGCACAGGAAAAGGCTGCGCAGCTAGTCCGTGCGCTGGAACGACCTAAAGATGCAATCCTGAAGCTGTCCTTTTCTGTAAGCCAAATATAATCCCCAAGAGTCATCGGAATATATTGCTAACCAATTGGAAAGCCCATCATTCTCATGGCCGTCAAGACGGCCCATGATATGAATGTATTCCCTGTGCTAGCTCAGGCCACGACCCCAGTGCCTCTGGCTGAATTGGCCGCAGCAAAGCCGGCAGACCCTCTTCTAGTCGGTAAGTAAATACTCAATAACGGAAAACATGTGATAACCAACTTGCTTTTAGAGCGCATTATGCGAGTTCTAGTCGCCAATGGCTTCGTAGAAGAGCCGGCTCCCAGCGAATACCTCCCCACCGCGCTATCCCGAGAAATGACCCAGCACACATCGATTGGCATCGTGGGATCACTGTAAGCTGCTCCAAAATTAAAAACCAGAATAATAGTATACTAATCCAACTAGCTTCAATGAGTTCCTGCCCTCAATCCAAAAGGTCCCCGAATATCTCCAATCTACCAATTATCGCAACCCAGACGATCCCATGTTCGCCCCTCTTCAATACACACACGATCTGAAGATAGATGGATTTACATGGCTCTGCCAGAACCCAGAAGCTTTGACTCGATTCAATAGCTTCATGGAAGGACAGCGGGCTGACCGTCCACACTGGGCGGACTGGTTCCCTGTTCGCGAACAGCTTCTCGATCACCCGGAAATGACTGCCGAGACGCCACTTTTGGTAGATCTTGGCGCTGGTCGTGGCCATGACTTGATTGGATTTAGGAAGAGATTACCGGATGCACCGGGTATTCTGGTACTGGAGGATCTTTCGTCTGTGATTGATGAAGTGCGTGGCGCACAGGATCTAGAGGCGGCTTCTATTGACACAGTTGCGCATGATTTCTTTACTCAGGTTCAGCCAGTTCAAGGTAAATATTTCTATGTGTGTATATGCATGCATTTGGATAGTGCTAACACATTTATGTGCAGGGGCACGCGCGTACTATTTTAAGAACGTGTTGCATGACTGGTCTGACGAGAAGGCGACCATCATCTTTAACAACCTCAAACCAGCTATGAAGCGTGGTTTCTCCAAGATCATCATGGAAGAGTATATTCTTCCTGATCAGAATGCTCGCTCGCTTCCTTGTATGACAGATCTCGCTGTGATGGTGTTCTGCTCGGGATTGGAGAGAACTCGTCAGCGCTGGACCAACCTACTATCGTCTGTTGGTCTGCGAGTCATCAAATTCTGGGTGCGGGAGGGCGACGGCTTGGGAATTATTGAAGCCGAATTGGCAGAGAGCTCATAAATAGAGTTGTGATCTTTGAGAAGAAAGGCCAAAACAAGACTCCGGTTTGAATACTTAAATAATCGCCTTGAGGAATGCTAGTATTGATTTAGATACGCATGAAATAAAACTTACACAAAGCGTCAGCACATCTATTCTATTTTGTATATGGCCACAAATGTTTCGGCTATGGCAAGCTAGATCAACACTGGGCACAGGTGATACCGGTCAAAGTGCTGATTGTATTTGTCGGGCGATCGGGGGGTGAGAATTCCATCATGTATGTGTAAGAAATGATCTCCGAGGAAGTAGTGGATTGGTCGACCGCCAGCATACACCCTTTGGGATGCGGCTAGAGGAGAGCCGACAAGCCAAATAGGCTCTCTGAACATGGACTCCGCGACGTACAATCCCGCCTGTGAAGATAGACTTGGATGGTTGTCTCTGACAAACTGCTCATTTTCTCGATATAAGTTACTGATTCCCGAAACGCGTCTGCTGATGAGCTATCTCTAGATGAGGAGACTGATAGACGAATCTTGATCAGCGCTGAAAAACTCGATCTACGCAATAGGAGAAGACATACCATGTGCAGATCGGGTTGAAATTTGCTCATTTGCGGCACCATCGAAAAGGATGTTGTTACGGTTACTAGCGAAGGGGAGGAAGAGGAAGAATCATTGTTGTTCAATCTAGCAAAGAGCAGGGTATTTATACCCTGTTTGCTACTACATATTAACCATAGATTAACTCTACCACCTACTATATGCAATTAGTCTTCTCACTCTTCTCACTTTTCTCTCACTTCTCCCTCACAATTATTACATGAACAAAGGCATACGTCTTTCAATATATAACCTACAGTAGCAATCGTACACAGGCTTTCTTAATGCAGAATTCGACAACCTAAACTTTCAGGCTGGACTAAAAAGTGAGTGCATGCGACCCTGAGCGCTATAACCCTTCGTATACTGGTTGATCCCGATGAAAACGTTAAGCACGTTTACGGGCGACCAAGTGTGCCATCTGGACACAACTATTTCATTGGGTTATATTGCAGGTCATGCTGTAAACTAGTCTAATTTCCTTTTTAGAAAAATCCAATCCAATCCAACGATTATAATTTCAGGGATCACGCCAGACGCCCGGAGACCACCCAAAAGACCTACAAGTTTGCCAACAGAATTCTGCAAAGGAATCACCTCTCCGAAGTCCGCGTGGCATTTTCTCAAGGCCACACCAACAGGTACGCAGCTGGCCACCAATCCGATAGTGACACCGAGAACAAAGATGAAGCAGGAATTTTCAATCAGCGTGTTGCTCAGGGACCGGCTATGCCTGGCCAAAGTGTGTCCCTTGAGGAATATTCCAAAGCTGCAGGAACACTAGGTAGACCGCAGCACAAGCAAGCTATTGAGCACCTATTCAGGTATCTACTAGGCTCAATTGATCTATACATCTGGTTCTTAAGCGATAGATCGTCTTCCAGACAGGGGGATTTCTACCCTCTATGTTGAGATCTCTCATAGTCACCTGACCTCCCTGTAGTATTTAAGCATAAGCCTCTCCCTACTTCCTTTCTTAAATTACTCAGTAGTTCCATCTACAGTAACTACCATCTATACCGTCTTGCTTGATCCATATCATCCTGCTTGGTCAATATCATCTTACTTGGTCAACACCAACCTGCTTGATTCATATCATCCTGTTTGATCTTATCTACTTTCGTAGGCTCGAACACTCTAGAATCGCTCTCTCGGGATACTACGATGGCGACCACGTTAGTCCTCCCTTTCTTAATAGAATATCAACCTCTGGATTCGTTTTTTACCTTACTAGTGGTCCTATTTCTTAGGCCTCTAAGAAGCAAGCCTATGTTGCACTTTCTTCCACGAAATCTGAGTATATTGCTCAAGTAGTATCAAGCCTGGATGGTTCAGAGTGTTAAACTAGTGTACTATATACTCTAGGCTGCCCTATTACCCTACGCTTCCTTGGCTTCACGTTCCTTCACTTCTTAGGTACCCCTTTTCTTACTGACTAATACCCCGTATACAATGAGAGAGTTGTGTCCAGGTGGCACACTTAGTCGCCTGTACCTACTACCATGTATGGTTTCACCGACCAAATAACAGTACCATCTAGAAGTAGGCTGCTCTGTGGGCTCACAATACCGCGAAAGCTATCGTCGATGAGATAGCGCTATATCGCAAAAGGCTTGGACAATCACAAATACAGTGTTTGGCAAGAAATAGCATACTGGTCCTGAAAAGCTCCAGCGAGGATGTTGAACCACTACTAGTATATAGCTACCACACAAATGTCATCTAAAAGCCATTCGAAGGCCAGCCGACATATGCCCTGCTACAGTTTGTATCCTCCTCGAAAAGAAAGACATACATACCGAGGTACACCATCTAGAAGAAACCACTGGGGCTAGAATCACCAAGTGGGGTAATATTAAAAGGTGATCCAAATATAATCAACAACGTGAGACCAGCTACCTAGTTCACGTTGTGAGAAATCCCATAGAAATGGTGCGAGATTTGGATCTACATAGTGGCAGTAAAAGCATATCGGTAGAACCAACATCATTTTTATGAGACGTGAGAGAACCAGAGTTGATCATCAGAGCGCGAGATCATTCAAATGGCCAATAACGCTGGTACTCGGCTTTTTACTCATCCGCCCCAGGCAGTTGCTTTAGTATTTGACCTTTGACTTTGTCGAGGGCAGCTTTGCAATCATCGTATCGCTCATGCTCGATGAAGCCTTTGTCCGGCCACGAATCACCCATTTTCTCCTTGACCTCCGACACAAGCTCAGTTCCTGCTACCGCCTTATCAATATCCAGATTGATGCGCTCGACATCCGTTTCCGAAAACTCAAACGGAAATGGAATGTCGCTAGTGACACCAGGTAAGTCCGTCCACGTGTCTTTCAGGTCAACTAGAAGTGATAGAAAGTGTGCCTTCGCCGAATTCGAACATGCGCCGGGCAAGAAAAATCAGTCCGTACGCTGCTGTCTTTCGAAATTCGACTGCCCGATACAAGTCGGGATTTTTAGCATGCATGTGCTTTCGCCATCCGATGAACATTTTTCGAACAGGATACTCGCGCAGAGCCGCCAACCACTCTTCGGGAGAAAGCCTAGAGAGTGTCGGCCTTGGTGCTAGATCGAGCGTCTCGGGCTCAAGGCCATCCTACTCAAGGAAAACTGGGTCGGGATTATGGTTGAAGAGGGGTCAGATGTGGCAAGACTGCCAGTCAATAATACCCGTGATCTTTTCGGGGTTATGTGGGTCCACAAAGATGTTGTCATCATGTAGATCGTCATGCCATGTGCGTGGGGTGGTGATCGCGGCATCCTTTGGGATATGGACATTAACGACCTTTCGCTTTCTTTTCCGCGACGGGTTGGTACAATTTTGGACCACAGAATAAGGCAACTGTTTAGGTGGTTTCAGAGACCGGATTGCTTTCATCTCTCTTGTTCCGACTGCTTGCAGGTACTGCGTTAGAGAAGCCCCTGCAAACTCGTTAGTGGCCGTGAGAAGAAGATACAGACTGTAACATACATGGTCCTCTGTCAATATCCAAAGTTGATCGACGCATATATCACCAATCTCGACCAGGGGCTGGGCCAATAGCAAACTCTGAATCTTTAATAGCCACGCCATCCTTGAAATAGTAGTTGCCCGCCGAGGACTGCACGTCTCCCGCGTAGTACAGGCTGCGGTAATGTGAGAATGAAATGCTCAGCCATTTCTTCTGCAGATAGAAATGATCACTTTGAGCTTTTGGGGTAGTTGCATGGTGCTCCATACTTGAGACAGCGGGATACCTTCAATCTTATCCATGATAATAAATTCTGCTCAACAGGATGCGATTTTGCTTGCGAGTTCCATGCGTGGACACGAGGTGCTGGTGTGTCAAGAATCTTACTAGCCTCCCAATCCAGTCGCATTAGCAAGACTCGGCGGCGATGGAGTTCAAAATGAACTTACGAAATCCATCGTGGCGACTTCACTGGCCGTGGTAAAGTGTGGAACACCAGCATTGGGATCAGGCACTTTGACTACGACTTCTTGGCCATCTTCCATAGTCATAAGGTTTGCTTTGTTGAACATGCCGTCAGGGTACTTCTTGATGGAAATGAATTTAGCACCACTGACTGAGTCTGCCGCGACTCTCGCAAGCTTGTTCAAGTTGAATTTGATCTCTCGACTTCGAAGATTCCCCGCCTCATCTACAATAAACCGGCCTCTTGTGAATTTGAAGAATTCATCGTTTGAGTTTTAGTCTGATCGAATGAGTGATATGTTAAATCGCGCTTAGGTGGGTGTGCTTACCTGACTGGGAAGAGTTCATTCTGGCAGTACATTGGAATAGCGGTGTAGCTTTTGAGATTGACTGGCCATATTGCCTTGGGTTTTGTATCATGCTTCGGGCGTAGCACCACGTACGTGCGGATTGTGGTCGGCACATATCCCATGAAATGTAATGGCTATAATGGTGCCTTCTTCCGGGAAACCGCATGGCGATTGATCAGGTGAGCATTTTAGTATCGAGAAATTCGGTGGTTAACAGTGAGACTGGAGCTGGAAAGACTGCTTTGGATGTGTTATCGATGAGGCAGCAGGTGGCCCCTGTCACACAGTCAGTTGACACGTGACCTGCATGATTACCATCCGCTCTTTATTCGCATTTAAGATTTGCCAAGGCCGTTGAGCCGCAAATCTTCTCCACTCTCCTTCTCTTTCACTTCACTCCACTGTTATCCTTTCTACTTAGGTACCTTTAAACCATCATGACTGGGGTTTTCACTGAGATGAGGCCCAGGCCTCCACCTGTCTTGCTTGAACAGTCCCCCAAAACTCCTTGCAAGCTCGAAACCAGCGCTTCGTCGGAACCACCTACTCAGTGTGCCACGGCCACAACATTGCATACCAACCTGTCAAGTCTCTCCCTCAGAAGCTCAGGTCTTCCATCTCTTTATCAACCTCATTGCATATCAACCTCTCAAGCCTCCCCCCAGCAGCCCAGGTCTTCAGTCTATTGGTCTCTATCAACCTCATTACATACCAAACTGTCAAGTCTCTCCTTCAGCAGCTCAGGTCTTCCATCTCTTTATCAACCTCATTGCATATCAAACTTTCAGCCCTTTTGGGCATTTCCAACCATTTCGTCATTTCAACCACTTCCACCCTTTCGACGCACCACACCATATGATGGCCAGTTCCCGTCGACGAGATGTTCCGAGGTCGAAGGCCTACAGCCAGGGCCACAAGGAGCTGAGTGACGGCCCATTATCTCGGGAGAATGTAACCATACTTCCTTGCCAACGAGAGGACTCAGTTTTCTGGAAATGGGACCAAGTCAGAGATGACATAGTGAGACGCATCGACCTGACACACGTCTCCACAGTGGCCTGCTACCGTGTGGAGACCAGCCACAGCCCAAGCAAAACCAATCCGACCATCATTGTTTCTGGGAATCACGCCAGATATCCGGGGGCAACCCAGGAAGCCCGGGATATTATCAACGCAGTCCTTTTGAAGTACAAGCCAGTGGAGGTTCAAGTCAAGTTTCTTGAAGGTCAATACAGCAGGTACGCATCCCACCTATCAGAGAGAAATGCTCCAAAACGTGATGTCGATGAAGCCGGGTCAAGAGTGTTTCACGACGATATCATTCAACTTCAGTCATTGCCAGGGCAGAGTCTGGCTCTCCATGGAAATGACAGCACCTCTGGCACGCTTGGGGACTTCTTTGAACTCAAGTTTCCCGGATCGACGCACTCAACTGTGATGGGACTCACATGCTTTCATGTGATAGATCCAACAACTGCGCCCACAGTTAATGTGAGAGAGGACAAGGTAGAACAATGGCGCAAAAGCGGCATCAAGCCCGTCGACAGAATGGCAAGGGAACTGAAAGTCGATCACCCCAGCCCTCGTGCCATCCGAAATAAGACCCGAGCGCTAGAGAAAGAAATCGATAAGATCCAGACTCCAGAGTACAATCTGAACGAAGAACTCGTTAGCTATGGTGTGGAACTCAAAAGGGGTGTCAAGACGAGGCATCTGGAGGCAAGCAAACAGCTTAGACACTTGAGAGCGTTACTAGGGAACCTCCAAGCCTTCGATGCAAATTTTGGAAGGGTATGGGCTGCCTCTGGTCTTAGAATAGGCCAGGCGGCAAGTATTGATGGCGGCAATAATGACCTACCCACAGTCCATGATTGGGCATTGATAAAAGTTCCCAGGGAGCGGGCGGTGCGTAACATTGTGAGTTTTTCTATGTTTCGAGATCCACTACGCTTTATCTAACTGCTCGATAGACCCCAGAAGGGCACCGACTAAAGGGAGGACCGGTACCCGAGCTTGTCGACAAGCTCGAATTATGTATTTCGGGTCAAAGGTCGGGGTACTCCGAAGGGTACTATAACTCGCTTCGCCCAGCGAGAATCCATCGAAATGAGGTAGATGGAAAAGACTCGGTGATTGTTATCATTGAGCATTCAATACTAGCCAAAAGTAACGAAGACTCCTTTTTTTCGAAGAATGGAGATTCTGGATCTTTGGTTTACACCAAAGACCATGTGGTGGTGGGATTGCTTTTTGCGGGCGACCTAGATGCGCCATATACTTCGTGCTTTACTCACATCCACGATGTGGTTACACACATTAAACGTGCGACAGGGGCGTCTGAAGTCTGCTTGTGGGAAGGCTGATGGGTTTCAGGTTATGAGGCTAGCGGATTGCGGTCTTTCCTTTCGCATTTTGCTTTTTTCCCCCCTTGCATATCCTGAGGTGCCAACCTTGGACAGTTGTTGATACCCAATTATCCATAGCGCGTCATGCATACACAGCTTGTTTTATTGACGTTTGTAGATTTCCTTTTGTATTTCTCCTGTATCATTCTACATATACAACAGGCTGTGGGGTCCACTACGCCAGCCTATGTACAAGCCCGTATAAAGCATGAGATTATTTTTCAAATCAAAAGCGATAGCTTCATGAACTCGCTATATACCCTACTCTAAAGCACCTATAATATCTGGATCGCTCGTACCTACATCCCGTAGGGAAAGTCTAGCACTACTATAAAGATCACTTACTTATCATCTTTCTATCGGTCTTTTTTAAGGTCTTTTAGAATATAACCACTAACTATTCCCTAACATTGTTAGTGGCACACCTTCAATACGAGCTATCGTAGTGGGGGACGTCGTCCTCCACTGCGTATTGATTCTGCTTGTCCATTATTTACTACATAGGTACGTAGTTTTATTATACAAGTAGCAGCTAGATACAGATTGACAATGTAGACTCCTACGCCTCCCTGATTTCACTTCTTAGACGACGGTTCCAGTTCCACTTGTATGCCTTGGTAAGTATAACGTGGACTTGCGAGCGCTAAATCGACCCATGTGCCTAAGAGCATACTGCCTAAAGCGTTCCCCTCTTCATATGGCGACCGGCGCAGGGAGTATTGTCTATCCAAACCACCGGCAAAGGTAGGAGAAGAGGGTTAGTTTAAAACGACCTTGTCAACAAACGAAAGTATACTAATTCGGCTGAATAATGATTTTATCTCCACTCGACTCGACGTCGCCTTACACACCTCGCCGAGCCTCGTTTTGATTATCCCGAAAGATACCCCTGATATTTTGCGTACGATACGCCTATGAGAATTTGCGCACGATGCGTCTAATAACGTTTTATGAGAGCTTTCGAGTTTTTGATACGGTCGAAGGGTATCGACCCGGGACGGTCGATTTATTAGGGGTAGTGTGTAGAGGAACTCGCAAATATCAGTGAAAGCTGACGAAGCTGAATACGTGTATTTAGGTAGGTGCTGAGAGCAAGAGATTAGAAGAAAAACTAAGCATCCTTCTATCAAACTACCCCTTGGCTTCCTTCTCATATCTATGGCCTTCGATTCCTGTTGGAACCTAGAACGGGAGATCGATGGTTAGCAAGAAAGGGACCAAAGCGGAGGAGGGCATAAGGAGTCACATTACCTGCACACACGGAATGGACCAATGGCCACAGCTCTGGCAGTCATCGGAGTTGCCTGAGTCCTGAAGAAGTCGAAGTGGAACCGTCTCTAGAAGCCGTTCTCCAGACTAGTGCGCAACCAGATGGTCGAGTTCATCCGGACGCAAGTGAGGCAGAACAGAATTTGTGGAACCGAATGTGAAAGCTGGCTCCGGGCATGCTGGTGGGGCATAGTAGTTCTAGGACGGGTGATTTGGCTCTCCAAAGACTGATGTGGGTGAATGTAGCAGTCCACAAATGAGACTCGTCGCCTGCAAGAGGCACACTGACTACCACACGACAAAGCAAAACAACCCGATGTGAGTGAAGCACGAAGTCCACGGTGGAGACATGCGACCTGAAAAACACGAACTACCAGGCAGAGGCAAGTGGCCAAGTTCACACTGCCCGGGCTTCTACCTGCAGATGACACTCATCCCAAATCTGACGACGCATAGGCAGGTGAGCTGGCGTCGACATCACAGCGGACACCGGCCGGATGAAAGGTATACTACACGACTTCTGAGTATCCTGACTTCTGCTCCCATATGCAAACCTTCAGATTGTCCGGCTGGCGAGGTACGGGTGATCGGTCAACTACGTGGCCATCGGGGGTCTAATGAACCGTTAGATTCAGTGTAATAAGTAAGATTTTCAATAGCCAAGCAAACTCACGATGTTCTCTCCCACCCGCTCAAGGGGAAACTCATCAAGATGCTTGTCATTTGGTCGCTGGGTGTGACTCCTCCTTTGCGCCATTTCTTGATAATTTCTTTGCTCGTACTCGTATTCTCTGATACTTCCAGCCTGGTTGGTTCGGAAGCCGTACGGGGCCAATCCAGCATTATCTGGAGAAAAGCATTCTGGTACGACAGTTGTTGTTTGGCTTGCAAATACATCATTTTGTCCCCCCTTCAAAGTGGTCATTTACAAGGACTTTTGAGCTTAATGGTGATTGCGTCTCGAGGTCGGGATATGGCCTTCGGGAGTCTGATGAGCAGTTATTTTAGGAGTAGTAAAACTCTTGGTAGCCAAACTCACAGAGGCGTGTGTGACATCTACACATTGAGCGATCTTGACTCTGAGCTCGGGAGGGCATCCTGATTATCAAAGATTAGATATTCCTGTTGGTACGAGTGTAAGTCTACGTCCTTCAAAAGATATGTGTTCTTACTTGTTTGATGGAACAGGGAGTATATATAGTTTTGCCGTGTTGCGGCGTGAATGGGCATTTGCTTTCTGGTGTATCAAAAAATGGAAGTAGGTAGTTTCGGCGTTGATAATTAATGGAGCTGGAACGCCAAATATGGTGAGCAACAAAGACGACCCTAAGGCGCTTGAAAGGCAGTGGAGATGACGCTTGTAAACCCCGATGAGAGAAGCGCTAAACCCACAGGGAACATGGACTAGGAAGATAGAAAGTATATAGGCTTGAAAAAGTGAAACAGATTCAGGTAGGAGGAGAGTAAGATCTAAAGGTGAGGAAGATGAGGATGTGTGAAAGTGAGAAGGGAGGAAGGCAGGAAGGCAGGAAGGGTTTTAAATTGAGGAAGGTACAATGTTTGCCTTATGTTCATTGTTCATTTCTTCATCTCCCTTATCCATATGCATTGCAAGTTCAAGCACGCCATATTTAGTCAAAGTGAGCAAAGGATTATAAATCTGCTTGGAAATGCCATACAAGCGGGGTATATAATGCTATCATTCTAAGCTGTATGAATCTAACCTGGCGATTTTTAAAAATCTAGAGGATAGTTCAATCCAAAGATGACCGACTCAAAATCCAACCGCCAGCTGCACCTCACGGCCTTTATGCGGCCAGTCTCGCTGCATACAGGTGCATGGCGCTACCCAGGCTCATACCCCGATGCCAACTTCAATTTCAAACACATTGTCCAATTCGCCCAAAAGCTAGAAGCCGCCAAGTTCGATGCCTTCTTCATGGCCGATCACCTAGCCGTGCTGAACATGCCCGTCGAAGCTCTAAAGCGCAGCCATACTGTTACTTCATTTGAACCTTTTACGCTGCTCTCCGCTCTCTCTTCCGTGACAGACAAGATCGGTCTTGCTGCCACTGCTAGTACGACCTACGACGCACCGTATCATGTTGCCCGGCGATTTGCCAGTCTAGATCACTTAAGTGGCGGACGAGCAGCCTGGAATATTGTGACTACAGGAAATCCAGAGTCGAGCCATAATTTCGGCTTCGATGAGCATTTGGCCCATGGTGATCGGTATAAGCGTGCCCGTGAATTCTATGATGTTGTCACGGGGTTGTGGGATAGTTTCGCCGATGATGCTTTCACTTGCAATGTCGAGACGGGAGAATATTTTGATCCTGGGAGGATGCACGTGCTGAACCATTCCGGCGATGAGTTGAAGGTTCGAGGACCGTTGAATATTGCCAGGCCACCGCAGGGATGGCCGGTTATTGTTCAGGCCGGGCAAAGCGAGCCAGGACGGCAACTTGCAGCTGAGACTGCCGAGGTTGTGTTTTGCAGTCCGAGGGATATTGATGGTGCGAAGGCGCTCTATGCGGATATCAAAGGGCGAGTGGAGAAGGCGGGACGGAACAGAGATCAATTGAAGATTTTACCCGCGGCGATGATTATCGTTGGGGATAGCAAGCAAGATGCGCAGGAGAAGAGACTAAAGTTGGATAGTCTGGTGCATTACGACAGTGCCATTGCTTCCTTGTCAATCTCACTTGGGGTGGATGTTAGTGGACTGGATCCAGATAGTTTCTTGCCGGACGACCTGCCCGAGACGAACGCGAGCAAGACTAGCAGGGAGTCTGTTGAAAGGCTGGCCAAGGAAGAGGGATTGACGATCCGCCAGCTTGCGCAACGATATGGTGGATACTCGGGGCTGACATTCCTCGGTTCGCCAAGTGATATCGCTGATGAGATGGAGGCGTGGTTGCGTGAAGAGGCTTCTGATGGCTTTACGTGCACGTTTCCGTTCTTGCCACAGGGTCTGGAAGAGGTGACGGATAGATTGGTTCCCGAACTCCAGCGAAGAGGTCTTTTCCGCAATGAGTATACGGGCTCGACACTGCGAGAGCACTTTGGCCTGCCGAGACCTGAGAACCGTTTCTTCACTGAGGAATCATAATTTTACCTAACCATGATAGATTGTATTACCGCAGTGAGGATACTCACTTCATTCAAATGTGTCTAATTGGGATGTTGACTATATTTATATAATAGGCCCATTCATTGGAACTCTATCTTAGCCCCATTTACCTGCCATGTCGCCGAATAATTTCACCTTAAGTATGAAAATACCATGATTTACTTGATAAATTGTGGTGCTCTAAAGATTTAGGACCTCGCACCAAATTATAGGGGATTTTGGTAGCATGTACCTAATCGTCGTGTATCCCAGTGCCCATAACTATTTCAATCGTGTCAGGGCGTCTTCTCTTGTCATCTAGAAGAGGTGAAAATTATTTGACACCAAGTACCATTTGTCATAGAGTAACAGGTAGCTTTGAGCACCTCAATTTTCGAATAGACATGGTCAAATGTGGTCGAATCCGTATCTTTATATCGAGATGCGTACTTGCTTAGTGGCATCCTACACGTGAGCTTTGTCGGTGAATATACATCACAGTACTCTGGTGCCCTAGAGAGAACATTTATTCATGATTTACTCTTCATGTTAGTATATACTGTGTCACAGATACACGGGTGCACAATATAGAGACTAAAATGAGGGCCGTGGATTTGGGCACCGTCTACGAGATTGTAGGAAACCTGAATATCCAGCTGCTACCCCGGAGCCTCTGCTCCGTAGTACAATGCTTCTACCCTTCATCATAGACATTTGCAATTAAGGAGGTTTGTATTGTATTATTACACCCAAGCCTCCAGTGGAAACTTGAATACAAGCTTGGACGGTAGCCTCAAACTAAAACGACGGCCTGGCAGTCCGTCGCTCATACCTGACCAATATACAACGCGCCTAGACTCTAGCTTTTGTAGCTTAGATCGTATCCGTCTAAAGGGCTTCTATGGCATGGCTAGTACCTCTATCTTGCATCATACATATATTGCTAAGCCGCCTCGGATCTCGAGGGCTACTCCTACTCTCAGTTTTACTTCATTACATCTACAGAATAGAAGCACATAATTCTTAGAAAAATTTGACATTACTCTTACATCCAGGTGAAGGGGATCTGAGAGCACCCTCTTCACCTGGTCATCGTAGTACTCCCCACTGTTCTCTCCCCTTCCTCCTCTTCCTCCCCTAGGCCCCTCCTTGGCCTACTGGGCCCAGTGGCCCTCTACATGGTAGTGGACACGAAGTCCACGGCGCAGCATCTCAGTGTACAGAGCACGAAGCTCTGCAGTGTTGAACCCCGAAGGGTTGACCTCCCCGGCCCGGGTGAGGCGGCACGGGGGCAGGCGGTTGGTCAAGTCCGCCCGCAAGTGCTCGAAGGCGAGCAGGTACAGCTCCTTCGACCAGGGGCAGGAGCGCAGGGCCCGGAAGTAGATCTGGCGGGCACGGCCGACGTCGTGCTCCGCGTACAGCTCGTAGAGGATGTACAACCTCCAGATGGTGAGGTTGCTCTGCGCGGAGGTCGAGCTTGCCAGCTCGAAGGGGCTCTTTCGTGTGGGAGTCCGCCCGATCGGGACGACTCCGTCATCACCGATCGCTCGCTCAAAGGCTGCCCGAATTGAATGCGGGGTCGAGCCGAGCATGATGGGGCGGCCCATCTCAGCGTAGATGCTGAAAAGGTGAGTCGTGACGGGCACACGGTGGATTGGTGCAGGCCCTTGCAGATCCCGCTCGGCCCTGGCCTTTGCCCCGATGGTGACGTCGAAGATGTCGCGGGTGCGGTCGGTGAGTTGCAGACGAGCCTCGTTCCATTTGAATAGCGACAAGAACATGGTGTTGTGAGGCCACCATTCCAGGCTATCTAGCAGTACGGTACGAACGTCGGCAGGTTTGAACTGGCCACTCTGCTTCTCCACATAGTGGTACATGATCCGGGCTCGGGCTTGGTGTAGCAATTCTCCGCCGAGCACCTTGAAATCATTGTCAGTTTTGGGAAGGACTCTGAGCGAGGTGACTGCGTTATTGTAGACATCGAGAACTTCATCAAGTGGCTCGCCCAGAAGGTAGAGGGTGATCGCGTAGCAGTCAGCGTAAGCTGCGTATGCTTGCATTTTCTTGAACTTCAAGGCATTCTTCTGAGACGCAAACAAGCACTGTAAGTAGTTAGCATGGGGTTCACTGAGATCATCGGATGATGACTTGCCTGCTTAACCCTGAGAAAATTGGGTTGATTAATTTCAATCTTATCAGCTTTTTGGTATGACGGTAACTGGACTTGATTGTAAGGCATAGCCTGCAACAAGTATGATGCTCGTTCCTTTTCCCCGGTGTGAAGCATTTCCCAAATCCACGAGTTCCACAGGAGTGCAGAGTCAGTGAGCTCCCGAGTGTCGAAATTCTGGCTCATAGACAAAGCAGTTGACCACACATTGTGAGCAGTATCATGATCGCCAGTTCGCCAATACATGAGCGCAACGGCATTGTAAAGTCTCAGGTTCGATGATCGCTCCTTCAAGAGCCTTTTTCCGTACTTCTTGCCCAGATCGTTGTTACATGCGAAGGTCACTGCAATGGCGTATTCAGCCAATCGGGTGTCCCCGAAGAGGTTGACAAGGGCATGAAGAGTCAACTGTACAAACTCGGGATCGATGACACAGGAAGAATGAGAGGTGGTTGCAGCCCACTTCGTCAGAGCTGAGAACCACATCTTTGGGTCAGCAAAGAAAGTATCGGTGGTGTGAACGAAGGTATGATGAGGGAACGCGAACGGTTCAAGGGTGGTGGTTGCGGCATATTTTTGAAAATTGATCCAGTCCGCGATTGTGTTTCGAGGATCGTCCATGTATTCGTTTCGCAGGAAATTATCACCAGTCCATAGTCGGCTGGTGTGCATATTCGCGGGGAATGTCAAATGAGGCAAATGGCAGAAATACAAGAAGCCATCAACTAAGGAACCGAGGCTTTCATTCAGGTCCCAGAAGTATGGCAGTATCTGCGTGCAATCTTGAAGAAGCACCACTTGGAAACCATCATCCTCCTTTGATCTATCGAAGGTATGTGACGGCATCCGATTTTTGAACATCCGCTCTCTTTCTGCAGGTGCCCAGGTTCCGAGCAAGTCTCGAATATCCGCCTCGGAAGTGTAAACATGTTTGTTGACATGGACACGGGAGAGTTTTCCACTGTTCCAGGGTTTCCAAAGAGGCTCTCCAATGCGGGCGTGCCCAGGCGCCCAGAATTTTTTAAATTCCACTAGGGCCTCTTCCTTCTTTCCCATTAAATGGGATGGCCGGAAGCATGTGAATTCGAGCACCGCTTGCCATAGACCGACAGCTAGCTCTACGTGTCCCGATTCTCGAAGAAACAGGGTCAAGCGGAGCAGCAAGTATGATCTGACCAGACTTTTCTGCGGTCCGAAGCCGACTCGTGAATGGGTCTTCAAGCAGTAGGCATAAGTCTTAAGGCAATTGTCAAAGTTGAAATCCTGGCTATCAGTCTGACAGTAGTCAAGATACTCAATCCATACAGTGATGAACTCAGAGTTGTGGCAGAGGACTTCTTCCCATTCCAATGCCAGTTTTTTGGCGTCCCAGACTTTCGCACCCTCTTCCATACGAGCGAGCACGAGGTGGTCGCGTTCGGGATTTTGTGCGTTAAGCTTGATCGCTTTTTCATACACATACAGCTTGGCTCTCGCGACAAGGTGTACATCGCCGTAATAGGAGGTGTGGTCGCCAGTGACAGCAAGCTCTTGATGCTCAGCAAGACGAATCCATGCTTGAATATCATTGGGTTTTTGCACCACTGCACGGTTTAACTTCGCATTGCGATTGAGAATCTCAGCTTCGACAGCAAGTCGAGTTATGGTGGTCGCATCGAAATCTTCCGCGGCTTCGTTTTCAGACTTATCCGGGATATGGATGGAGCGATATGACAGTGGATCATCATCCAAGTTGACACTTGGCGCAAGCCCGGGTTGAGACGATGGGATTGTTGTTGATATGAAATTTTGGGCATGTTGGTTGTCGGCAGCAAGTTTGGCATTAATCTCAGACCGGAGGCGAAGGGGAAGATTTATGGACAAAGCAGATAGGGTTTCAGCGGAGAGAGGCTTGGCTGCAGAGGTTGCAGATGAGCCTGAGTCGGGGCGAAGAATGAGCAGGGGACCTTGATCATATCGTGTTTTGTAATCAATGCGCTGGCCGGGGAGCCCAAGTACGAAACCATTGCCATTGCGATGGTACGCAGGGACGTCGTAGCGATCTACGCCGTAACGTGTATTGTCGCGATCGCCGAGGCTGTCGACGACAAATCCTTTGTTTGCCGCATCGTTTGCAACGTTTACATCGTCAACTCCTTCCCCACTCAGGCGCTCCTTACTTTGTTCAACCTTCACCTTTTGACGGTCAACATCCGAACGCCTTTCATGTCGACGAGAGCGCGGAGACTCTTTCCGGTCTGCGCGCTGACGATGGCCCGAGCGACGCCGGCGAGGATCGTGTTCCGAGCCGGTAGCGGCGGCCGGAGGGGAGGTAGGGGGAGGTCGGAAGCTGGAGAATTGCGGGACACCCTTAAGTTCTGGTCAGTCTGTGCTCTTTATGTACTAAGGTGTAAGTGAAGGCTAACTAACCTGGGACCCATGTGAGTCCATCGTGGTGTCTCGATCTTTCTTATCGAGTCGCGCCGCGGTCTGATAACCCGGGAAAACGATTCTCCGATGGGCGGTCGGGCTGGCCGGCAAAAAAAAGTCAACCGTTTGCTCTCGGTCAAACAAAGCTTAAGACTTACCTCAAATTATTTGAACCGTCTGCCCTCGGTTCGCAGAGAAAAAGAAAGACTACTATCAGGAGTCTTGAGGATATGTGTCACTGCGCAATTGTGTGAGAACCGAAACAAAAGAACGAAAAAAGTCCGCGGAACAGCCCGCCAAAAGAGACTTCACGATGGCTTCGTCTCTCGCCGCGCAGCTGTCGCAAATTGCGGCCAAGTCGACACACGAGCTTGACCTTAAGGCGCAAAGGGTTTCACACTCACAATCTCTTATTTTCGACCCAAAGGTCGCCAGCACTCAAGACTTTGATGCGATTTATGATATTTGTTATGACGGGTTCCGGGAGTTGTGCTCGTTGGACCCCCGGTTTGCAGAGTTTGATCGCACAATCTTCAGCGAGCAGAGCAAAGCGGAGGACCGCAGTCAGATGAACGCAGCTCAGAACAAGGAGCTCGATGCTGCGGTTGAAGCTTTCCTGGCTCTGGTTGGTGGTAGACTACAGTTGAGCCCTGCAGTGAAAGCTGTGGACTGGCTTGTGAGAAGGTTCAGGTGAGAAACAATCGCGAGGGGGGTTGCAGATCGTGAGATCGTGAGGTGTGGTGGCTAACTTATATGGCAGAATCCATGAGTTCAACACAACCGCCGTATTATTTACGTTCTTGCCGTATCACACGACGCCACTCTTTTTGAACCTTCTATCTATTCTTCCGGAAACTCTTACGCCGACATTCAAAGTCCTTACTCCATACAAGAACGGCCTTATTAATCCGCCGAGGCACCCGCTTGTTCACAGCGCAGCGACGAACAAGCCTTTCTTTTCCGAATTAAATGAATACGTCCTGAAGGTTTGTAGGCAGCAGGCCCAAAGCCATGCACTCCTCGCATTTTGGGCCGGTATTGTTACAGAGGCTGTCGCAACAATGCTCGACGGCGCTCGCTCAGGCAGAAGAGAGGCTGAGAAGCAAAAGCATGAAGATATCCTTTTGCGGATTTTGCCGGTACTCAGCAATGCCTTTACAATGAAAAAGGTCTCGGAATTGATCGTCGGCTGCTATATGATCTGTGTGGTCCTGGCGCAAAAGGCCTTCCTCTCCAACGAAGTTATTGATGGTCTAATGGAAAGTGTTGTGGGTTCTTGGACAGAAGATACAAAGATATCTGGTTTGATCTGCCTTTCGGTTCTTGCACAGCAGAAACCTGCTGTTACGATCCCGAAAAGAGTCTTCAAGGGCATCTTGCGCCTCGAAAACCCTATCGGCCAACTTTCTGAAATCGCGACCCAATATCAGACGTCTAACCTTTTGCTTGGGATCATTGCTGGCTGTTTGACTGATCTTGACAAGCAGGACAATGCTCGCCTTGCAATTCTGGCCTCAGTCTTTGAACACAAGATGCTTGGCGAGAACGAGATTGCTAAGGCTATGAGCCTGGTTCTCGAAGCAGCCTCCAATGCAGATGAGACCCGCAGAATGTCTTTGGAAGCCCAAACCCAGCTCGCTGAGCTGGTTCAAGGATTCAACCGATCGGAAACCCTCCAACCCATTTTCCAGAAGACTTTGACCGAATCTTCGTTCAATATCTCGGCACTGGAACACAACCTTCAGACCGTTGTCGAGGCCCCCGTTGTGACGCAGGCTATCGAGGATGTGGATATGATCGATGCAGACGACCAGCCTCAGGTGGACGCCTTTACGCCAGCTCTGGAGTCTTTGACCAAAGAGCCCTTGTTCCCATACTCGTTCCTCTCCAAGCAGTCTATCATTGAATTTGATAACCTGGTACGCGTTTTCGCCTTGGCCGTGGACTCTGAGGACAATCTCGAGCTTTTCACCAATTTGCCAATCTTGGGCAAGTCCCAGGCGACCAAGGTCCCTCAATATTTGTCCTTCTTTGTCAGAGTCGTTGCTGGCCACTACCCCATTGGTACAAAAGTTGCTGCTTTGAACATCGTATCATCCGTTCTCTCATCTGCACCTACAGACTTTGATCCTCAGGCACTGCTACCATTCCTGTTTGTGGCCCTCTCTGATCCTTCCGAACGAATTCGCCGTGAGACTGCTGGCGTCTTGGCTATCATCGGATCTTTGTACAAAAAGAACACCAAGGCCAATGACAGCTCGAAGCCATGGGCTCACGACACGATTTACGGCAAGGGAAAACAATCTACGGGTGTTGCATGGCTCACCACTAAGGATTCGCACAAGGTCCTAGAGCGGGCATTGCTTCCAGGGTTGGAGGAGTCTATCCTTGATCCTAACCATGTTGGTAGAATGGTGGAAGCTACCCTGCGGGGCACCGTGGTGTCCGAAGCTTCGGGTGCATCCGAACTCAAGAAGTCTCTCCGCCTCAGCCTCTTTACTTTCATCTGCTCTCATGTTGTTAAGATGCCAGTCTTCGCACCCAAGATCAGCTTGCTGAAGTTGGTCAACAGTGTGGAGAAGGTCTCTACCGCAACCCTGACCAGTGAACTTCTCCCAGTGCTCGAGGATTGGCGTCGCTTGAACGAGAAGGAAGTCGAGGAAATTTGTAGCAAGGAGCGCATTGTGGCGTCCGAGACAGAGCATTTGATTGCTGCTATTGTCACAGCCAAAGAACAGGATGCCGTCGATGTCCTTCTCTCCAATGTCAGCTCTGGTGATAACTTGCGCCCGTCCTTCGTTGCGGCTTGCTTTGGCCAAATCAAACACATCTGGGCTAAGATCCCCGAAGATCGTCAATTGACCGCATCCGAGAAGCTCCTCGATATCTCCCTTGCCGGTTCGGCCAATACCGCTTCTCTGGCAAACAACTGCCGAGATGTTCTTCGCACTGTCCAGCTTTCCGGTGCTGTTCTTCAGCAATTTGTTCAGAAGATTCCTGTGTCTATTACTGATGTTGAGTCTATTGGTCCTGCGCCAAAGCGTAGACGTACTAGCCAGAACAACATGGTTGCCATGACTGTCAAGGACGAGGCAGAGCTGAGCAAGTTGATGGACAAGATGACTTTCATCTTGGAGATCGTGGATAGCTCCTCCCCAGAGACTCACCCCGAGCTTGTAGATGGATTGTTCCAGACTCTCGCTGCTCTTCATCACTTCAAGTCTCAGATCCAGTCTGGTATGAGCTATCTCCTCAGCTTGACTTTGGGAAGTCTCTTGGCTATTGTGAACAAATCCAAGGGATCTGTTAAGCCGCAGTTCGATACGTCCGTCATTAGGGCCGACCTGGTGGTGGACTGTGTGCGAACAACTGACAGCCCGCAGGTTCAGAACGGAGCTCTTCTTCTTGTGGGAAGCCTGTCTGTCATTGCGCCCGAGTTGGTTCTCCACAGCGTCATGCCGATCTTCACGTTCATGGGCACTACTGTTCTCCGCAAGGATGATGACTACTCTGTTTCGGTCATTGACCAGACCATCGATCAAGTTGTCCCTGCCCTCATCCAATCTCTGCGTAACCAGAAGAGGGATGTTGTCTCCGGAACTTCCGAGTTGCTGCTCAGTTTCACTGCAGCCTTCGAACATATCCCCGCGCATCGCCGCCTGAGACTCTTCCACGCCTTGATCAGCAAGCTTGGAACACAAGACTTCTTGTTCGCTGTCTTGGCAATGCTCGCTAACCGATACTCCACCAACAAGGATGTCCTCACACTGATGACCGGTCTGGTCTCAGATACTACACCTGTCGTGGAGCTTACCACCTACAGCAAGTACTTGAACTTGGTCAGCGATTCCCTCAAGACCAAGCCAGGTATCTCTCAGGTCCTTCTTGGAATTGGTAGTGACGATGGGCGCGACGCCCAGAGCATCTGCGTTGATCTCCTGCGTGATCTTGCTCACTTGTTCAAGCACTCTTCTCTCAAGGCTAAGCTTGAGACTGCCTTTGAGTCGGACGACGAAGCTGCTGATCAGTCCCGCGCTTGCTTCTCCCGCGTCCTAACGCAGGTGCTGAGCATCGGCGAGGCTGTGCAGAGTATGAAGCCCGTCAGTCAGGCTTGTGGTGAGGTTCTCGGTGCTCTGTTCAGCACTCTGTCTCTCGTCGACTTCCTGGATACCATCGAGGTTCTCCTCCAGGGTCCCAATGACGAACTTCGACGCAAGGTTCTTCGTTTGCTCGAAACCCGCCTCCGCCAGAACCCGGAGCGCGACAACCTGTCGCAGATCCGGGTTCTCGACTTCCTGCCCACCCTGGTCGGCATTGTCGAGTCGTCTCCCGATACGCTGCTCAAGCATGCTGCTGTTTCGTGCATTGACCGCATCACCGACAAGTACGGCCGTAAGGACCCGTCCAAGGTTATTGCTGCAGCTAGAGTGGTTGCCAGTGAATCTTGTCTCGGCCAGTCCGATGACCGCATTCGCTACATGGGTATCCTGTGCCTGGCCTCTATGGCCGAGGTGCTGGGTCAAGCCATGATTCCTGCCCTCCCAGACACACTCAAGCGTTCATTGGAATTGCTCGAGTTGAGTCTTGCTGCTGGCAAGGAGAACTCGCGCCTCCACGACGCTGTCTTCACCCTCTTCTCTGCCCTATTCGTTCACCTGCCATTCATGATCTCGGCTGGTCATCTGGACAAGATGCTTCTTCTGTCCTTCAAGTCTGCTAATGCGGACATCGAGGAGAGCAGTGATGAAAGCCGCCAGGAGTCCCTGCGGTTGATGGCCCGCAAGGTGGATGTGGCCGCAACCCTCGGCGCTGTCGATCGCAATTGGCAGCACGCTGTCAAGGCTGGCCCAATTGCTGTGAACGAGCTCTTGGAGGTTGTCACAATTGCTGTTGACAAGCACCCCAAGTCGACCATTTCCAAGAACATCAACGTCCTTACCAAGATTCTCTTCAAGGCGTTTGATATGCGCCGTGAGCAGATCGCCCTTGGCGACAAGGCTATCTTTGAATCGACTGCCATTGATGAGGCCGAAGCGGCGCTCAACGACGTCACAATCAAGATGATTTACAAGCTGAACGACAGCACGTTCCGACCCATCTTCCTCAAGTTCGTTGAGTGGGCCACTACCGCTGCCCCCAAGGAGGAAGAGGGTCAAACCTCGCGCCTCACGACTTTCTACAAGTTCCTCGAGGTCTTCTTTGGTACTCTGCAGGTATGTTTCCGCACAATTCTCTATGCATTGATCTTTATCGCTAATACCTTCTTCAGTCAATTGTCACCGGGTACTCCAGCTATGTGTTGGAGAATGTTGTCAGTGTCCTGAGCACGTCGGGTCCCTCCAAGGCCCAGAAGTCCCTCTGGTTGGCCGCCCTCCGTATGCTCCGCAAGTCGTTCGAGCATGACCAGGATGGTACGTTTCCTCTCCGCGTCCAATATCACTGATTTCAGCCACTAACATCTACTGCAGAATTCTGGCAAAGCCCCTCCCACCTCGCCAGCATTTCCGGTCCTCTGATCGCCCAACTGGCCCACGCAACCAGCACGACCACCTCTAACATGGTCATTGCTGATGTCGTGCCCACAATCACAGAACTGGCCATCGCCGCCGACTCCACAGATAACCACAAGGAGCTGAACTCCGCTTTGATGAAATACCTCCGTCCCTCCTCTGCGCCTAACGCCCGCTTCGCCGGTGGCGACAGCCCCCACACCCGTCTTGCAGCTCTCAAGGCCGAGCAGGCCCTTACCGAGCAGCTTGGTGAGGAGTGGCTGGCACTTCTGCCAGAGATGTTGCCTTACATCAGTGAGCTTATGGAAGACGAGGATGAGAGCGTTGAGAGAGAAGTTCGCAGATGGGTTAAGCAGATCGAGAAGGTGCTTGGTGAGCGTCTCGATGATATGTTGACTTAGAGCTTTGGTTATGATTGTGTACAAAATTTGCATTTTCTTGGCGTCCATAGAACAGGTTCTGTGCGAGCCTTGCTAGCGGTCTACGGATAGTCTGTCTAAAAATTGATTGTTCTAATTATTTGTTCAATTTCTATAAATGATATTGCTTTTATCTAGACAGCATCTGCATCCACGTGCCCATAAGCAGACGCCAAATCGGCTGCATGTTCTCGTAAACTGTAGCGAAAGGTGGGGCTCCGGCTTTGAGTAGTTTGTGAGTAACGGACGCACGGCCGTGGAGAGCTGCCCATTCAAGGGCACAACTGTTGTAACGTCTAACATTATGCTGGTATAGGTAGCTGTCCAATGAGTTGTACAGTCGGCGGGTTGTTCGTGAGAGAGCGCTGATCTCGCTGTCTAGTTCCAAGCTATCGGCGATGAGATAAACTATCTCGAGTGGAAAATCTGAGAATTCCATCATGATAGGGATTTTCATAAACCAATTTAACCCCATAAGCTCTCTGCAGAGATGACCTTCTGTATTAAGACTGGTTTAAATGAAGGCTGCGCTAGATGGGCAGAATGAGAAGGGGCAGAGAGGTAAGATCAAGATACTCTGTACTGTTAAGGTCTGGAATTAGACAGGTTCTATTCTTAGAAATGACGCTATCCCTTAAAGTTGACAAGCGTGATTTCGTGGTTGAATTATACGAGGCAAAGAGGAGTTTAATAGGCATTTTTACTAAATTCAACGCTTGGTGCAATATAATTTCTAGTATCAGACTTTCCTAGGTAGAAGGCGCATCAATTTACGAATATACTTCTGCCGTCAGAAGTCTTCCTCCAAACCCTCACTTTACGTGCTAAATCTCCCATATAATCTTTTGGGTATAAATAGAAATCTCTTGTCATTTCAAACCTCCTGCTTTTTCCCCGGCAATCCACCAGCAATTTCTGCTGTCTACGTATTTCTACTTTGACGCCCCCCAACATTTCAAATCATTGTCCAGTTTGTTCCTGGAGAGTTATATATGACTAAATGTACTATATATTGTTGTACTAGACAATAGTGTTGAATTATACAGTATGAAACTATACAAAGCATGTAAATTGAGATATTGACTCTTGCAAAGATACTTGATGTAATCAAAGATGAATTGTAAACTGTCTACTCTCTCAATGCCAGGCAAGAAGCCCATATTTAGGCTTCATACCCCTGTAGATACTCATGATAAACCCCTCAGATATAACACACAATTTGTAATGGCAACATGAATGGAATCACAGAGAAAACAGGAGATAGACGGATTCCGCCGGGGGAAGCACGTTGAAGCAGTGTTAACGCAGTCCGAATTGAAATCCCACTCTTCGATACAACCTAGATGCAGGTTATATGTAGGAATGAGTGACGAAGCGAAGCTGTCAAACTGCATCGAAGCTCGATTCCGTAGGAGTTCAAGATTCTTCGGCATGCAAGTATTCCTTGGCATACAGAGATGCCTTGGCCTTTTCGAAACAGGTTCAGTATTAAAACCATCCCAGGTTAATTACTGTGAATTAACTGGGATTCTCAACAGACCACGCTAATTGACGGTATATCGGCTGCTAAAATGGCTACCACGAACGGTTCAGCTTCCTTTTTACCCAAATCCTATCCCAACATGCGCAGGATATACTTTTCATGACAGTCACAGCGTATATATACCGCTGCAATCGGAGGTTCTGATTCTGATCTTTTGAGTGGTTAAACACTCTTATGTAATCACTGAAGGATGCACCTGCCCCTGATTGAGCGTGATTACGGACTTTTGTTTTTCTCACATCACTAGAGCATATCGCGTCGTATTGTGTTTTGGCCAGATTTGGATCTCATCTAGGTGCCTGGCGGTGGTGTACGTCTATTTCGTCAGGAAATTGGTCACTATCCGATTGTCTTTCGGGCCCTAAAGACCACCTAAACGTCCAGAAAATGGCCGTGATAACTATCTCAGACATTGATATCCGAGTTTGGGATCTACTATTTACGTCTGGCGGCTTGCTCGCATTGATTGGGACTTGGATCGGCATCACTGCATTGACTTATCTGATCTCGACGATCCAGGGTGCTATCAGAGTGCGCGACAAACGTCATGGAAGCCGCCCACCAACACTCCCGTACACTATCCCACTTCTTGGTCATCTTCCTGAGTTTTTAAAGGACCCAAGAAATTTCCTGGCAAGAGCAACGTACGTTTCATAAGACTGAGGGAATTGCAAGTCTGCTAACCTGCATGGACAGCGCTCAATATGGTCCGTCTACTCCTGTCGGCATACAGCTCCTCCACCGGCGTATGAGCCTTCTCGGAGGCGCTGATAACATAATTGCCCTTTTCAAGAGTTCCAGGGACCTAAGCAGTGAGCATTGGCTCGTGCAGGTGCTGGTTAATGCATTTGGTGTGAACGTTGCGGATGCACCTTTTTATCTGGCCGATGACACGGGAATCAACAACCACCCTGACTCCAAAAGTAAAATGACAAACCCAGAGCATCGCATCTTCCATCTAGTCTATAAGTCCGTTCACAGTGGCTTGGGCGGAATTAGCCTCGCGGAAATGGAGAGACAGGTTGTGAAAAACTTGTCTACGCAGATCCATGAAACGGATTTCAAGTCTGATGCCTGGACTGAAATCTCGGATATATACAGCTCATTCATCCGCAAGACCTCCTTCAGAGCATCCATCGTATCTCTCTGCGGATCGCATGTCTTCGAAGTGATCCCGACCTTTGATAGTGATTTCTGGGTATTCGATAGCCTGATGCCAAACTTGTTCAAGGAGATTCCGCGGTGGCTAGTACCGGCGGCGTACGTAGCCAGGGATAAAATGAACGAAAATTTGCAAAAGTGGCAAGCATTTGCCCATGAGAATTATGATGTCCGCCAGGGCCAATTGGACAAAAGGGAATGGGAGGAGTTCTTCGGATCCAGGCTGATGAGGACGAGACATGAATTCTTCCAGAAGATGCCGTTGAGCAAGGAGACTATAGCTGCCGATGATCTTGGATTGATTTGGGCGTATGGAACTCCTCCCCTGCTTCTCTTTCTCTTTCTCGTTTTCTTTTCTTAAGGCCAACCAGCTAACCCATGAACAGGGCGACCGCAAATACTGTCCCTGCGATCGGCTGGATGTTATTGGAGGTTCTTCAGCGTCCAGATCTCCTACTGAGGGTCCGAGAAGAGGTTGCTCCCTATGTCTCCCGAGACCCGTCAGACTCAAGCCAGATGGTTGTCGACATTCAAAACCTCTGCAAACAGCCCCTCGTCCAATCTATCTATGCCGAGGTCCTACGCTTACGTTCCGGTACCGTCATTGGCCGAATACCCTCATCTTCCGATTTTCACGTTGGAGGTTGGCATTTCAAGAAGGATGAGCAGATCATTGTATCAAACTACAATACCGGACGCGACAAATCCGTCTGGAATCAAGGCACTTTCGAAGACCCACATCCTGTTGATGAATTCTGGCCGGATCGTTTCATTGTTTACCCGGATGACCCTAATAGCGGTCCTACCTTACAATCTGTACAACCAGAAGCAAAGAAAGGACAAGACTCGACAATCTCGAAACCAACGTTCTCCCTCAACGGGACGGCTGGGTCTTGGATCCCCTACGGTGGAGGCACGCGAATGTGCCCTGGACGGCATTTCGCGAAGGAGGAGATGATCGTGACGATGGCGATGTTTCTGACAGCGTTCGATATTGAGCTTCTGACAGATAAGGCAGATAAGATCTCTTGGATCCAGCCGGATTTGAAGTATCTCATGTTCGGTGTTATGCATCCGAAGGGAAAGATACCCGCTAGGATTCGGAAGAGGGAGTTCTAAATGCAAATCCCATTCGATCCACATCAGTACCTAAGGTATCGGCCTAAAAGAAAATCATCTTTATTTGATTATGATTCTTTAGTACCTTATCTACTTTATTTTTGGATTGCTATCCAAATTCTGTAAATGGTATCGTATTCAGTTATCTGGAATGACAGCGTCCGAAGCATCCACACCAGCATTCCACCGGTACTTAGAAGCAGGGTGATCTGCATGGGGTCCTGACTGGCCAGGCTGCGCATAGAGGTTCTCACGGTATGTTCCCTTGGGCACGGCATAGTCATCCCAGAACAGGCCTCGCTTGCGCAGCTCGGGAATAAGGAGATCAATGATATCCTTAAAGGAGCCGGGCTTGATTGCGTATGCCTGTGCGAACAATGTTATTAGATGTCTCGAGATGCAAAGAGCTGTTTAGAAGCACAACTTACCAGATTGAACCCATCCACATCGGCTTCTTCTACCCATCGCTCCATGCTATCCGCAACTTGAGCAGCTGTACCAACAGGAGTAGCACCCAGCCCTCCGACGGTGATGTGCTGACCGACAGTGGCCTTTGTCCATTTAGACACTTCCGGTGTCGCCTTGGACCAGCCCTCGACAGCGGAGCTATACAGAAACCCGAGTCAGTCTTCGTCAAGCTGGAAAGTGGAAGCGTGATCACATACCGGATAGCATTACTCTCAACATGTCGCAGCTCCTCATCATCTCCATACGTATCCAAATCAATCCCCGTCCACCCACCAAACAGCGCAAGCGCTCCGTCAATAGACCCCAAACTGCGGAAATACTTAAACTTCTCCACAGCCTCCTCCTCGGTCTTACCGAGAATAGGACAAAGAAGTGCAAGGAACTTAATACTCTGCGGATCACGCCCATACTGGCTCTGTGCAAGTTCCCGAATCTCCTTCACGTTCTTCGCTACTACAGCTGGGCTGTGGCCCGCCACGAAGATAGCCTCGGCATGTTGCGCGGCGAAGGTTTTGCCTGCTTTTGATGTGCCAGCTTGGAGTATGACTGGTGTGCGCTGTGGACTAGGTTGGCAGAGATGGGGACCGGGCACGTTGAAGTATTTGCCGACGTGGTTGATTTGGCGCACGCCTGCTGGGTCGGTGTAGATGCCGCGCTCGCGATCAAGGGTTACGGCGTCTTGGCGCCAGGAGGACTCCCATAGTTTGTATGTTACTTTGATGTATTCTTCGGCGAGAAGGTAGCGGTCGTCGTGCTGGGTTTTGTTAGTAGATTATAGATGCATGGGTGTGGGATGTGAGGCTTTACGTGTGGTTGCTCGGCTTGGCCCATATTGCGGGCTGCGGAATCGAGGTATCCTGTTACGACCTGAGGATATTGTTAGTATGTACTTCTTTCGGGTGCTGTACTTCAAATTCGGTTTGTTACTCACGTTCCATCCCAGGCTATCAGACGAGTTGAATTAGTGACTTGTTCTCCCAACGGGTACTAGATGTACATACCGTCCTTTGGTAAGATGATCGACAGTAGATAGTCGTCTCGCAAGATGATATGGCTGTTCGTAGGTTGTTGTGACTGTCACTCCAAATCCAATATTCTTTGTAGCCGCCGCCATCGCAGGGACCACTGCCAACGGCTCGTTCACTGGC